TCAAAGGTTTCGGAGAGTTGGGCATTATGTAAGAAGGGGGCTCGGAAAAATGAGTAGCATTTGGAAAAGGACATAGAAAGACTAAGCAAAGGAGCAGTGGAGGCGGAATGTTAGTAGCGGTCCACGCGTTTCTATATCCAATACCAGCCTCGTCGCCCTTGGAGATCGCTCTTTGCCTTGGACATCTCATGCCAATTCACCCCTCTTCAGTGGCCCAGGTCTTTCCATCTATCTTCTTTTCCGCACGCTTAGAGATCCCAAAGCCATCTTTCGTGTGCCCTCCCCAGCAGAATGCTGCACGCCTCCCCGCCCGTCTGACAATATAGTTGTATGTGCATATACAACTCCAAGACACTGAGTAGCTAGCCTATTGCTGGCGGTAAGATGCTACTCTTGCACCATCTTGAATGTATCTTGCCGATACTATTTGGACGGGAAGGGATCGCGTCGTTTGTATAAGAGAAGGGCTTGGTATATCTGCTCCGACAAGTCAATAGGATTTTTTAAGGCCGCATAAGGTCCGGATGCGTTTCATGCGAGCCAGCAATCGATGATTCAATCGCTAGCCTCACTCACACTGGAAAAGTCTCTGCTACTTCTGCTCGGCGCAAAAACTCCCACATCGCTCGCACGACTGCAAGACCACTGCCTTGTGTCTCGATTGTGCGGCCGCGGCCACGGTCGTTGAGATCGCTTCCGCTCCTCTTTGTGATTTCATTCTCAACGTCTTCGTTGAAGATGGACCATTCAGAGGACTCTTGGAACTCGCCTTCCATGTACATGCCATCATCGGACTGCGTATGCATGTTACGGTAGTCTATTGCGTTCTGTGGGAGAGAAGGGCGTCCGTCAGGAGCAGATGCTTTGCGATGGTGCGAGGAGAATGGAAACGGTGTCTGTGGAGCGCCCCACCATGATCCAAATCTTCCTGTTTCATCACGCGTCCGAAGGGCGGCTTGGGCGTTGTGTGTCACCCAGGTGGTATATTCTCTACAGCTGTTCGCGTGTAACATGGCCGTCTCTCGAGTCGCTGCGTGTGTTTTGCCTGGTCTAGTCGGTTGGGATGGAAGAGGATTGCAGAAGGAAGTTAGATGGTGAAAGAAGATGCCCTTGAATGTTTGACCGTCTTGACTACAGCGTCCAGAGGGATCACATAGTTCTGTTAGGATACCATTATAGCCCAGACCCGCCCAGTCAGTTGGCAATGCGTCTTCCTTGTTTTCCGAAACCTTGCTCTGACGCTGTTGCGAGTTCGTGCTAGACGAGGATGGGGGACGGGATCCAGACCTTGTCCAGCCCGTGGCGCGTATGACGTTCCTGACGAGCTCATGCCCATCTTCCAAATACGAGATGTTGCCGGAAGCTTCCCACAACCCGCGCAGCCCAGACAAGAGCACACCCTGGTTGTAGGTGTAGACCATTTCATTTCGCTCGTCACACGTCGTCTTGCTATGATTTGTGCGGTAGCCTCCAATGTGAAAGCCATCAACATAGAGCCCCTGGTCGTTTGTCATCCCGACGTTCTTCAGCCACTCGTACGCATTGATTGCGTTCGCAAGGTACACGGGATCATACCGCCCGCGGTGCGCATCGTCGCAGTCGTCGTACAGTTGGGTCTTGCGTAGCTCTGGCTCATCGTGCTGCAAAAGGAACGGCGAACAGTTGTCGTCGCCCGGGAATTGCAAGTACATGTTGATGCTCGCTGAGATGAAGAGCTGGTTCGTAATGGCGTTTTTGTATGGTAGGAGACGAGGATTCCACGTCATGCCGCCCCCGCAAAGTCTCCAATCCCATCCCTTCTCAGCTAGTTCGTAGAACACGCGGGCGCGGTGTGCGAAAGCAGGTACGAACTGATTGGCATGCCATTTTTTCCCTCCAATGTTGTCGGACGTGTAGTGTCCAACAGAATGGCTCTGGATGAAAGTGGTCGTTTCTAACCAGCCCAACACTACCCACAGCATGTCGTCGAATGCCTGCATTCTGATAGCAAAGGCATCTTCGCCAAAGTAGTAGGCAGTGGTCTGCGCAAAGTATCTGTTGATCTCGTTCTCCACCATTTGTGCCTCGACGTCCAGTTTCCGGCTCTTATCGAACGTGCCTGGCATCGTATACGACAGCGAACGCGAGAGCGATGATAGGGTGGCCGAGACATAGGTCGACATGACGGCGGCTGTCCAGTCGATCGCTGTTGTGTACTTGCCGAGCCACACAGAGAAGTACTGGTCCTGCATTGTGGAAAGGGCGGAGTGGAGATCCTGGAGGACATTGGCTTCGGCGACCGTGTAGCTGGCTGTGCTGGGAGATGCAGATGAGCTGGCGACATTCTGATTCTCGGGCTCGTAGACCGGCTGTTCTGCTTCTGCGACATATTAGTGAGAGCTATGGAGTTGGTATCTCTTAGCCTCACCTTGTGAAGCTGGCGATCCCGTATTACTAGCGATGGAGCTGGTTGCAAACGCGGACGTAAGCAAGGAGACAGAGACGCATAGCCGCCAGAACGACGCGATGCGTGGTAACCTCATTGCGAAGGCCAGGTAGCTGTACTCGCCGACACCGTGATTGCGCTGACCGAGGGCTGAACGCTATGCGACGCGTGAGCAATCCACCAAGCCGCTCTGCGAGCAAGCTACGTTTAGAATTGCTGTAGCATATACACGGATATCAATACAAAAGACCAGCAAAGGGTTCTTATCGGCTATTGTGGAGAGCATGGCGGAGGAGGCATGTGCCGCGAGTGCATGAGGCGTACACGATCCCAGCCAAGTCCACCTTCCCGTGCGGGCTTGGGTGGCTGATCCTGCCCAGGCCTGATATTCGTCGCATCGTATTCCTGGTACGGAGAGTGCAGAGTCAACGAGACCATACACACGTGTCCCCAGATGTGATAGAGGCGGGACGACGCCAAGCTTGTTCAATCGTGCCCCACTCTCGCGTGGTTTCCACGCACCACCATAACTGTCGCAAAGAACTATCCCAACAGCGACCCAAAAAAACAGGCAAAAAAAAGCAAAAAAATGATGATGATGAGAGTGGGATTCGAACCCACGCAAGTTTCCTTACTAGCACCTGAAGCTAGCGCCTTAGACCGCTCGGCCATCTCACCGGATGATGTTGTTGATGGAGGAAAAGCATTTAGTATAGCTTATATATTTAGTTTGCGGATCCATGCCTCATGGCACTGACGTGTCGACTCGGGACAACAAGCGGGGTGGCTGACATAGCAGAGATTTCACAAGCCTACGCTTATTAGATATCCCCACATGCTTTCTCAAAAGTTTGCAATACCCACTAACGTATTCACTGTGTCAAGATATACTGTAGCTTATTGATCTTGTCAGTTTTGCCTACCGTCTTCCGAATACTACTTCTCAGTTCACAGGCTCACATCTCAGGTTTAATGTTGTGACTCAAAAACCTTGAGTAAATAGGTGCTCCTGGCCTAATCTCAAAAACGAATCTCACTCGTGAAGAACATGTTTGGTTGAGAGCAGGGAGATTCACTAAAGTCTTCGAGGCTGCGTTTCCTTTCGTCTGGTGCCACTACAGGCCGGGATTGTGATGCATCTACGCTTGACAATACGCTCGTTTCTGGCTTCGTGCTGTCGCTTCGATTGCAATAATGCTCGGATACTTACGTCATGGCTCAAGCTCACCACACTTACGCTAGTAGAATATGCTACAAGACCACAAAGACCTTCGTTCTACGAACCCGTTGTCTAACAGCGACAGCGCAATCGAGCACAGGGATTGTCCACTCCAAGACATCATGTCATACACGCGGAGCTGCTAGCACCATAGTGAGACAAGGGCAATGCCGTATTCGTCAAGCACAGGCAGGTCTGCAGACGTGTTAGTCCATCATCTGAAGAGCGCAGTAGTTGTGTACTTACAATGGTCAAGTCAAAACCCGACCTACCCAAACAGGTAAGCCGGTAAGCTGGTATTACAGGACACGTCCTGGGTATGCTACAGAAGCAACTGCTAGGCTTCCTGCCCATGTGGTCCTTCCCTCTGCTTCACAACGTAGCTCGAACAATGAGAGCATAGGATGCCCGCTCGTCCAGAAACTACTCATCGTCCACGTCGTCACCGTCGCGTCCAGGACTCTTGCTCCTGGCTCTTCCAGCCCCGCGTCCGCTCTGGCGCTTGTCATAGTCGCGAGGGCGGCCCTTGCTGGCTGGCGGGGGCCGCACAAAGGCAAAGTCGACGGTGACCTTCTGCTCAAGGAGCTCCTCGCCATTGGCGCCCTTGATGGCGGCCTTTGCTTCTTCCAAGGTAGCGTACTCGATGAGGACGTAGCCCTATACAAGGTCAGCTTTGCCATGTGCTTGGACGTGTAACATCAGGCGCGTACCTTGACATAACCCGTCCGCCTGTCCAGGTTCATGTGCAGATTCTTAATCGTTCCAAACTCGCCAAACATGTCCTGAAGATCCTCCTCGGTGCACTCCTCGTGCACGTTGGTGACAATGATGATCCAGCCTTCGATGGAGCGCACAGCTGTTGCGCCGGCCTCGGTGCGCGCGTCGCTGGCGTTGGGGTCAGCCGACGAGACTTCGGGCTGCTGGGGCTGGTCAATGTCCATGGTTTCTGCGTCGGCCATGGCTGCGGAATGGAATTGGTCGGTGGTGGTACAGTGGGTATCGTGGTAAGGGACTGGAGTTGTCAAGCTTTCGGCGTCGCCAAATGTTTCCGCAGTCGAGGCAGTTCGCGCTAGTGGGAGAGCGGCGCCTTCCCACAGTACGCGACCCAAACTCGTCCCTCACCCTCCATCGCGCCTGCCCTTTGTTTAGCCGCAAGTCCGACGCTTACGAGCTGTGCCCGCTGCCTGCATACACCATGGCCCACGCCTCCACCCCTCACGGCACAGCCGGGAACACACAGATAAAAGAGCCACCCACCAGCCTTTGTACTCTAGCACTGAGCTAGGTTCAGCTACCACACCCCGCCGACGTCACTCGAATTGCTCCATGACAAACTCTTGACCTGCGTCTTTCATCATGCTCCAGTTTCTCGACAACCTCGTACACTACGCCGACCCGACACTCCCGTCCTTCTCGTCCCTCACGTACCTGTACATCATCATACTAGTCTCCTCGCTCTTGATTTCTTTCCGCTCGCGCCAGGAAGAAGACAACGTAAACTAGCATAATGTCCAAATTCACCAATGTGTGTACTTGTCCCCATCTCATACTCAACAAGACTAACCATGCCAGATCGCCATGATCGGCTGCGGGAGCATGGGGGGTGGAATGGCCCTGCTCTTCGCCGAGGACGGCGTCAATGTTTCGCTCTCAGACCCGTCTGAGCAGGCAATGGATACAGTCATCAACAAGGCTGAGCAGCAGGGATACAACGGAAAGATCAAAAAGTACAATGGTAGGTGGAAATGCATCGACCACGGTACAATCGAGGGCTAATGGAGCGACAGACTACGATTCCTTGTGCAAGTCACTCTCCACACCGCGCCTCCTCGTCTTCTCTCTTCCACATGGCGGCGTTGGCGACACGGTCCTTGAGGGTCTGGAGCCACATCTCGCCCGCGACGACATCATCCTGGACTGCGGTAACGAGCACTTCCAGAACACCGAGCGCCGACAGAAGAAGACAGAAGGCACTGGCATCCGGTACATTGGCTGTGGTGTAAGTGGCGGATACCAGGCTGCGCGAGCGGGACCTTCAATGTGTCCCGGCGGTGACATCTCTGCGCTTAAGGAAGTCCTTCCACTACTAGAAAAGGTTGCAGCCAAAGACAAGAACGAGAAACCTTGTGTGGGCGTTATTGGAAAGGGCGGCGCAGGGCATTACGTCAAGATGATGCACAACGGCATCGAGCACGGCATGATGAGCGCCATCTGCGAAGCCTGGGGCATTATGCGAAAGATGGGCATGGACTACGAGGAGATTGGCGACGTCCTATCCCAATGGAACTCAGAAGGCGAGCTGGTATGTCTGCCCTTTGTGACCCTGGCAGCTTTCCGTACTAACTCATAACAGAGAGGCACTTTCCTTGTCTCCATTGGCGCCGATCTATCTCACAAACGCGACTCAAGCGAAAAGCCCAACCAAAAAGATCCCAAACACCATCCCCTTGTCATCTCACAAGTCCTCGACAAGGTCGTTCAGGACGTCACGGGCGAAGAAGGCACGGGTATCTGGAGCAACACCGAGGCCATTGAACTTCACGTACCAGCCTTCACCCTCAACATCGCGCACGCATTTCGCCTTGCGTCCGCCTTCCGCGGCGACCGTGAGCAAGCCAGCAAGGCCGCCGACGGAGGTTTCCCTCCTAGCCAGCTGGACATTTCCGACAAGAAGGCTTTCCTTGAAGATTTGAGGAAAGCAACATACGCCTCATGTCTCGCGAGCTACATCCAAGGCATGAATGTCATTGCCAAAGCAGATCAAGAGCACAAGTGGGAAATTGACTACTCACAAATCTGGAAAATCTGGCGAGCAGGATGTATCATCCAAGCAGACTACATTTCTGACGAGATCCTCGCGCCGGTCCTCAAATCCAATCCTAAGCCCAAAGACTTGAACCTCAACTTCTCGACTCGCGTTGCCAAGGACGTAAAGAACTGCTTCCCAGCGCTTCGTCGCATCGTCGCCAAGGCTGTAGAGACAGATCAGATAATACCTGCCATAAGCGCTACCCTGGAGTACTTCAAAGTCGCTAGTGGTACCGACCTACCGACCTCGTTCTACGAAGCAGAGCTCGATTACTTTGGCAGTCACATGTTCGACAAAAAGGGCGACAAAGATGCAAATGTCAAGAAGCCTATGGAAGGCAAGCATCACTTTGAGTGGAAGCCCGCAACGAGCCAGAAGGAACAGTACGGTAAGAACTACAAGTTTTGAGGTAGTTGAATTCGGCCACCATCTTTCTTTTTGCGCTTCAGCCTAGGTTAATAGTGGTAATAGAGCAAATGTATTTGACATGATTGTAACGAGAAGCAGAAGATGTCATAGCAAGTCTTAGCACAACAAGTGATGCATCCTGAAGGTGCAACCTCCCCGTTTTGGGGGTAAGCCTTCTGTCATAAGTTTAAATGACGTTATTTCCGCCACCTGTACGAGCTCCACATCCTCTCCCTCCGCTTCCGTCGGCCGCATGACGTACCAGTCCTCAAAAAACCTCCACCTCCTCACAGCGACTCGGAAGTTACGGCTTACGAGTCTCGTATTGACACCAAAATAGAGACATTGTCAATCGATCGGCAATTTATACGCCGCCCGAGAGGTCACCGTGGCTGCGCCGGGAGATCTGCACGAGCTTACAGGGGATGGCTGACAGAGTAATCTTCCGATATCCCTGTTATGGTGATTGTCTCCTACTCTTTGTGGAGATAGGGTGACGCTGAGTGGTATGATGTGACGCGAGATGGCTGTGCGTTTCCAGTGTCGGCCGTAGGTATATAGCTCATCCTACACCCGAACAGGCCTTGTATACATATTCAAGCTCCAACCTAAAACGGTCACCACATCGTCAACAAACTTCACGCACCGCCTATCTAGGATCCTACAAGCCTATACTACCAATACAATGCGTTTCTTCACCCTCGCAACAGCCCTCACATCTGCAACTCTCGCATCCTCTCGCCTGATTGGCATCGCAGCCCCTTCAACGCTCGCACCCAACAGCACCTTCACTCTCACCCTCCTCTCAGAAGGCTACATCCAATCTGTCGCCGACGTGGCAGTAGCCTGGGGTTTCGACATAGCGCCAGGCTACCCCGGTTCTCTGGGCGCCTTCACCGATTCCGCGTACCTAGGTCCCGAGAAGAGCAACCAGGGACAGGACAATGTTACAATCACTGCTAGCGTGCCTGAGGAACTAGCCAGCGATTCCTACAAGGGCAAGGATATCTTGTTGAATGCTGGAATTTACTCTTTGTATGGTGCTAGTGGAGGCCCAGTGGTTACGGGATTTAATGTTACGGTCAAGATTGGCGAGACCACTGGTGGGGAAATTGTACAGAGTGAGGGTCAGGCTTGGATTCAGAACAGCATCCAATAGACTGGTGTAATGCTTGCGTTTTAGCGACTGAGCGTTCAAGAGCTGTAGAACTTGGACTTTGTAATGTGTACATTATACAATGGTATTGATCGATATTGGCATCACAAACATCCAAAGTTCTTGGATTCTCGAGTGGCAGCGTACTATGTCATGTGAATAATATACTTTACTGATCACGATAAACCAGAGCAGCTGTGACTTGGACCACAGGTACTTGATATCTAGGCCTATCAGACACGAAGACCAAGGCAGTAATTACACCATGTGCATAGTTACTTCGTCTCAACGTTGAAGCATCGCAAGCTCAGCGTAGCTCAGAGTGTTCCTTCTGGGCCTCAAATTCTGCATATCGTTAGCAGTTATCCAAGGTGCATTCGTCAGAACTTCAAGACTTACCCTTCAGCCAGTCAACAACAAAATTCTTCAGGTACTGCTGAGCGTACACGACCTGCGGTGGTGGCAATTCGGGGGTGGTCTGGTTCTCAAAGATACCATTCTCCTCCCAGTGATGTACACCATGGCTGATCAGATGCCACGGGCGATCAATGGTGTCGTTCCTGCTCTCTGGGTACCATAGCGGGGTAGCGGGTCTCCACGGATCAGCGTTACCTCCAATGTGGGCAAGACGCTCGTAGTCAATGCTGTAGTTGCCGTACTTGTTGACGCGTTCAATCTCTGGAGGGTGCTCGATGCCGAACTGTGCACGGCAGAAGAAGGTCAGATACTCAACATCGAGAGTACGAGAGATAAGGGGCATAATATCAGCCGGGGTATTTCCAGTTTGGATGTATCCCCACTCGGTGCAGACTTGGTAGCTCCAGCTCGTTGCGCCGTAATCCTCAAGGGATGTGTATTGCTGGAGCGCAGTGGCATTGAGCGTGGTGAAGTACGAATCTTGAGTCCTGTTCGAGCGGCGCCATCCAGCAAGCGCGGTACTGTTGAGCCAGGCAATAGCATTAAGAGTGATGTTCTGCACAACGGTATCGTTGGTGTAGCCAGCTGCTGAGACAAGTTCAGCAACAGCTGGGCGGAGGTTCTCGCCTGTGGGCTCCTCTGCTGTGATGTTCTGGCAATCTAAACATGGGTGTACAAAGTCAGTATATGCCTCACATGTACTCCACACAGGGACACTCACAGTTGAACCAAGAAGGCGAATTCTCTTCAGGATCCCAGTTGGTGCTCTGCAGACCATATACACCGGTAATCTGGCCAGCAAAGTCACGGTTGTCCGTAACATCACCCATGCCAAAGACATCCTTGAGCGCCTGAACCTTGGAGGTGTCGTTCTGGCGGATGAGAATACCGTCGACCACGTCGATCAGAAGCTGCGTGTTCTTCATACAATCGGGAGGTCCAGTGAGTCTAGCGGGCTCAAAATATTGCCAGTAGTCGTAGATTGCGACGGTCACGCCAGAAGAGGAAATCGCACCCCAGAAAGTCTCCGGGTATACAACTCGCAAGAAAGCAGCCTGAGCTCCGGCATACGAACCACCATAGACGACCCACGGGGTGTTGGGAGCAGTCAAATCCGCATCGATGCCTTCAAATTTGACATTCTTCGCAAAGAAGTCGATTTCAGCGAGCGCCTGCTCAGTCGACAAGAACCGCATGTTCTTAGTCGTCAGATCGGGCACCGGGAAGGACTTTCCATAGTAACGGTGCTCGAGGATGACACCAAGACCATTAGTAGCCTTGATGACCTGGTGAACGATTCCCTTCTGAAGGAATGTGAGGCGACCTTCTCCATCGGTTTCTCCGCCAAGAAGAACAAAGACCGGTCCGCCGGGCTTGTAATACGTGTCGTCAAACCAGTACCTCAGGTTGAATGACTCGTTGCTATGAGGCTCGTACCGTGTCTCATTATGGAAGAAGTCGACTGGCACGGAAATGTTGTACTCGGGGTACAACAGCGTAGGGTCCGTGTCTTCACGTTTCGCGAGGCTGCGTCGCGTCCGTGCAGCTTGCACCTAAAATTCTGTCAGATTCAAGTGCTCACCTGCCGGCGGTATTCGTCTCGCGTTGGTGCTTCATGTCCATTGTCAACCGAGAAGGCTCCGTTTGGCTGTGAACGCATTTTGGGCATTTTGCAGCAGAAATTGCAACATTGGACGAGGAACAAAGTGGAGGAATACACCACAACAACGTCCATGCTACGCACAAAGAGAGATACGTACCTGCTCTTGTCTCTCCACCGCATTTCTCGGCGAGAGTTTTAGCGCAGAAACAGCCTGAAGGCCGCCCAGGACCGCTGCGACAGCAATTGAAAAGCGCATGATACCGATGGAACGATGCGTACTCGCTAGCTACGGGCGCACAAGAGGCAGCACGCGCCTATATATCTACCTCAGCACGCAGGGACACGGAAGTATGACGACGGTGATAGCTACCCTGTCAGCCCATATCATAGACGCGAGAACGACCATGTTTAGGGAAGGTGGATAAAGTAGTGCGCCTGTGCTAGCGCAATGACGATGCTCGAAGAAGCAGGAGATAGGGTGATCGGCACTTGCGGAACCGTTGACAGTAGCAGACAGCAAGCTTTTCGGCTTGGATGCTTGGTTAAAATGCTCATGGCGTTATGTAGGATGCGATTGACTGTCTTGCGCACTGAATTGCACGCTGGAAGCTGTATCGTCTGCTAAGCATGACGCGGTCAAGACTTTCCAAGGATGTGTCCTGGTGTCGCGAGGTTGGCACGTTGGATGAGGCGGCGGGGCCGCCTTGCCATCCGCCAAAGTCCCCTCAGCGGCCAATCGGCTATACTAGAACGCTTCCATCTCCGCACCATAACAACAACTTTGTGCACGTACGTTTTTTTTTTTTTTTTTTGGAAATGCGAACATCACCTAAGGCATCTCTTTGGGCAGCGGTATCCGAGTCATCGAAAATCGGTAGAGCTACTCAGGCATTGGACGCGACGGTTCGACACAGATTCTTTCACTGAAATCATAAATCGCACTCGCATATATACAGACCTCCTACCTATCCGACCTCATATACCAGACACTAATCGCAGTCTTCCTACTTTGTGACCTCAATGTGCGACACCGAGACGTCCTTCTCTGCACCAGAGACCCCCTTCTCCTTGACGTCCATCAAGGCAGCCTCCCCGACATCAACCGCATCATCGCCGTCGAAGAACCTTGCAATCTCCTCCATAGGCGTATACCTTGTTTCCACGATGCAAAAGTAGATGACGCCGATCTCGAAAGCGAGGAAAACACAATAGCAGATGTAGTACTTCCATGCGAGTGCCTCGAGCGCGATACCATTCACGAACTGATTGAAGAAGAGAGCGGCTGTAACGCAGAAGTTGAGCCACGTGAAACCCTTGGCACGCAGACCATAAGGCAAGATTTCGGTGGTATAGCCGGCCATGATACCTGACTTGATATCGTAGAAAATGCCGTAGAAGAACTGGATGTCAAAGTCAGTATAGCCACCTGTGCGTTGAGGAATGACAGGCGAAACTTACAATACTAACGATAAATCCTTTACCAAGAGGGGCCCGAGGCGCAATGTCATACCTGGCGGAAATGATGGTGAAGATGTTGAACATGACAAAGGTTCCGATGGTGGAAATACTGGACGGGGGTGTCAAGAGTCAGTGCGTGTGTCGCATGCGGTTCGCATAGCGATGCTTACAGATATATTGGACGACGACCGAGCTTGTCAACCAAGAAGGCGAAAAGGAAATTCTCGCACAGCGCCAACGTTTTCATACCACCATTGATACCAAGTTGTGTCTGAGGGTCAGTCAAGCCAACGTTATCCTAAGATGACGATGCATAAAGTCAGTGTATATCTCAAACGCTGTTCGTAAATGGGGCTTCTTACCATAACATACTTGAGGTAGTAAGATATGAGTCCGTTACCACTCCATTGGCTGAAGAAGCCAATCGCAGTGATGATGATGATTCTCTTACGGTTGCCTTTGGTTTTGAGGAAGTCTGACCAGTTGGTTCGGTCTTGTTCTTTGTCAAGCGCGATGGCGGCGCGTACTTCGGCAAATTCAAGCTGGACAAACTCGTCGTTCTCATCTCCTTCACCGTGCCAGCGGGAGAATACGGCGAGTGCTTCTTCGTGGCGGTCTTTGTTACATAGCCAACGTGGAGATTCGGGCATAAAGAAGATAAAACCAAGAATGATAAGGGAGCAGATTGATTGTAGGAGGGAAGGAAGTCGCCAAGACCAGTCGCTCTATGAGAAGTTAGGATCACGTCTCTACTGGAAGATCAAGGCGAGATGTAAAAGGAGAAAGTCTTGACATACCTTCATCTGGAGTGTGCCATATGTGACCCAGGATGCGATGAACGCACCGGAGTGATAGCTGGCGCCAGAAAGCGTTACCAAGACCGCACGGTCTTGTGGATGAGCGATTTCCGCGATCAACAACGGCGCTGATCCAAGAACAATAGTGTCTCCGAAGCCTAGGACCAAGCGAGCTGCAATGAACATACCGATGTTCTGCGCCCCAGTTTGTATTGCGACAGCGAATAACATGATGACACATCCAATTGCTACACCGATCTTTCTGCCTTTCCAATCAATGAGATAAGGAGTGAAGAAGAGACCGATGAGCGAGCCCAGAGACATGGATGAGTTGAAGAAACCGAGCATGGCACCACGTGGTTCTCCAAAGTAGTCTTGCCAGTAGGACAATGACTGAAGACCGTTCATCATTGATCCATCGAAGCCATTGGCAGTGTTCGTAAGAATCAGGACGACTATGTATATGTATAGTCTGCGCAGATTGGCTTGCTTCCACCACGGCACCCTTGGGAACGCGCGACCTGCGAAGAAGAAATGTCCTTTCGGCGGTTTGATGGGTACAACCTTCTGAGTGGTCTTGGGTGGACGGAAAGAGATCGCCATCGTGAAAAATGGTCGTTGCTGTGATGAAAAAAGATGACACAGCTCCTACAGCAAAAAGGAGCATTGAAGATGCATGGGTTACTTATATCTATACACAATCCACGCCGCGCCACACACAGCATCCTAGAGGCATACAATCCTGGCTATTAGCATCTATCTGGTCTTACTTCGCACATCTCGGTGGCCAAAACAAACCCTTGGGAAGAAGCCAAGCTGGTTGAATGCGCACATTTGCCTGGCCTTGTCCCGCAGTCAAGCACGCATCTCTCGTATTTTACTCTTGTACTTCGCGCCACCAAGGCGCTGCGGTCTTGACAATTCTAGGTATTGTATCAGCAAGGCCCATTTGAACCAGTCTGGAGTCATGCAGCCACGCGACTGAGCCCTTAGTCGATTGCGGGGAAGTCAACTAGTCGTGCAGCAACCCCATGGGGTTCAACCGGTTAAAGGATGAACCTTATCAGCCTTCTACAATAAAGTCGTTGGTGATGGACGTGAGTATTGCCGCTTCTATTGCCGGTGTCGCGTTGCCAATGCTCGGAACGTGGAGAAATCTGTTGTCGCTAGGCCTATTCTCGTTAAGACGTAGTATTATGATTGGTCACCTAGGTCCTATCAGATGACAGTCCATCGTCTGAGCTTCAATTCCATGGCTTGCACGATTTCTACCGTTACCAAGGAGCGCGTCTAAATACCAAAGTCTCGGTACTCGACAGGCCTTGCAACGCACTGGGGTCTGTGCTGGGACTGTCCATCGACCCGGATCCTGAGCCGTTTCACGGCAACTTGTCGATCATGTTTATTAGATAGTGATCTGGAAGCGTTTAAGCACAGAAGATCCATCGAAGAATTTGGTATATGCAAGAGACATCTAAGAAGAGGAAGACATATCTGTCGATGGGCATGTGTAGTCACGACTACATTTGTAGATGAGCTTCTGTTTTGGAAGGATCTTGGTATGTATCTATGACCCAAAGCGTAAGATGGTACCGAAAGAGATAGCGCAACAGGGCCAAGAGTCCTTCACGCGACCAGCATGCGCATTTATCCGGTAGGAATATGTTCACGGTACTATCCTTGCGACTACCACAATACACCAAGAGTAGTCTATGATTCAATTTTCTGGGTAGTAATTCTGGTTTAGATTTTGGACCATAGAGCCATCAACATGGTGAACAGCAATCAGAATATCAACCCCATCGTTGGAGGGTTCGCTCCAGACCCCTCGCTTGTCCTCGTCGATGGCACTTACTTCCTTATCAACTCGACGTTCCATCTCTTCCCTGGTCTCCCAATCTACACGTCGCAGGATCTCATCCACTGGCATCAAATAGGGAACGCCATCAACAGGCGTGAGCAGCTCAGTTTCTCCAAGTCCTCCACTTTGGTTCACGATCTTGGTAACAATGATCATCTCTACGCTACAGGTGGCCTATACGCACCAACGATCCGTTACCATGATGGCACCTTCTACGTCGTGTGCACAAATGTGGTGAATCATAAGGAGGAAGGCAAAGAGAGTTCCTTGCAGAACTTCATCGTCTTCACTACAGACATCTACTCGAGCAAATGGAGTGACCCAGTTTACTTCGACTTCTACGGTATCGATCCTAGTCTTTTCTTCGATCCTCACACCAGAAGAGCATATCTTTGCGGTTCGAGATCTCCAGGTCCGAAAACCAAGATCATACTTTTTGAGATCAATGTCAAGACGGGTGAAAGACTGAGTGATGAAAGGGAACTTTGGCACGGTACTGGTGGCATCTATCCTGAAGGCCCGCATATATATTTTCGAAACGGGTTCTATTACTTGATGATTGCGGAAGGAGGAACACACGAAGGGCATAGCGTCACAATGGCGCGAAGTCGTAGTCTTGAGGGCCCGTGGGAAGCATCGCCCAAGAACTCGATACTGAGCGCTGCAGGTACCGATGAATACGTGCAGTGCACTGGCCACTGCGAAGCGTTCGAAGACAAACAGGGACAATGGTGGGGTGTTTGTCTGGGAATAAGAATGGGCGCTCCTAATTTATACGGACTTGGGCGCGAAACGTTCCTCACGAAGGGGACGTGGAGTGATGACGGTTGGCTCGCCTTTGATCGCGCGAAAATGCAAATCGAAAACCTGGTACCTATCCCATCGAAAAGACTCACTGCCGCGCCCGGCGTTGACTTCTTATATATCCACGACCCTATGCTGTCTCACTACAAGATTGTGGAACAACAGATGATACTCACAGCTTCGCCAAACGATCTGAAATCTGCAGATGTATCGCCGTCGTTCGTCGGTAAACGTCAGCGTCAATTGAAAGGAAGAAGCAGCGTCACCGTTCTATCACCAGCACCTAGCTTCAAGTCGCTAAATACAGGCCTTGCAGTCTACAAAGACGAACATCGCTTCATCTCCTTGTCGTATACCACGTCTTTGGACTCTTCCGCTCCCCGCATTGGGCTCCACGTATGCAATGCAGCGAAAGGAATCGATGACCAGAAACACGCCAAACTAGAGAAAGCATTTCAAACTCTTCAACTTGTATGTGAGTATTCAGAGATGGAGTACATCCTGTCGTATGGAACAGACAGCGGAGAAGTCAAAGAGATAGGACAGGTATCCGCTATGGATCTGAGCGACAAAGATTTCGTAGGACCGATTATCGGTATATTTGCGGAGGGAGAGGGTGGAGAAGTCGACTTCAGGGATTTCGAGATTGACAGTGCATCGTCGCGGGCCGTGTAAAGTGGCGACGATCGCGTGGTCTTCGCTCGCGAACCATGACGGGTCTTGCCGGTGAAATCTTCGGATGCACGATCTGCCATCGTGCATTGCCGCGATGACTGTGGGGTATCAATGGCACGTTTCGTAGTTATATATAAACATTTGAGTTTGCTCTCTTATTACCATGATAGAAGGTGTTTATATTTAGGGTTCCCATCTTCTACATTGCTAAGCTTCGTATCATCATGTGCATCCGTGAGATCCTTTGCTAGACATTTTATAGTTATCTTGCAGTGCACTAGCGGGTAACTAATATCGTGCTCTGCAGCATTGGACGGCTCTGGTAGGAGATATATACTCCGAGCCTAAGACGGGCGATATTGATGGCTCGCATCCGAGCATCGACCCAAGCCCTGCCAGAGAGCACTTCATCCCTTCGTTGGGACGCACTCAGGACTCAATTGCCTATTTCGATCCGGTGTATGGCGATATTGGCGTGTCTAGTTGCTCAAGTTCTGGTAATTGTAAAGTCTTTAGAGACCTGAATGGCATCGAACGGCAGTGGCTCTGAGGTAAGTTTTCGTTCGGAACTTGCGTCGTCGCCCGTAACAGTGATGTTCGTCTGGTCTTTGTCGTGCTGTGTTCAGTTAGCTTCATCGATCGCCCTGTGCCTGCTTCATGAGACTTACCAACTCCATCCACTGAGTGTAGTGACCCGGCCTCGCTTGCTGCGATCCCAGACCACCGGTGTTCGACCTCTTGATCGCACTGAGTCTTCCAGTATTGCTCATTGACGCGCTCTTGTACTTTTGGCGCCACTGAAGGTAGAACGGGCGTAACATGGGAATGTTGATACAGAGACCGGCCAGCATGAGCTCGACAGTGCAGAGCATAAAGGTCGTTCCCGATGTACCTGTGAGGTTGCCGATAAGATCTGTGCATTGTCAGTCTTTCTGCCCAGCTTGTCAACGCGTGTAAGCAAGCATAACTTACCAATAGTATATATGAGGATGAAACGCGCGATGCTAATGACCACACAGGCTAAACCCAAGCCGAAACATGCCAGTACAGCAAGCTTTTCCGTCTTTCGCATTTGCAATTGCCACACGCAGCGGATTGGGATTACCACGATCATGAGGTCGGTAGCCATGTTTGACAAGATCAGACACTTGAGCAGCAACATTTGATCCATACAGTGTCCAACTCGTTCGATGGTCCACTGTTGCGAGATAGGGTCGCAAAGGAAGATGAAGACGAAGTTGAAGATGATAGCCCAGGCGACGACTATGCCGCCGACGATATAGACTGCAAGGCGCAATTGGAGCTGGAAGACGCGGTGGTATAGAGCCAGTTGTGAAAGCTTGAGAGCTGCGAGACACCAGATGTAGATCAAAGTGAAGGCAAACGTTATCTGCATGACAACAGGAAGGTTGTGCATCACTGTTGAGTTGGTTAGTTGTTTTACCTCCTTGAAACGCAACAGATTTTAGAACGGACGTACGCTTAGGGAACATCTCAGCATTGTTCTTATCCAAGTCATAACCAACTCCGATCGTGAAAACTGTCTGGGTGTCAACTCTATATCCATAACTCTGGCGAAGGTCCAAGTCTTACCTACAGCATTCAATCCGATGGTACTTGTCGATAGGACCTTTAAAGATTGTAAGCTCGGATGTCAAGTACGAAGATAGCGCGATGCGTACCAGTGCAATGCCTGCGAAGATATCGTCCAGTGCTAATCCAGGTCCTCGCATGCGACCGCGAAACCGAAAGAAAACAGTGGTTGCAAAGAGCAGCCATAGACATGACATCGCTATCATTGAATCACGGCCGCTCCTAGTCATCGGTATACCGATCGTTTCCACCATGTCGGCCATCTTGCTCTGTGCGAGCCACGCACGCAGTCAACGCGTTCAGGCAATGCTACAGAGATGCAAAGTAATGAACAAAGTACCAAAAGAGTGTATCCGGCCGTGAGAACTGGTGTTGACGAAAGAACGAAGGAGAGAAGACCGGGCGACGAGTCGGGGCGACAGAGTGTTCATAAAACCTGATCCATGCTGTGGTCTCCTGTCTTCCCTCGAAACTCCTCTTGACTTTCGTCAATGATCGCATTGCCCGTTGGGTTAGCGGGCCTAGCCTTGCGGACCGAAAACAGTTCCCTGCCTGTCAGAGCCAAATAGTGGGGGCCTGAAGGATCATTGCCACAAACGTTGGCCGAACACTTGAACTATCCTTTTCGGATGTGTGTTCGAGCTCCCCGGATACGGGTGCAGATAATTCAAACTACCCGAGATGACGATCGTAATGGAGTGACATGAATCTCGTGCATTCCTGCACGTTAAGCCGTAACGAGAATATAGACATGAGGCCTGAAAGGGAATGGTAATATGCGGCAAGATGTTGCCGGCGGTGAAACGGTCTAGCCCAGGATGTGACCCACAGGGCCAAGGGTCTCTGCCAGGCGCCTCATCCGCTTGCCGTATGACAGCCGCAACTCTCCGTCTTGAGGGTCATAGGCAGCATGAATTAGCAGGGAATGAACAGAGTCCTCATGTTCGTCTCCACATCCCTGGGCAAGGTCTGTTCTTGGCCTGAGTCGCATTTTGCCTGTGGCGGCAGGCATGGCGAGCATGTCTTCCAGAACAAATATGCAAATTCTCCGACCTTGAAAACAGCCCTATCCCAGGTTCTCGGGTCTTTTACTAGCCAGGCGCACTATTGTTGCGCGCCTGTCGAATTGTTCGTGCCTTAAGACCATGGGGTTGATAGCGAAGAGTTTTGAGCCCCAAACTTGGATCAACTCAAACGGACAACATTCCCGCAAAGACTCGCGCAGAGTGCGCGCATCTCCACTTGAGCATGTGGCCTCCCTTTCCACGTGGCGCTATGATCCTCCAAGGTCCTAGGGCACCAATGACACCACTCTCAAATGAAAACCCAGTGGGGTCGATACGGCGCATTCTCGGCGCTGGACACGCGATGCCTGTTCTTTCGCCAAGTGCGGATGCATTGCAAAAGCCAGCAATCAGAAAGAGAAAGGATCGACCCTGTTGAGCCATCAGTCGACTAGAGACACTCCATTGGTATATACCATTGCCCTCGCTGAAACGATGCCATGCAATCGCGTTCTCCTTTGTGCAGTTGTGCGTTGTCGAACTGCCCAACATTCCCAAGATGGACGACCATTCGGGCCTTTCACAGGACTCCAAGTCAGTTTTCCCCTTCGCGATCGCGACATGGCTTGTCGTTCTCTGGATAGGCTATAGGATCGCTATTGCCGCTTACAACATATCACCTTTCCATTCACTGTCCCATTTCCCAGGCCCAAAGATTGCAGCAGCATCCTACCTCTACGAAGCATACTACGACTGGTGGCTAGGAGGACGATATGGCAAAGTCATTGCCCGCATGCACGAGCAATACGGTCCCATCGTACGCATAAACCCAGACGAACTACATTGCTCCGACCCTGCTTTCACAGACGAGATATATGCTGGCCCCGGTCGCTCGCGCGACAAGTGGCAGCATCAACTGAACACTGGTGGAGTTGGACCTGTTGCGGTAACTGGATTCTCGACAGTCGACCATGACCTACATCGCGCACGGAAGGCGCCGTTGAGCAAGTTTTTCTCGCGTCAACAGATGTTGAAGCTGGAGGGTGAAGTACATGAGTTTGCCATGATGACGGCGAACAAGATGCTCACTTTCGCTGGGAAAAGCGCCTTTGACGTCAAAGAAGCATTCAACTGCTATACTGCCGACGTGATTTCCCAATACGCATTCGGTGAGCCCATGGGCTTTGTCGCACAGGAAGGCTGGGAACCAAACTTCGCAACCTGGGTCAAGTCATTTTTCAAGAGCGCATACATGATGCGTCACAACGTTTTGGGTCGAAAGATGGCGCAGGTCCTACCGTTCATGGCTGACTATCTCGGCGAAGATATCAAGGCTGTCATGCGAGTCATGAACGTAACCATTCCCCAGTACATTGGCCAGGCTTTGAAGAACCCAGAGAACGGGCGTGTTTTCGCTGAAGTCATGGGTAAGGACAAGACGATGTCTGAGGAGGAGAAGTTCCGCTACAATGGCGAGGGTTTCAACTTTTTGCTTGCGGGTACCGAAACTACAGCTGTAAGCATAAAATGGATTTTGCTTCTAAATTTCGAGGACTGACAATGAATGCAGGCTATACTTACTGTCTTCACCTACTGGACACTGGCAAAGCCAGAGGTTTACCAGAGACTCCTGGCCGATCTGTCCAGCGCCGGTATCAACCTACAGACGCTCAAATGGGTGGAACTAGAGAAGGTACCATACTTCTGGGCTGTCCTGCAAGAGTGTCTACGCATGATGCCTGGTGTGTCCCATCGCTCAGCCAGGATTGCTCGCTTGGAAGACTTACATTACGTGTCCGCGGATGGCAAATCTGACTGGGTCATTCCGAGAGGCACCCCCATTGGCATGACATCCATGATCAACCACTGGAACAGGGAGCTTTTCCCCGACCCCGATGAATTTCTTCCCGAACGTTGGCTATTGGAGGATGGATCGCAAAACTACGCGCTGCAAAAGAAGCTGATTGCATTCGGAAAAGGAAGCCGCAGCTGCATCGGTGAGCAGCTGGCGTACTGTGAGCTGTACATCATGGGCGCGTACATGGTACTCAATGTTCTTCCGAGGGCGAAGCTTGTGGACACCGTGAAGGAGGACATCTCATATGACCATGACTTGATTGTTGCGCAGACGACGAAGGGCTCCATTTCTGTTCGCATCGCTATCGAGTAAATAGGCTCTAAATATTGTGAGGGGGGCAAGGGTTACTAGATTGAGTAGGAAAATACATGATTGATCATGAGCAATAAGGACTTGGTAGAGGCCAAACAGGACGCGCTGGAGAGGGTAGTGACGCGTGTTGTACGTCTGTTGATGTTGGAAGTCGCGACTAGGCTGACGCCGGTGCTTGGCCAAAAAGGGTTTCATCCAGCCACGTGCTATCATATTCTGCAGCGCGACTTTCCATGGCTGCTTCAGCAGTACACCTCGCTTTGACCCATGGTCCAAGCCTTAATCCATATACACCTTCAACTTCTGCAGCGTTCAGTGGGTACACGTGGTTAGAATCAAGTCCTGAGCGGATTTATGTCCTTACAGTATTGGCGCGAGGTTGTCCACGCTCAGTCGTGCTATCGGCGCCCGAGCAGCGTATGGCATTTGTAACAACGATAGGTCCCTTCCCAGACACGTTCTATGCGCAGCCATCCAAACCCAGTAGGAAGTAAAAGTGTGCGCTATGGCACGTCACTATCCGTGCCCACACGTTCCTGTCAGGCCGCAAGACTTGCGCATCGCTGACAAGCCTGCAGTAATAGCAGCCATAGCACGACGTTCGCTTTCCATTGCGGTGGCTTCCCGCATGTGTTAGATTGTATTCGTCTCGGCCTGGAAAAACTCATAGATGCTTGTCAGCGAAGGGTGAAGTGGCACCATTGTTGTGTTCATGTTTGTCTACACTCATAGATCATAGGCGCCCCACATGCGATCCAGGGAGCTTAGGGCACACTACTTTATCTAACCTTGGAACTAGTGGCAACAGTTGTTCCCCGTCCGGCATCATCATTTCTGGGAATGAAGTATCAATTCACATTCCTGCTGTCGCAGCTTGCGCTTGCATCTACAAGTTCTCGCTATTGAGCTCCAAATCATCCTGGTGGGGCTAGGTATACTTTGCAGCCCATGGGCCACTTTTTCCCACAGATTACCCCAGCTTCGGCAGTGACAAGTTGGACAACATGGCGCCCATTGCTCTCCGAAAGTGGTTCGATACGCCTATGACAGAACAGATGCTGTGAACCTAGATGCCGATCTTGTTCGACTCACAGTGGATGCCTACAATGAGGTCACTCTGACGCCCTCACATCGCGAAAAGAGCCTGTTAGATGTGGCTCACCATTTCTTCATTCACTTATCGCAAAGTACTTGATACTTCCTGGGCCTATATATCACTCGATTGACGGGCGGATGTGAGGGGAATTGGCTGAAATCTCTCAAAAGCTCATAAGGAGGGGCGCGTTACTGTTTTCAGTCATGGTGCTATTCGCAGCTGAAAAAAACTAGAGCTTCTGCCAGTACAAAATTGATGTGTGGCATCTACTTTGTCTGTATTGGATGAGGCTGATCAGCATACACGTGGAGTAGGCGCCAAGCATCGTGCTCTTGGAATAAGCTTTTACGCACTTGCTTGTTGAGTTGTGACTGGCCATGGCATATGTATAACATGCAATACTATAATAGATATCATGCCCCTCGTCTTCCGTTTCCTTCTTGACATGCACTCCGAATTTGAAAGCCTATTCGATTTGCCGGTGCTTGTTCCGACGGCGCTTCCTGGTATCTCACCGTCATCTAGCGCTCGGAGACACCGCTCCTTGACGACTGTCGCTTTCGATCCTGTTCCATACCAAAGAATGCGCCGTTGACGCTGCAAAGGAGTTCCAACGCGCGACGTGTGACAGGGCGAAAACGACACGCGGCACCATGCAGCGTTTGCCCCTGGGAGTGCAATCGGCAACAAAGATCTGCAGTGTTCCGAGCATCAACACGTGCCCTGAACCTACCATGAACTCAGGTACGTCCGGAGAAGTTAGCATATGACGTATGGTGCGGGATTTTAGTGAAGACGGGCGGTTTCGAGAAGAGTGACATTTACACAGCCCCATTCTTGGCAGGTCGAAATCCAGACGGTGGTCGCCGCTAGCTATACGGCAAGCGGACCTCAAATGCTCGCACACTCTCTTTGACCCACGAAATTCATCTTTTAGGGTCCGTAGGCCTCTCGAGTCTCAATGGTCCAGGATGTCTTCTCACTGCACAACATCGTCGGCAGCGACGAGTCGCACTTTCCGTTTTCCCTCAAGGACTACCAACGCTATGTATTTGGCGACGACCGACTAGCGCATCGCTTGGGCACGGACCTATGTCGAGCTTTCATTCCCACCATTTCCAACCCTACAGACGACTTCGCAGTTGCCGTTTTATCCGAAAAGGTCCCCACGGCCACTCATAGGCTGCGCAATCACTTCGTCGCTTACCTCAATCGGCATCTGATCGCGAATAATGCGACTCCGGCCCTCAAAATCGACTTCCACATGGCGGGGGTGAATGCAAAGACTCGGGACGATCCGCAGTGCAACGGGAAAAGCGCTTATCACATCGATGCCGAACGCCTGGGGAACAGGACTCTGATCGTACTGACCGAAATCCGAACGAGCCAAGACCGCGAGGACCAGATACGATCTTCATTTGGGGAACGTGGTATAACCACCATTTTCGCCTATCTGGCATCCCTGGATGGCTCCGCAACGACTGCAACCATCTCATCCTTCTTATCTTCGGTCGTCAGCCCGTCTATGAGAGACATTGAGAGCATCGCGCAGTCTACTTATTTTGTCATGAACGAATGCTTTGTCCAGTCTGCACTAGGAAGAGAGTATGAGGACTTTTGCAAATTCATACGACGACAAGACGACCACTTCGTAAGAGAGCTATTGGATCACGCTATTACTGGTCACTACTACAATGACGACGACCACGAACACAACGTACAGTTTCTGATTTGGGAGCTCGAGGCGCGGGAAAGCGTTTAACGGCCACGGCTATGACTAGCAACACAGCACGGCAGACGGTAGCGACCGCTACCAGTAATACTATAGTACTTTCACCACTCTCTATGCTTTCGTACTTGCCTTCTTTTGCATGCACGTAACAAATTAGCGCTCACATTTTTCTTGTCATACCTCAAGTTGTGCCCTTTACTAACATCGCATGGGGATTGCCAAACTGACAAGTATTCATCTGCACTCAGCTTCGCAACCAGTACCAGGCTCAAAGTTGAGCCTTTCAACACCTCAAAGATTTTTGCTTTGTCTAGTTGTCGTGATTTTGTATCGACATGTGCAGCATGCCAGATCCGGAGATGCTGAATGTTGTTCTTTGTCCACTTGTTGCTCCACTTCAAACATCGCAATCATAACTATACTTGTACCCCATACTTCAGTCAACTTCCTCATTCTGCAATTCACTGTCACGAACGACGCGAGCACCTAGCAGCTATGCCGGTGGCGTCAAATCACCATACGCGCAATCAGTCGCATCGAAGCCTACAAGAATTGAGAAGCATTAAGGATCCTCAGGACCTCGCCTTCCTGAATCAGCCTAGTTACTATGAGACCAACGTTGATTTGAGCCAGATCACCGTAGGTACAATTCAGAGTAGGAGAAAAGAGAGCGAACCCATACACTCGACAACGCAGCCGTACAATGCATTTCAAGACGTCCAGCAAACTCTGCTTCAGTTGACTAAATTGTACTCGGTAAGACACTTCCACTACATTAAAGGGTCGCGCAACCTCTTTGCTGACTACGTATTAGCTGCATATCATAGTAGCCGCAAGCTTGTACATGTTCTTCTTTGAAGTCGCCGTCCGGCTACCCTTCCTCCTCGCTGTTGCCTTTGCAATCCCTTCCATTCATGTGCTGCTAGTACCAGAAAAACCGGTAACTGGGGATTACACGTACAATGACGATTCTGAAGGTCTTTGTCGCCGATATTCTATCGATTCTGTAGTTCCTGGTGAACCTGTCGCACAGTACAAGACCGTAGGAGCCTTGCACCCAGCTGCCGCTATTTTCCCCGGTTTAACAGTCTTCTCACCCTCGACATGGTTTCCACGAGCCACGGATAACATAGATTTTCGGCACAAGAGGCAGCGGTTACATACTACGTTTCGCGAATCAACTTACCAACCTCGGCGTACGTTTCATGAAGCTTTCGAGGATACATTGCCACGAGTGCTCGAAAGCTGGACTATGTTCGTTTTCCGGACAATGGTCTACCAGATTACATCTCGAATCACTGTGTTCATCATAGGACGCGCATACGAGGCTATGACGGGAGAGGACATGAATGTAGATGACTACATCATGAACATTCTGCTTTTTTACTGGAACTGGGCGACTGGTATGAGTGGGTTTACTTTGTATAGCATCGATTGGATTACTTTGGGCCTCATTACGCTCCTTGAGCAGCTCTTGATATGGCTAAGCAGGCAGATAACAATGGTCACTGGAGCCATGCACGATGGGAGGCTACAATTTGACGATTTGAACGCAGTGCAGTTCTAAGTGGCATCAAGGCTACATTATAGAGGAAGTCAGAAAAAGGCACAGGATTTGATTTTGGTGAATGTATACGTTGGGCGTTTCCGTCGCTGAGGATCTTGCGTCAACAGTTAAGATATGTGATTGTAAGAATGTTGTTGGGTCCTTTCCTTGCACACGCCGCAAATGATGTTCAATATCGTTGTTACTAGTAGCATGTTTTCAATATAGCCTTAATCGATGACATACTTCAATCAGATATCCATCAATGTAACAGGAATTTTACGCATAACAATATTGTGACACATCCTCTTTGCTCATCTCCATAGCCATTCAAATATCATCACTGGCAAATATATGCTGCCTGATGTTCTCTTCCCCACACATCGCATAATCGCCAGAATAACATAAATGTTCAAGAAAAATGAAGCCGATCATCTTAGCCGCCACAATACCACTACTGACAACATCCCTAGCGCACTCATGGCTACACTGCACCCAGCACAACAACACTGGCATAAAAGCAGACATGGCAGCTGCTGCAGCTGAAACACCACCCAGAGAAATTGATCCACTGTACGTACGTTGTGCATAACGACGTGTACTGAAAAACAGAACGGCAGACTGACCATGTCACAGCGGACCATGGTACGCAGAGCTCTGCCACGGTTGGCCCCGCGCAAAGCAGAACCCTGGAAATTGGCAGGATGAAGGCCTTGAGTGTATGTTATCTCTATCCTCATCGACTTGTCACGTACTCTGCTCTCACTTCCTTCCACGGCTAATCACCTACAGATCTATGGGACCTCCCCGCCGCAGCCTCAAGATCTGACACACACGCATGCCACCCCAGCCAACGAGGCCCCCTTCAATACTTGGCCTCCTCTATCCCACAAGAACCTGGTCACAAACCGCCCACACATACTGCACCCGCTCCCATGGTAACCGCCTTGGCTGGGTCATCTATAACCCTCATGTTCGGCGGCAACGGTCACAGCCGTGGTAACTTTGGCGGTGTTGAGATGGGTGACCCAGGGAAAGTATCCGTTTATTGGGCCGGTAGCAAAGAAAAAGAAATTGTAGATGTAAAGGAGTTGACGGAGGAAAATCTCATGCAGAGGAACGGGTTCAGTGAGGAGAGTTTCGCATATCCGTTGGACAAGAAAGTAACAGCGCCGGGGTGGGGGCCGGAAGACCTTCACGACAAGGGAAACTGGCAAACGCTGCATCTGTAAGTCCATATTATCTTCTTCTCAGTGTCGTGTTAAGAATGGAGGAAGAGGCTCGGTAGAACGTCGTTTCACTAACAGTCCTTTGCAGGCCGGAATGCATGGAGAAGGGACGGCACATGATGATATGGGTGTGGAGTTTTGGTGGTGGAAATAAGTATAGCACATGTTTTGATGTTATGGTCGCGTGAAATGAAGGCGAAGAAGGTAGGTCAGGAGGGGTGTTGTAGCTGTGTACGTACATGTTGTAGATGTGTGTGCAACATGATTGTATACATCAGTGCTTCGCCTCTCTCTTTCCGCTCGCTGTTCCTGCTTCTCCTCTTGCATGCGCAGTTGCGTTGCTCTCTTCCACCAACTTCAACGGACGGTATTCTGCTTCCCACATCTGTTCTCTGATCCATTCCTCTAACTCTGCATCGTCACTTGGTATGTCCTTCTCTTGAGCTAGATCATCCTCTATAGCCTTCTTGATCACGTTCCTCGCTATTTGAACGCTGATCTCACGAACATCTTCCACATCTGGAAGCAAGCCGGCTCCGCGGTTGTTGAGAACAGGAGCTGCTGAAGCGAGGGCTTGGACAGCTGCAACGAGGAGAGCGGGAGTCATAAGACGGGCTCGACAGAGAACTGCGCCGAGGCCGATACCGGGGAATGTCACCGAGTTGTTGCATTCAGCTTGTAGTCGTCAGTAACATGAACACAGAGGTAGTATCAACAGACTCACAGATATCGTACTCCTTGCCATTGTGCTTAACCGGCGGGAATGGCGAACCTGTCGCAACCAGCGCTTTGCCATCGGTCCAGTCATACAGATCTTGGGGCTTGGCTTCGTGGAGCTTGGTTGGGTTTGAGAGTGGAAAGATGACAGGGCGTTCGACGTGTTTTGCCATTTCTCGAACGACGTCTTCTGAGAAGGATCCAGGCTTGGTCGAGGTACCAATTATCACGTGCGGCTTCACTTCCTTGATGACGGACAGCAGATCGCCGTGCTCTTTGCCCTCCCACTCTTTATCGTCCCGTGCAAACGGAAGCTGGGCTGGAGTAAGTTGGTCCTTTTTACCCTGTAAGAGAAGACCGGGTTTATCGACGCACCTGATCGAAGTTAGCGTGAATTAGCTGACTGGAGCTGTGGAGTAAGATACCAGATTTGGCGCCCGGCTTCTTCTTTGGATTTTCCGGTGTTTTGGATGATAGCATCTTGGATCTGATCTGCAATTCCCGTACCCGCTGATCCTGAGCCGAACATGACAAAACGAGCTTCTTCCCATTTGATTCCGCTCACTTTAAAAGCTGCCATGATTGCTGCGAGTGTCACGCAACCGGTCCCTTGTACGTCGTCGTTGAAACATGCGATCTCAGGTGTGTACTTATCCAGGATCCTTCGTGCGTTGTTCAGTCCAAAATCCTCGAAGTGGATGTACGCTTTAGGGTAATGCTTCCTTGCAGCCTTTACAAACTTGTCGACGAAGTCATCGTATTGCTCGCCAAAGACTCGCTCTTTCCGTATGCCAAGGTATAGCTCGTCGTCGAGGAGATGTTTGTTCTACATTTATCAGCATGCCTCATCTTAACTGACTCTCTATACTGACATCGGTGCCGCAGTCAAGTACTACAGGCAGCGTCCGCGAAGGATGTATTCCAGCACATAGCGTGTAGATGACGAGCTTGGCGATGCTGATCAAGATAGCTCCTACACCTTGATCACCAATTCCCAGAATCTGCTGGCCGTCGCTCACGACGATCACATCGATATCCTCGGGGTTCCCCCACTGCTTCATGTCGTCCTCGACGCGGTCTGCATCGTCGATGTTGAGGAAGCAACCTTCGGGCCGTCGGAAGATCTTGGAGTAGTCTGCTATGGCCTCGCCTTCGGTGGGGGTGTATATGACAGAGAACATTTCCTTTAGGTGGTCGAGGATGAGCTGCGTAGTCGTCAGCCATGCCATGACCAACACTGTCAACTGTAGCGCACCCTGTAGTATAGCACCTCGTTCTGTTCCTTGAGGCTGGTCATGAAGGTGTTCTTTGCAAGGTCGCTCGGTCGGGAGTTGTACTGGGCGTATGCGCGTTTGACCTGCTCGTCGAGGGTCTGGATGTTGGTGGGGAGGAGGCCATGGAGCTTGAATGCGTCGCGCTCTTCCTTGGTGAAGGCTGAGCCCTTGTTGAAGTACGGCGTTCGGAGAAGTGCATTGCTCTGAATGGTGCGTTAGTCGTTTGGTAGCCCGAGCGAATGTGCACGTCGTACCGTCCTAAAGGTGCGTGTGCGAAGTCAGTCTATGTCTCGCATGTACTTCATACAGGGACACTTCTTACAGACTGGTCTCTAATGGCCCGGATGTAGAAAGAGGCAGATGCCCAAATTTGACATTCTTTTGCTGTTTTGTATCAGACGACATGCTTGCGATACGCTTCCCGTGGGTGATGCGCGGGGCTCGAGATGTGCGACTGGGTACCCGCTGGGTTGCTAGCAGCGCTTGCCTGGGTATCGACGATTTGCACCAGGGAAGCATATCCTGTCAGCGGGGGCTACAAGCCAGTTGTAACATCTGTCGCAACCCCGCCCCAAGCGCTATATATTCCCGGCCATTTCCGATGACATGCTGTTGGGCACGCACTTGGTTGCGCGTCGTAGTTTCGGTATGATGACGTCGACGTGAAGCTGCCCACTGTCACCGTGCACGTGGCACTTGTTGGTCGATCCAAACTTCTGGGTACATCCCTCCTAGTCGCCTGCTGCTCAACGTCGCAGCTAACTTGATTCTTCTTGAATTGTTTGATAACTGAAACTCTTCCATTTATTGGTAAGCACGATCTGATCCCATGGGCCAGCGCCGTAGTCATGCGCTACCATCGGTTCGAACAAGAGCAATCAATTCGCTTTATACATAGGTGCTTCAAAATGCCTCGTGTTCTTTCATGATAGTCAGCCCCGTCTCTAGTTTCTCACATCATAAAAATGGACGACATGCCCGCAACTGAGCCTTACGAGCCGTACCAGCAAGCGGTCCCCTCACATTCAGACGCGACCTCCGCTACAAACTCGATTCCACCAAAGCTCGCGCAAGTTCTACGCAGACTTCGCACTCCAGGTATTACACCCACGTGGATTACAGACTCTCTCATCCCTATAATCAAGCTCGCGTATGGCTCTACCTCACCCAAACCGAATTCGATGACGGGACATGGTCCGAAGTCATCGAAAAAACAGACTTACTAATCCAAGCAATGGATCGTGCAAACATTGATGATTCCTTTATACAAACCTACTATGAGGCATTGAGAACGAGGAACAGAGATTTCGATGAAGATATGATAGCAATAGAAGGAGCTAGCAAAGATAGTAATGGCGATTTCTGCGAGATCCTGGCGGACAAAGGAGGAGATTTCGCGATTGCTATGCTTATGGTATTGAAGACTATGGAGAACGTGGCGGACTGTGATGGGAGTAATGAGATAGATTCGAGTGAAGAAACAGGTGGGGAAGAGGGGAAGAGCAAAACGGAGGGGACCAGTGGTACGAAAGATAACACTGCACATGATAGTGGGGATGCTACTGAAGTCATGGGAGAAAGCACTAATAGCAGCAAGAGGGGAAGAAAGAAGAGAAAAGTGGCGAAAGGACTGGGTGGTTCAAGAGCTGTTTGAGAGAAGAGCTATACTAAGCTAGGCTAGATTTTATACAGCCTCCCAGCGCCCATCGCTGTCATCAACCCCAATTGTTGTCTCGCTGCTTTGGCAAGAATAAGGTCCAAAGACCCAACACATACAGCTTCCATGCCAAGTTCGGTAGCCGAGACACATTATTACTACAAGAAAAGAGGCGTTCTGGAGCATCAGCTTCCGTATCTCGAAGATTCCCACTAGGAAAAAAGACCTCTACCAGCCACCTGCAGGCGGTTGTCCAGGGTTTGTCATATCACAGCAGCAACCATTGTTGACGCATTTACAGTCACCAGAGAAGCCCTAGTAGAGCAATCAGCTCGAGGACCATCTTTGAGTCATCTGGATCATCGATACACCTTCGAGGGGAGAGAGATGTGAACTGAGGAAGACATACTTCGCATGGACACTCGATACAGGCAATATGACTAGTACCCTCGACATTGTTGTCATCGCGCACCGAAATGGTCTTGAAGGAACGGCTGAGCGAAATCTGATGGTAGTGTGTTAGTTAGGCGTTTGACACTGTGGTTTGGCAAGACATACGGCTCCAGGAGCGGCAAGAACAGCGGCGGTATAGATCACTGTGCTGATGAGAGCGAACTTCATTTTGACTTAGCGTTGGAAGAGTCGGAAGATTGTTGTTTTCCCAAAGAAGAGGATATTTGTTCCAAGTCGTGTTCTAGGGCAGAAGGAATAAGAGCAACAAAGATATCTGCGGATAGAAAAGGAATGCAATGTGTTGATAAAGTGAATAGTGAGAATGACCAGCCAGACAGGGACGAGGAAGCACTTTGATACGCCATCCATTTGTTACACAGTCGCCATTGCTACTTTGCTACAGACACGGATGAAGCAGTCTCTTTTCCCGTTCTAGTATCCCATGATCTCATTGAATACTGGATAGTGTGACCTAAGCTGCGGTCGAATATTGATTCGCCTCCAATTCCATCATCTTCTCCTAGCCGAAATGTACGGCGCTGCCGATGGAGTACTGCTGCTTTGTCGCACTGGCTGGATGAATTGTTAATGCTGACTTCACCGCACGCTGTGATCCATCGTCTTTCAGCGCCACCGTGTTGCAGTATTGCCAAGTCGATGCATGATCCCTTAGTCTGACTACGAAAGCCAAAGCTAGGATTATTGACCGGGTGAGAACTGCATTCCTTCTACGACTATGAAAGATAGTTACGTGATTTAACCTTCCTCTTCTACAATTCAAACGTGGCAGTCAGCCTCTGAGAATAGGAATACCATTTAGCAAAAAACCAAGCTCTGATGCCTTGACTGGTCCTGGAAAGCTATCAAGTAGGTAAGACAGGTGTGCACCGCCGCATTCTTGCAGAGGCATGCGGCCACCCCGTAGTTAATACCCGAGCGCCCCCGGGGATTCCCGGATGATTTGATGCCCGGTAGCTAATAAAAAGACGGTTGTGCTGCGCCGTACTGCTGCTTACCTACGCCCTAGGGGCTAGAATGTCAGCATGAGAGAAGGCGACCATAAGATAATACAAACGAAGTAACTTACACGACATTTTCGCACTTTCCAAACTGCTAGGGAAGTATTGCGGGAATTCTATACTGATTTTGTTCTCGAGACTTGGGTCGATCATCTGCATGCACTCCACGAGCCATAATGTACCTTGGCTTTACGCACGCTCAGTAGGCCCTAATTCTAGGTTTCGTGAAAAATAGCACTTGCTCTCGAAACCGTTTTGGATGTATCTATGAGAGCATGTGCGCACAGGTGGGATTGGCGGAAGAATTGAGTGGAGTGAAATAGAGTGGAGAGGACGATGATGGTCATTACGTCATCGTTAAACCGCGTCACTTGCGCAGACGCGTCCTTCCATAAACGCTAGGACGCGACTGCCCTTCTGCTACGCTAGCACTAGAAAGCCACCAACAATGTTTCCCCTACTATGTTGAACTATTTACTTCGTATGCATAAACACCCCATTGATCAGTCCGCTAAACCTCTGCTACTGAAGCGACGTTCGCAGCCACGAATCCCTTCCAAAACATCCCGCCGCCATCCATCTCTCCCGAGATTCCCAACTACAATCTCGACAATAACCTCCTTTTTAGGTGTTCCATTCTCCCAGCATGAACATGGTGGCATACTCAACTATCGGTAGTTCAAAAGGCTCGTCAGTACCTATGAATGCTCAATGTCCTGCGCCCCTCACTATGCTTCCGACAGAAGTGCGCCTTAAAGTTTACCAACGGCTCTTTCATCGTGATCAGCCAATTGTCCATATAGGTCGCTTATCGGATCAAGTACACAATCATGGTCTGATTGTTTAGCCCTAAATCCCAAAGCAATCACACAGGTGCAGAAAGTGTTCATGGAGGCTGCTGCAGAACGGGTGGCCGCAACGAAGATAAATGCTGTAGGTGAAGATAGGATGAAGCAGAACAAGGAGAATGCGAAGAGAATAGTCAATCTCCCAAATCAACAGACGACAATGGTTCCGGCCCCCAGCCACCAGACCAACTGGGACACATACACGACTACACCAGGAGTTGGAAGCTTCGGATCTCACCCAGCTTACTCGAACATCATGAGTTCATTTCCTTCGCCACAGCTCCATAAGTCTTTGCTAGCTCCCACACCGACTTCCAAGCGGGAAGAATAGTAGGCGAGGCTACAACACGCACATGACTTAGATTAATTGACCTCTACTCACTGCATTAGTTGATAGCTTGGTTCGATACATCTTGCGATCTCTATTGTACGATCGTCGAAGTCAGCAGGTGTTTTGGAAGATTTTGCTGTGGTTAGCAGTTATGACATCAGCAAGGTTGGCCATGGCATTAATGCACGGTAGAGGAAACAACGTGTTGATAGACTTTCGTGATACGAGCAGCTGGAATGATTGGTGTATCAAATCATAAAATACATTACTGATTACGACATTGTCATTACTGTCTATACATGCAGATTACGTGGCGTAGGCCCTCAACTTAGGCTCCGTCAACGACTTCTGTGGGTATGCCAAAAGCAATACGCCGGCCACCGGAATCAGCCCGCTGGTGGCTAAGACATCATCAAGATCGAGTCCAGGGGCAGCGTAGCTGCTGCAAACACTCCTCACGTCGATGCGCCCCAAGTTGCCCGGTCCGTCGTTCTGGAGCGCATCAACAATTAATGCGTAAGTCAGTGGGTTGAACAAAACGCCAGCATGACCGTAGACTGAGCCTCCTAGCTGCCCAGCACAAACGCGTTGTACTTCGTTGTTGGAGACACCAACGTTGCGCGCATCGTTGATGAAGGCAGAGGCGCCAGTACCTTGCTGAGGCTCGACAATCTCGTCGAAGAAACCGGAGTAGAAGGTTGTAGTGGGAACGTATGCGCTGTCCCCACCACCACTCCTGAGAGCCCTAACAAAATCCGAAGTAGCTTCTTGCTGAATAACGGAAGGATCACAGGGACCAAGGGCTTGGTTGCTGTTTGCCGTCAAGCAGATGACGTTGGCCAAAACGGTGCCCTTGAAATCCGGAGATACAGGAAGGAAATCCGTGACAACTTTGCGGGTTGAAGGCCAGTATTTAAACACCCATTGTGTGTCTAGACCACCTTGAGACCAAGAAATAACGGCGATATTCTGCTTGTTGGTACGCGAAACGGCGCTGATGTAATTGATAGCGTAGGCAATGTATTCGGCATTCGTTTGCGCGTCGCCGAGCATGGCACCGGGAATATTGAGCCATACTGGATCGGCATAGCTCTCACCTGCCAGAAGCTTCCTGAGGTTGTTGGCGAAGTTGGTACCTCCATAAGCACCAGTACCTGGCACAAAGATCACAGGACGTTTCGCGCCATATGTGAAGCTGGGTGGGATGAAAATCGCTTTGCGAAGTGCAGATTCTGAGAGCGTGTACGGAGCATCTGCATTATCCTTCTTAGGATAGATACCAGAAGTAGGTGGGTTGTTGTTGTTGACGCTGTTTTCACCAACTGGTAGACTCCCAGTCAGGGCGGCATTTAGGGTTCCATCGAGCACCAGGCCATCAGCTATTTGAGTTGCAACGGCAGCAAAAAAGTCTGTTCGCGTGGTTGGACTCGCCCAGATTTTGGAATGTCTTACCACCGCGGCTTCGATATTCGTCGGTCGCGTGGTAGGTTGAAGTTGCGAGAGGATGCTGAGCACCTTTGTGGGACTGCCCTGTGCAACCGCTTCGTTCACGTCGCCGAGAAGGTTATCAACGAGAGAGATTACGCCAGGAAGCAGACCAGGAATAACGTTGTTCAGCAGTTGTCTTTCATCCAGACTTTGGACCTGTTCAGTAGAGGGTCCTGGCGTTGGGATTGGCGCGATTCCTGCTACCACCGGGGCTGGTGCAGGTGCGGGTGCGGGTGCAGCAAGCGACGTCGGGAGAATGCTCAGAAGAGCTAGAGATGGGACTGAGAGACGCATGTTGACTCTTTTCTCAACCTTGGTACCAGCAGAAAGTACGGCCTAGAAGACGAAGAGATGCAGGGCCCCTGTCACCCGCAACAAGCAAACATGCCTCGCGTCTTTAACCACTCTCGCAACATGAGTCGTGCGGACTCCAATCGTCATCCTGCCCTCACTTTGCGTTGCAGTCTGTCACGAACTATTCTCCTTGTCACCTCTTTAGCGTCGCCGAACGCATGGGACAGTCGCGGAAGCGCATATTGGTAGATGTCGATCTGCACGGTCCTGTAGATCTTGCGCTGTGTACAGTGTTAGCGTGTCGGATCGCCCCTGATCATGATCTCCTCCCTGGGCAGATCTGACCCTGCTTTACTAAATTGGGACCTGTAGACTATTGAATGCGGCAGTCGTGCGCCATTGACATCGCTAATCCGCTTGTCGAAGGGCTTGTATTAAACGATTATCAGTAGGCTTTTCGGCGCTCTCTCGTCGCGATAGGTCTTTTTACATGCTGTTATCCATCCATCATACATTCGCTACTGTGAGCAAGAGGGACTGCTGGAACAAGAAAAGCGTGAAGAAACTCTTTGGCGAAGAACCTACAGGAAGAAAAGAGCCTACCGCCCTGAAGCGGATTAAATTGTGGAGACGCGATTACGCCGAGATTTGCCAACATGACAGGACTGTCGGCCTCATTACTCTTGACTTCGGATCAGCTCTGTCATGTCGGAGATGTGTTCTGCAAGCCATGAAAACCATATCATACGTTCGAAAAAGAGGACTCTGGCGTTGAGATCATCACAGGAGGTTCTCGGAGCATATATTGATGCACGATTTAACACGCGGATTTCTGGACATTGTATGTGCTTTTCTAGCCCGCAGTATACCCCGATCTTACCCACCGGAGATATGGAGCGGGTATATGCTAGCGTTCCAGGAATCAACCTATGCTACAAGGAAGTGTAGATATAGTTCCAAATATCATTGTCCTTAACTTTCCACCAGCAAGGAGTGTGTCGACATCTATAAGCTCATTAGGCCGGGATGCGTCATCGCTGCATAGCTAGACAACAAGCACACCCGCTGTCTGATTCTCATGTACCCAACCTGCCCAATCTTTAATGTCTACTCCTGCGCGTCATGTTGGAATCCATGCGGTGCTGCGAACGCGTGACGTCATCTTCAACTAGCGTGATTGTCATACAGCGCGCGACACCCATTCAACCTCATCGACTCTGAGCAAGACTATCTTCGCCTTGTATTCTTCCGTTGCACACCCACAATCAAGATGTCAATTGAGTTGGTCTGAATTGATAGGACGACACTTCATCAAAGCTTCCCAGATAGAGAAGTTGCGAAGTGTCACGCGAAACTACCCATGAATGTAACTAACCGTCCCAAAGAGGCTGTCAGAACAGTATATAAACAGCTGGACTCCCTACCCTACAAGACCAGCTTATCTGTGATGTGCCTTCCAATCTTGATCTGATCCTTACGGCCCAGGTAGCTGCGTTTGCATGTGCATCGCTATCGGCATGTGCTGGAAGCGTCTTGCAAGCAGCTTAGGCACATTTTGTCACGCTCCTTCACCACACACTATATCCTGATATCGCACAAACACCCCTAACCTATCTCTAATGTACCTCATATTACCTACGCGCAGGGCTCAGACATCCTACAAACCGAGAATCAATGGGCAGCTCGTTCCTCCAGCTACCACTGCCTACAGCACCTTCCACTTTACGCCAGGACCAACGACGAGATGCCGCTCTTGATTTACTCAACACATGTACTCTTCCGCGACTATTGGATCTCGACAATCGACCTATTTTCATGCTCAACACAGACGATTATGCCAAGGGAAGCCGAATTCCAATCCAACCCGTCTTCTGCAATGCAGCACTGAGAGAGCGAGAGCAGCTGCTAGAACAAATAATCGGTACCCCGTCAAGTTTTCATGATTCTGCCGGGACTGGAGCATCACATGACGAATTTCGGATATGGGCGACGAATCTCAGGAGATTCAACGATTCTCGAGATCTCTTTCCGATCACCATAGAGTTCGAGAACTGGTTGTGGTTGGGCATCTCGATCCATCCCAACAGGCGGCTGATCAGCGGACACACGCTTTTCAAAGATGAAGATGTTTCTGGAGGGGATCAGTTGTGCGCATCAGCACCACGCCGCCAGAAAGAGAGACACACTGGCGATCTGCCTGGCGATGTAGCTAAAGCTTTAGCTTCTGCCGAGGCTATACCAACCCGGGAGATTATTGAGGACGTTCAGGAACCTAAGTTTCCATTTGTAGTCCTCGGAAACGATCGTGACAGAAACAGCTCCTCGAGTATCTCATCGATAACCTTGTCTACGCCCGACTCTTCTGTGCCAGACTGGACAGTACCCCATCCAAGAGGTGTTCTCTCGCATCATCTCCAATTTGTAAGGAGCATCGACTGGGCAAAAACGCCGTTGGGAGCTATGAGTAGATGGTCTATTCAATTCCGAGAGATCATCTGTTTGGTCATGCGCAATCCTCATCCATCTTCCGTGTTCTGGGGCGAAGATTTAACCATGCTTTACAATGAGGCTTACAGAGACGACGTGACAGGCGAAAAACATCCGGCTTTAATGGGAACTGGCTTCTCAGGCCCTTTTGGCGAAATGTGGCATGCAGTTGGACCTGTAATTCGCGAATGTGCGCGGACAGGTCGTGCACAGCTTAATCACAACCAGCCATTACCCATCATGCGGTACGGCTATATGGAAGAGGCTTTCTTTACCTGGTCTTTCGTGAGTGTTGATGCTATGGGTTCTGTTCTTTGGATACTTACCACTCACATCATGATAGGTACCAGTCTTTGGAGGTACTGAGCGCATCTTAGGGTGTAGGTAATATTGCATCTTATTGTGATAGCTCCATAGTGAAGCTGGGTTGGCTTGGACGGGAGTAATAGGCACGCTGACTTAGACATGGATTACAGTCTACCTCAACGCATTCGACACCACGGTTGAGTCCATTAGCGCAAGAAGGATGTGGCTGTTGCGCTATCTCGGGGAGTGCATGAATGCCACACGTACCGTCAGTAAGTATACACTTACCAATGTCCTACCGAACGAAAACTAACATCGCGTTTGCTTTTGAGAGGAATTTTGGATGAGAGTTCTGGATGGCCTGAATCACAATGATTACGACGTACCTTTTGCCCTCTTGTACACTGTTACAGAATCGGAGGGCGCTGAGAATGCTTCTTCGCACCCGGATGCCACCCCAACAGCTACAAAGTGTTGCGTTTTTGAAGGATCCATCGGAGTGCCGAGAGGGCATGCAGTCTCCCTCGACAGGTTAGATCTCGGAGATAGTGATGGATTTCTGACACCGGCTTTTCGAAACGCTACACAAACCCTTGAGCCCATGATGTTAAGTATCAAGGATAACACGCTTCCACAACCGCTTCTAGACGTTATCGAGTGGCGAGGCTACAAGGATCCATGCAGAGAAGCTATGGTTTTACCCTTACGACCAACCAACGCAGACAACGTGTGCGCTTTATTACTGCTAGGCATCAATCCTCGGAGGGCATATGACCAGGAGTATAGGTCTTTTATGGCCATGCTCAACAGACAGATCGCTACGTCGCTAGCTTCGGTGCTTCTTTTCGAAGACGAGGTGTGCCGGAGCAAACAAGCCGCGGAGATAGCCACCCTACAAAGAGAGCAGATGTCTCGACAGCTTCAGCTTCAGACTGGACGCATGCGGCGAATGACCGAACTATCGCCTATGGGCATGTACTTATTCGACCCAGATGGTCTTCTGGTAGAGGCGAACGACCGATACTATGAAATGACTGGTGTCTCGTCTACAGGAGATAAATTGCCATGGTCCATTGACATGATGGTGGGGGAAAGCAAAAAGGCTGCACAGGAAATGTGGGACTGTACGCGACGTTCTGTGGCATTCATTTGTTACGTATACTAACACTGATTGTCGGTACTAAGACATGATCACTCACCACAAGCCAGTAAGCCGTGAGCTGCAGTTCGCGAACTCTGCATGTCAACCCCGAGACATTGATGGCGCACGAATCGAGTATTGGGTCATGGCAGCTAGTCAGCCAGAGCTAAGTGCCGACGGTAAACTCGTCAGCGTCATGGGATCACTTACAGATATCTCGCATCTGAAGTGGGTACAAGGCCTGCAAGAACGGCGAATACAGGAAGCGGAAGAGGCAAAGCGCCAACAGAACGAGTTCATTGATATCACGTCACACGAGATGAGAAGTAGCGATCTCTCCGTAGGAAACTCATGTGGGACATATACTGATCAGCTCACCAACACTCAGATCCGCTTTCCGCGATCCTTATCTGCGCCGATGACATCCGAGATACCCTGACACAGTACAAGTTCTCTTGCAGTAGCGATCAGAAAATGGCAAAGGAATGCGTCGAAGCAGCAGACAATATTGCACTTTGTGTTCAGCATCAAAAGTCGATCGTCGACGACGTTCTCACCGTCTCAAAACTGGACTCAAATCTTCTACGCATCGCGCCAATACCCGCACAGCCAATTATAATCGTCCAGAGATCTATGGCAATGTTGGTCGCCTTGAGCCTGGGTACGCGAGATCAGCACTAACATTCTACTTTCAGGTTTCGTCCTGAAATCCAGGCCAAGAACATCGATTTCAAATTTATTCCACATCCCAGTGTTCGAGATCTCGACATTGACTGGGTGATTCTTGACCCTGGTCGACTTCTTCAGATCATTGTCAATCTCATCACCAATGCCATCAAGTTCACCATGGAATCCCAAGTCCGCTCAATCACGGTCCACATTTCTGCTCATACGGAATGGCCAGACTTTGATATCCCAGAAGGATTCACATGTACGCAGTATATACAGTATTCTCGCATCAGGGGCTACCACTAACCCCACAATCTCATCTTTAGTTGTTCCACCACGACATATCGTAACTGAGTTCGGGAGTGGTGAGGGCTGGGGATCAGGCTCGCTCGTATATCTCCAGTTCCAGGTTCAGGACACAGGTTGCGGACTTTCGCCTCAGCAGATGTCCCTCTTATTCGAGAAATTTGCCCAAGCTGTGGGTCAATCCAATGAACAAGCTACAAATGAACTACGCACTAATGCTAAATCTAACACTTAGTCTCCTCGAACACACATGCGATACGGCGGTAGTGGCCTCGGACTCTTTATCTCGCGCCAACTTGCTGAACTTCACGGAGGTCAGATCGGTGTTTCTTCTAAAGCTGGTGTCGGCAGTATCTTCGGATTCTATTTGAAGTGCAAGCGCATGATTGCTCAGAAACCTACTCTATCGCGTGACACATTCAAACACGCCCTCGAAATCGAACACGCGGTGACGGCACGGGAAATAAAAAAAGCAACTACATCCCTGATCTCCGCTACGACTGCAGCAGGAAAACATGGATATTCTGTCGACATGGATGTACCACAGTCCATGAATGAAAAAATGGACGAAGCTAAAGATGACCAGCTTCATATCCTCGTCGTTGAAGATAATCTAGTGAACCAAAAGGTGCTAGTCAAACAACTCATGAAAGCAGGCTGCGTTACCAGCACCGCTGACAACGGCGTCTGGGCGTTGAAGCATCTTGTCAAAACAAGATTCTGCGTTACCGATGGGATACCACTTGACATCATTCTCATAGATTGCGAGATGCCAGAGATGGATGGCCTGACATGTTGCAGAAAGATACGACAGATGGAGCAACGGAAAGAGGTGTCGAAGCATATTCCGATTATAGCGGTTACTGCGAATATCAGAGGTGGACAGATAGACAATGCAAGAGATGCAGGTGTGGATGATGTTGTTGGGAAGCCATTCAGAATCCCGGACTTGTTGGCGAAGATGCGGGAGCTATTGGAGAAGGTCGAGGACTGAACGAATATTAAGATTTTCCTAATACAGGGCCGTGAAGCCTACGTGGTATCGTGAAGCCCCTGTGACCATTGCCATTTGGACCTCAAGGTTTGTAAAAGGGTTTCGACGAAGGATTTATGCAATTACCGGACTACCACCATTGTCGCCAAGTTCACCATCATAGGTAGTGGTGACAAGAACCAACAAGCTGAGACATGTTCAAAGCCTTGATAGATGTCGTCAAGAATCTTTTAGCAGCCCGTGCCTATGTGTGCTTCCAAGTCATCCATGGCATTGTCGGCGCACGAATTTTATCGAAGCCATTCAAATGTCTTCTTCATGGTCATCACCCTCGAAAGACTTGACCTGAACGCTATCATGACCTCAAAAAGCCCTGCTTTCGGGTCATGTCACTACATAATCCAGAACGCATGCCTCCGGAAACCTCGCCTACACATATCTAAAACATGCCTTGCTATTCTTCATGTATGTCAAGTCTCCTCTCAAACACCGCCAACATGATGTGAAGAATCGGCAATTTTGGACAGGCGGGCATCAAACAATTTGGTCTCATTTTTTTGGTAGCGAACCTGTAGGTTCACCGCCGCGTTTGGGGAGAAGAACAGGAAGTTTGGCGACAACAGAGGGAGTTTATATGCCCAAGGGTGGCGCTAAGGTGGCGCTTACCAAACATGCTGGTACTAGCAGGATGGTGAGGAAGAGATAGCCAGGGAACGTAGTATCCTGACGTTGTAGATCTGAGCATATATAGCGTTTGCCCACTGGGAGGTTCAAACTTGAATAGCTCGTCTAAACCACCAGCCAACATAGTAGCGAGCTTAAGCACAGTCACGTGTTAGCGCACCACGCTAACGCCACGCGACGCGTCAAACCTTCCTTCATCTCCACTTCCCCAATCTGACCACCCAACTGCTATACAAAGCACCATATTCAAGTCGTCAACAAGCAAACACTCAGCAAATCTACAACATATCACCTCGTACGCAAACGCGCCGAATCTTGCCGCGAAAGATCTTCACACGAAGCTTACTCACGATGGACCACCCACAAACACCCCGCATCCTCGCCCCGCACCTTGCAAACTTCCAACACCGCATCGTACGCATATTGGGAAAGGTCACGCAGCTGCGTGGTGAGACAGCAGTTATTGACGCAGGAGGTAATGTCGACGTTGTTCTGAACAGGGTAAGCATTTTCGTCTGCGTTTACATGTCGTTCAAGCACTTGAGGAAAAGAGTATAGGAACTTGATCAGGAGTATGAGCTGACCAAGATGAACCAGGACTCACATCTCGCCGTCGGTCATGCAGTTGAGATTATCGGCAAGGTGGACCAGAATCTGCAAGTCAAGGTACAAGCAGTAACCGATTTTGGCACAAATATCGGTACGTGCTCTTCACCAACCTCCCTCTAATACCCGTGCCGTGCCTAGCGCACAAAACCGGTGACTGTCACATACCAGCCTCAGATCCTGTCAGTTTCTGAAGGCGACATGCATGTTTTCGCCCCCTTCTCTACTTAGTGGAGGAAATACTCCTTTGAGAGCAAAAGCGAGTATCACGCTAATGCAACGCAGATTTCAACGCAGCAAATGCAGTAGTAGATGCTACGCATCGGTACAAGGAGATCTTCTACGACGACAACTAAACATTAAGCATTAAAAGTGCCTAAATGGTAAGAGATGAACATCTTCATGTACAAACATGTGCAGTTTACGGGCGGATTGGATTAATGTACTAGTTGCTGAGCACTACTACAAGGATTACGATGCATCTACGAGCAGAGAATGGAGGCCTCGGTCACATGATATAGACATTTACAAATCGATCCAATCAAGAAAATGCGCTACGTGTTCTACTCTCAATGCATGGTATCTTCCGGCCAGGAATATAGCGCCTCCCAAACGCCTAACCATGCCAAAAAGAAGAACGCCCCCATAATCATACAATTACATGATGCGCTGATACATGCAGTTATCATAGCTTACTCCTTACACCCTCGAGTCTGAACTTGACATCTTTGAGCTGTTTTCCGGTCGGCTTCCATGCCTCGAACATACCGAGTAATTTCTCGACCTCGTCTCCAAGTTCCTTCTTAACAAAATCCTCTTCCAGTAAACCTCTCATTGCCCATGGTAGGAAGAAAGGATTCGGGTTTGTCGTGGTAGCAGAGGGCTCGTAGTCCTTCACACGAAGCTTGTACAAGTCTTCTTTTTTATTGTTATTCGCGAGCTTCTCACCAACGACGGGAATGTTGATGCCCTGGAAACTGCCGGCCGTGCTTGGCCGCTCTTTAGTCGTTGGTATAGGGAGAGATGTTGTTTCGAGAGCATGCTGTACAGCAAGGGAGTAGATGGCAGGGTCTTCGTAGACACGAGAGTGACCTTCACCACCATATAAGGAGCCTGCTAAGGCGGGCGACAGTTCGCGGATCAGACCGTGATCAGGAAGGCCTAGGTTGCGCAGTTTCAATGCGAAGCCAACGAGATGGGTGAGAAAGTCCGGTGCATGAATGCGACCATCAACGAAGACGGCTCGGTAGATGTAAGGGTGCGAAAGCGTTGAGAAGGTTGACGACTGGCGCAAGTTAGCAAACCGCAGAGCTAGAATAGAAAAGAAAATAGGCTCACCTCAAGAGAGACAAGCTGGTCGTCGATACTACCAACGTACAGTATCCGTACACCGAACCGGAGGACTTCGTCTAGAGCGGCAAGATACATCTGACTGACTAGACTTTTGGGATTCGAGAACTCGAACAATTCAGCAGCTGTAGGACCGAAGTACTTTGTCTTGTACTCGATGAACGGACCCATGTTTACGCCAGCCATAGCGCATACTCCGATCCTTGTCGCATTGACACAGCCAAACTGTATGAGCTTCGCAACCAACATCATAGCTACTGGCACACCCTGCGAGTGGCAAGCGACCAAGATGAAGTCAGCTTGCTTGAGATGGTCAACCCAGTTGAGCAAGAGCTTCCATAGGGAGTTGACCCGCTCAGCAATGAATCCCTCGCCTTCTAACGCTATCTGCTCGATCTCTGGACTGTACCCTCGCGCTTCAGACCAGTCCTTGATTGCTGCGGCTGCGGCGTTTGCAAAGCGTATTGATGTGCCTGTCGGCTGCCCTAGCACCTTTTGTATAATGGGTGCAGGAAAGAAACCATGTACACCAATCGCTACGGCCTTCTTGATCCTCGGTGGTGCTGGGTTGATGTGCAGGTGAGGAGCCGCAGGTTCGCCTCCAAGAAAGTATTGACGGATTTGCTTCCAGAAGTTCGGTTGCTGGACCATTTGGTAGGTAGTTCTAAACTCCGGTAGCAAGAGGTTTGGTGGACCTTGCTTGGCCTTGGCCAACTGCTTCGATGCTTGTTTAGCAGTAGATGCTGTTTCAGGCTTCGTCGGCTCGAGCACTGGTGAGGCTTTCGTCGGTGTGGCAGTCTTACTCGACGTAGGGGTGTCGGCTGGCGTGTCTTTCGCAGGAGTCTTGGGCTTTGGTCGTCCCCGTAACGAGGCAAAGGATTTCTTCGGAAGTGGTTCGTCCTTCGGTGGCTGTTGTGGTTCCTTGGGTGTCTCCGCATCTGACTTGGGCTGTTCCTGCTCGTTGAATTGCGCCGCTTCAGGGTTCGATTGCGAAGGAGTATCGAACACTGCCACCTCGCCCACATGCTTCTGTGGCCCAGCCTCGCCCGGCTTCTTTTCTTCTCCCGGTTTGCCCCTATACCAGAACGCCCATGCAGAAGTTTTTAACGACCCTGTAGTATTCTTCTGAGCAGTCTCGGGAGGTGTAGCTGGGGCTGTGATTGCGGGGTCCTCTTGCGCGGCTGGGGTCTCGGTCTCAGCAGGTGCTTCTGGCAGAGCCTCGGGCACAGCATCCGCCTTGTGCGTAATACTATCATCAGTCGGAGGATCGACGGGAGGAGGGTTCGCTTGCGCGTTCTGCGCGCTACTCCATGTCCAGAACCAAGAACCAGATGCTCTTGCCAGAACTTTAGCAGCTGCGGATGGCGCAGCCCTTGTCTTGGTGTCTGGAAGCGGGACTGCCTCTGTTGACACATGCTTACTCTCTGTCTCTACCACCTGGTCGGGCTTAGATGGGATGGTACCCGCGTCTAGACCCTTTGTTTGCGCATCTGGCTCTTCTGAGGGGGTCGGTCCAGGTAGCGGCGTAGTGGAGGCTTCCTCAACACTCGAGTGTGCCTCACTTGTAGCCTTGCCCGGGTCATAGCCGTCCGGCCGCGACCACCAACTTCTCCAACCCCATGTGCTAGCAGCCGCGTCCACTTGTGACTTGGGCGGTTCGGGGGGTAACGGCGGTTCGTTGACCTGGGGCGCTGGTGTCTCTTGGACGTCGTTTGGCTTCGACTTGGGCGGCTCGTCTAGGGGGCCGTCCGAGGATACGTTGACCTCGGTGATGGAGGCGGGTATGGCGTCGCCCTTGCTCGACTTCCGCTTGGTGAGAAACTTCTTGGGAGACTCGTCTCTTGGCTTCTTCGCTTCCTCGTCGGGCAGTTCGCCTGTCGCACCCCCGCTAACGCCGATGCTCTCCTTTGCGGTTTTGACTATGGCGGGCGCCTTGGACCGCCAGCTGCCTGAGCCTGAAAGCCATGTCTTGGCTCGGGGTGTTTGTGTCCCAGAGGCTGTCGGCGTTGTGGCGCCAAGCGAAGGCGTCGATTCCGCTGCAGACTTGTCTGAGGAAGCATCTGGCAAGACTCGACCACCGCTGGGAGTATTGTTGGTGGTAGTGCTGGCGTCAAGTGGGACTTCTGGGCCCGGGGTGGGTGCGGCGGCGGGTGCCTCGGTGTCTGGCTTGGACTTCTTACTTGGCTTCATTCCTGCAGGGACAGTCAAGGAAGTGAGCAGGCGGTAGGGCCTCTGGAGAGGGAGTTAGCATGGAAAAGACATGCGAGGTTGGCAGCACACCTTCATCCCGACGTGGACCAGGTGCGCGTCGGGGCTGGCTGGCTGCGTCATGGGCCATGCCGTGGAGACTAGTCCTGGCTTAGCGCAGCCCCGTAGCGCGTCCACTAGCGTCCATTCTGCCACCGCCTAGCGATATTGTCGGCCTTCCTGAAATTTGTAGCGCCAACTTTTGCCCGCAGGACCACGACGCCGAACCGCAACCATGGCGATCCAAAAGAAGGTGCGCAAACATGGGAATGACACGTGCGACAGCAGCTAACCCCGCAACAGCACGGAAAAGGTCGTCTCGACAAATGGTACAAGCTCGCCAAAGAGAAGGGCTACCGTGCGCGTGCCGCCTTCAAGTTGATCCAACTGAACAAAAAGTACAACTTCCTCGAGAAGAGCAAGGTCTTGATTGATCTTTGCGCTGCGCCCGGATCATGGTGTCAAGTCGCTTCAGAGGTATTTCGCTGTGCTCAACACCATGCGCCTACGTACTAAAGACCCCAGGTTATGCCCGCCAACTCCCTCATTGTCGGTGTCGATCTCGCCCCAATCAAGCCTATCCCGCGATGCATCACCTTCCAGAGCGATATTACTACAGACAAGTGCCGGGCGACGCTGCGCCAACATCTCAAGCATCTCAAGTGTGACACGGTACTCCACGATGGTGCGCCCAACGTCGGAACTGCGTGGGTGCAGGATGCCTTTACCCAGGCCGAGCTTGTCTTGCAATCCATGAAATTGGCTACAGAATTCTTGGTCGAAGGAGGAACTTTCGTCACCAAGATTTTCAGATCCAAGGACTACAACTCACTTCTCTGGGTCTTCAATCAGTTGTTCGCCAAGGTCGAAGCAACCAAGCCGCCCTCCTCCCGAAACGTCTCCGCCGAAATCTTCGTCGTCTGCCGCGGCTACAAAGCCCCCAAGCACCTCGACCCCAAGTTCCTTGACGCTCGCAGTGTCTTCGCCGAACTCTCGGACCCTACGCCTAACAACGAAGCCAAGGTCTTCAAGCCCGAAGTCAAGAAGAGGAAGCGTGAGGGTTACGAGGAGGGAGACTGGACCCAGTTCAAAGAGGCACCTGTATCCGACTTCATTCAGACAACCGACCCCATCGCCATGCTGGGTGGTCTGAACAAGCTCAGTTTTGAACAAAAGCCAAACGGCGACATCGCCGTCGCAACCATCGACAAGCTGCCGGAAACAACAAAGGAGATAAGGGATTGCTGTGCCGATCTCAAGGTACTAGGTCGGGCTGACTTCAAGCGCCTTCTTCGCTGGCGACTGAGGGTACGCGAAATCTTTGGTTTTGCCACTAAGAAGACAAAGGCTCAAGAAGAAGAAAAGGCCAAAGAAGCGCAAGAAGGTGACGAGGTCGCGGAGATCGAGTCAATGGACGAAGAGATGCAAATCCAGGAAGAGCTCGAGCGACTGAAGGAGAAGGACTCCAAGGCGAGGAAGAAGCAGCGCCGAGCTGAAAATGAGCGCAAGCAAAAAGAGATCACTCGTTTGCAGATGAACATGGCCACACCTTTCGAGATTGGGTTGGAACAGGCTGGACCAACAGGCGAGGATTCCATGTTCGCCCTGAAGGCTGTAGACAAAGCCGGCGCTCTCAACAAGATCGCCAAGGGCAAGATGGCTCAAGTCGTTGAGCGCGAGCAGCCAGAAGAGATTGAAGAGGAGCCTGAGACCGACGACGAAGAGGATCGTCTGGAGCGAGAGCTCGACTCCATGTACGGCGATTACGTCGAGCAGAGATCAGCACGAGACGCCAAGTACAGAGCGAAGCGCGCGAGGAAACAGGACGACGATGGAGAGTGGAACGGATTCTCTGATGAGGACAAGGAGCAAAGTGATGACGAGGAGCTCGTACAGGACGCTGACAGCGATTGGAGCGATGACGAGGAGGAAGGGTCCAAAAGACTGATCACCGATCTCGATAACGAGGAGCAGCCTAAGACAGGTCTCACAAAGCGCGCAGCACGATTCTTTGACCAGGACATCTTCAAAGGCATCGATGGACTCGAGGATCTGGAGGAAGATGACGACAGCGGTATCGACGTCGAACATGACACCGAAATGAAGGATGAAGGCGCCACACCCGCGCCCGCGGCTGAGACAGGACTGAGCATACGGACGAGCACCAAGACCTCTCAACCAAAGCCAGCCTTGGACGACGAATCCTCAGACGAAGAGGACAAGATCGAAGAAGTCAAGCGCGACGAATCTCAATGGGAGCAAGACAACGTGCCTATGAAGAACGGCAAACCCGATATCGACATCATTACAGCTGAGGCCATGACCCTCGCTCACCAGATGGCCACAGGTCAGAAAACAAAGTACGATCTCCTTGACGAATCCTTCAATCGTTACTCCCTCCGCGACGTTGAAGGCCTACCAGATTGGTTCCTCGACGACGAAAACAAGCACTCCAAACTCCAACGTCCCACCACTGCTGCAGCAGCTACCGCCATCAAAGAGAAGCTTCGCGCTTTGAACGCCCGGCCAATCAAGAAGGTCCGCGAAGCGCAAGCTCGCAAGAAGTTCAAGGCTGCCCAACGCATGGAGAAGCTCAAGAAGAAATCCGCCTTACTAGCAGACGAAGAGGGTATGACGGAGAAGGAGAAGGCACAGAGTATTGCCCGGTTGATGTCGAGAGCTGCGAAGAAGAAGCCTAAGCAGAAGGTCAGTGTTATCGTGGCCAAGGGTGGTAACAAGGGTATCAAAAACAGGCCCAAGGGTACCAAGGGTAAATATAAGATGGTCGACGCTCGATTGAAGAAGGACGTCAGGGGCGAAAAGCGGGCTGCCAAAAGGAACAAGAAGAGGTGAAGTGGTGCGTGTTTATAAGTTTTTGAATCTGCATCATTGAACATGATGCAGACATGTTAGTTGCTGCAATGAAGAAACGTCTTCAACTGATATACTATGTCTCTGTCGAGCTTGTGCTATCGGAATAGCTTGCTGACGCTCCCCGAGTTGTTGAGCCAGTAAGCTTGTGCTTGTGTTTAATGAACGTTAATGATAGGTATACGAACGCGACATTCTACTTGTTAGCGCCAGAGCCCCCCGACACTCCGCGTCTTTTGCTGCCACGCTGACAAAAAGAACGCCGTCCCTCCCCACAACCACTCTTCGACTGACATCGACTTGCAAAAATAATGCTCCTCCGGGAAGGCTCGAACTTCCAACCTCCTGATTCGCTACTGCAAGCTGTAACAGTCAGACGCGCTAGCCAATTGCGCCACAGAGGATTTTGAAATGCGCCACACTTGCTACGCGCTTTTCGATGGAGAACTGGAAAGTTGTACTCAATATCACTTGCTACGACACATACATAGACATGGAAAAAGTGGGATACTGGCGACGTAGACATGTGTGCGTTGTGGGGGACGATGTGGGTCTGACTCGCTTACCCGATAGAACAGCAGGAACTCCAGGATGGACGATGCGATGATGATACAAATGAATTGATCAAGTTGCGCCTTCGTGATTGTGAACTGGGGTATAGTATAGTAGAAAATGCATTTACCTCTTTTTGTAACGCCAATGAGCACTTGCTCAGCTCGCTATGCAGTAAAAGGTGCCGTATGAACGTCATATCTGGCCGTCCGATCCCCACCAGGGAACGCTCATTGTGTGCTTAGGTGCTCTTCCGGGCTCGCTTTTTCATTGGCTCCTTCAAAGGTGTCTCGGCGGCCTCGACGACTCCTTTGATCCTAAACTCGTCGCTCTCGAGATCGAGGACACCCCGCAGGATACTGAAAGTGAAGAAGTCTTTCGTATAGCACGTTACTCCATCTTTCATCAGTTTGTGGGCTTCTGCGTCGTCTCGGTCGTCTGCGAGGACAATGCTGCTTCCCGTCTTCTTCACCTTCGCCGCACCAATGATTACGTTCTCTGCACCCGCGGCTTTGCCTACCATCTCGATCTCGGAGAAAGACGCGTATTTCGCCTTGAGGCTTCTTGTGAAATGGATACTGTATTCCAAGAAAGGAGCTTGTGGTTGCCCGAGGACGTCGTCAAGTTTCAGCTTCCACGCCTCCTCTTGCTTAGGAGTGGATGGCTTGAAAGCAGAAACGGCGAGGAGGCGCTTGGCTGACGCAGACTCATACAGCCACTGATCGGTAACGATGGGAATACCGCAAGCAATAGCATATAGTACCTTTGTTGTCTTCTGGAGATCACCATCTCTTACACTTCGACGTATTAGTAGAGTGATATGACCGTAGAGAAAGTGCTCACCATAGAAGATTAAACTCATCCGTTAGGTTTTCCACATATGCCCCACCTTGCTTCTTCAAGAACTTTACAACCTGGCTTGTCTTTGTAATGGTGGAGTTGCTACAAGCTACACGGGGCGTTGGGCCGTCATAGTCTTCCGTTGTTGTAGATGTAAATCGTTGCGAACTTTTCTGCGCTCGCGGCGGCATCGTTGACAAATCTTCTTTAGCAACGTCGACATTACTCAACCGGCTATCTTCGGTATCACTGTCAGCTGTCTTTGCGCGCTTACTAGGCCCAGCAAGTGCTTCATTGTCGGCCTCTGATGCCTCTTCCTGTGATGTGGGAAGTGTGCGCTTCTTGGATAATCTGGCTGGAATCTGTCCTCGTGGCGAAGATACTCTAGCACTCGAGAGCAGGTTTAACTGCGCACGGTCCTGCGATCCACTGGTCCGGGCTGTCGAGAAGGCCGCTGCTTCTTGCTCTGGCTCTGCTTCGGGGTCTTTCGAGATATTAGGCGTATACGTGGCTAGCTTGTTGACGTCGCTGGCGAAGTCTGGCGGATTGAAGTTTGCATCACGAAACGCAGGCGTATGATCTACACGATCCGTAGTTGGGGTTTCTTTAACGATAGTAATCGATCTTTGATTCGAGAGCCGAGGCGTCGCTTGAGGCTGCGGCTGCTTTAGTGACGTTGCATCAACAACGGGCTCCTTCGAATCTTCATCTTCGGTATCTTCCTCGTGTATTTCAGTGACACCGTTCACATTCGCTGCAGCTGACGAGTTGACCTGAACCTCCGAGTCTGCCCAATGACAAACGAGATCAGTTTCAGCTGTTGAAAATCCCAACACATCGCCATGGCGCAGGAAGATTGCTTCTGAGCGTCCGTCACTCGGTGGTTGTAATTGAAAATGGGCAGTAGATGAGCTTTTCGTGTGCGGTTGGAAAGGCAATATAGTTACTGTGTCTGTGATGGCTTCTACTTTGACTCCAAAGAGCCCGACAACTATAACGGTAAGAGATTGCGCCTCATACCAAAGCTCATGTAGACGACATACCGATGCGGCCAAGCTCACGAAAGAGACCCGGCAATGGCGGGTCGCGTACCACGGAAGGGTGTTTGGATGCAAGAGCTAAGACGATGTGTGCCACGCCCTCTTCTGGCAGGCGAAATTGACTCATGCCTGGCGGTGCCGCCGTGTGTGAACAGACCTAAAGTTCGGTATACGAAGTCAGTACATGTCTCACAATTAGTACGTACAGGCACACGACTAACCAGCGTCCACATCCTGGGTCGTTTGACGCGTCGTGGCGGATGTTAGATCGCGTATGTCAAAGTCAACGCGAGGTCACGTTTGTCTGGTGGAGGTCGGGGCTGCTAGTGAGCTAACGGTGACGTGCATAATAAGTGGGGCTACATGTCGATTCGTTGCGACTGCCGCCAACCTGTTCCTCCAAAGCAAGAACGGCTTTGCCTCGTCCATCCTACAGCAAGGGGTTGGATGTGAATGATGTGGTGCTATGGCTGCATACCCGCATGTTGTGCTATGCAATTTGGCCACTGTCCATGCTACGTGCAATCGGTTCCTGTACACCGGTACCCAAAGGTCTCAAAGCTTAGGCGGCCGTAGTCGAAGAACAATAGTAAGGAATTCGCGCTATCTGATCGCAACCTCATCCCACACCACAAATAATGCATCTAATAGATCTGCGCTTTACTTTGAGCGACTCTGTAACCCGTTGCAAGACAGGAGGAGAGTGACAACTGCAAGCATTGGTTAAGCTTCACCGGGCCGAAGCGAGTACCCAGATGCATTCAGGTGAAGGAACCGCGGAACAATAGTAAGGGCGTCAAGTAACTCTGAGCCTTCTTCTTCACCTTTTTTCAGCTAGCGATAGTCATAAGTCGAGATATCGAAACAATCGCACGCTGTCGCTGCGGTTGCTATTATTCCCTCGGGATCCGAAAGCCATCACTCCCAGTCACTTTGTTGATGACAATGTCTAGCAACAATCTCCATTGCAGCAGCAACCCTGTCCTCTAGCTATTATATCCCGACCCGCTACACGATAAAGCTTCGATCTTCCTCACTACTGAGCTCCTTCGCTCTTTTCTCAAACTCTACTTCATCCTACCTTTCTTCCAAGCTATTACCCCAGGCAGCTTCTATTTGGACCTGCAACCAGACGCCGCTATCCCAAGCAATCCTCAAGTTCCCGGTAGCACAAATCGTCATGGACGGGATTGCACAGAGCATCCAGGTTCCTCCTAACTTCGATCCATGGAACCAGAATTTCACTCTTGCTGTACCAGATGGCTACGGCGAATGGTTAGCCGTGCCGGTGAACATGAAGTCGCTCGATGACTATCGCATCTACGGTTTTCGTCTCGCTATCAGCTATGGGACAGGTTTTGGTGTATCACTCATGCTCTTGGTCGTTCTCCTCCTTCTGACCAAGGCTGAGAAACGCAAGTCCTTAGTCTTCTTCCTCAACGCTGCCTGTCTGCTCACCAACACCATCCGCTGCCTGCTGTTCTGCACTTGGGTCACCGGTAACTTCTACGACCCTTACACCGTCTTATCTGGAAATCGAAGTCGTTTGACCAGCGCAGACTTTGCCAGCTTCATCACCATCAACATTTTCGGTGTTATCGTTACTATCCTCGTCTTCATGTCACTCAGTCTCCAAGTCTGGATCTTTTGCGTCACCACACCGCCTCTACAACGCAGCATCATCATGGGTACAACCACTGTCATGGCCTGCATTGCGCTTGGATTCAGGCTTGTTGCCGTCTATCTGAGCACCAAATTGACTCTGAATGCTTTGGATACCGACTCCATCTTGGTCTTAATTGCGGTCTCTTACATCCTACAAGCTGTGTCCATCTGGATGTTCAGCTGCGTTTTTACGTACAAACTAGGCCACGCTATCATTCAGAGGCGTCGTCTCAATATGCCACAGTTTGGACCAATGCAGATCGTTTTCATCATGGGCTGCCAGACCATGTTCGTACCAGGTAAATTTGCCCATGTGAGCTTGAGTCTTGAAGCATATCTGACACACTAGTAGCCATCTTTGCGTCTCTTCAGTTCGCAAACATTCTCCCTGAGATCGTCTCCCATGTTCTCACGATGATATGCATCTTCCTTCCATTCTCCGCCATCTGGGCTGGCGTCGTCAACGACCAGAATCTTGCCACGAGAGGACCCGATGCTCACCAACGGCTGATCAGGAGCGACTTTCACGACAAATCTGCACCCTCAACCCTCAGTGAAAGCTCCACTGTTTGCCAAAAGAGCCGTCAGATGAGTTCATGGTCGGACATGAAGAGTAAGGATCACGAGAGTCTTGTCACCACCCCAACCTCGCATATTCACAACAAAAGCATCGACGAAAACTGCATCCGAGTCGACCGTAAATTCGGCTTCTCGCGTGAAGACGCCACCGACCAAGTCTAGCCGCCAGTGGCTGCACCCTTGGCCTACACTCGCCCATCTCCAGTACCTCGAAGAGCGTACTTTCATGACGCAGTTAGCATGCGCATGGGAAACAAGGAATGAGTGCGGTGAGCGAATAGACACGGCGAACACTAGGAGGCGGATGATCATCATGCGACACGTATCAGTGACGCACCCAGGAGGCGTGCGCTTTTCAACATTTGTAATTTCAGGGATATGGTTCGAGATGGTTCAGAGTCCACATTCATTGAATTTTTCATTACCCATGTATACTCATAGTCGTATCTTCCCCACCTAAGTTATTTCATTAGCAAATACTAGACTCTGCTACAACCACTTCGCTGAATATTGCCTGTAAATGTTATGACCTCAATTCTGCACTCAGTTTTATCTGGCAGATCAGTCACTAGTGGTACAACAGATATGCAATATATGCAACGCCATCCCGACGCGCGGGATGGCAAGGAACTTGATTTCGGTCTCCGAGGCAGAACATGCCCGCATTTGCCTCCCCGCACCACGTCTTCTCCTCGCAATTAGGATGACATGCCATGTATTCTCTTGCTGTAGCATCATTGATCCTGAATGCCGTGGACATGTAAAGCCGACGATGACATGTAAACTCATATTGTCTTCGCCAATTGGGGAAACTCTTTGGAGCACCTTTCATACGAAAGAAACTAAACCTCCTTTAGCGAACTCTTTTACAGCACACAATATACAAGCCTGGATGCCTAGTAATGCTGTAAGCTTGAAGAAGGTTATGCATATATATCGCATATGTTTGGCGTGCTGAAGTACCTAGGTAGGCTAAAGGATGAGGTTTGCAAGGGAGATTCAGCTTCTCCCTTGAATATGGTGGGGACATGAAGATACGAACGTCTTCGTATGCGATCCTTGACTGGGTCTAGTGCAAAGCTTAGCCTGCTGACACGAATAGATCGGCATCATTGGTTCAGTTTTGGGCACCCCGCTTGTTGATCCTACACCAATGACTACACACGCCGACACGTCGCGACGCGTCTGCTATGCGACTCATCAATGTTAGAACACTCGAACTCCAGTGGTTCAACGACGATGCTATTCCCAAGTACGCCATCCTTTCCCATACCTGGGGCTCAGATGAGGTCAACTACCAAGAATTCGTTTGGATTAGTAAAGCTCGAGCAATCTCCGCTTCTCCTAACCTAGCATCTACTCAAGATGCGCATAACACACTCATGCTAGCTCTGGAGTTGATGATTCGAGGCAGCTCAGGACCTGGAGGCTTATCAGAAGAGGATCTCCTGAAGCGCGTCGGCTACAGCAAGATATTGAACGCAGCTGAGCAAGCACAGGGCTTGGGCTGTAACTATCTCTGGGTGGATACGTGCGTTGGTTTCCTTACATCAACAGCATGTGAAACAGAGACTGACTCTATACGTTGACATTAGGTGCTGCATTGACAAGACATCAAGTGCAGAGCTCCAAGAAGCCATCAACTCCATGTATCGATGGTACAGAGACGCCGAAATTTGCATCATCTATCTGGGTGACATCCCCAAACCACGCTCAGGTAATTACACAACTGCCTCTGAAATCGCAAGAGCATCTCTCAAAGGTTGCCGATGGGCACGTCGTGGTTGGACTTTACAGGAGCTGATCGCACCAATTGTATGTCGCTTCTACTTCCAGGATTGGACCTTGATGGGCGAAAAAGTTGAATTTTTGGAAGAGTTATCCGACGCCACAGGTATTCCAGTTCGTGTGCTTGATGACAGAAATTTACTTAGCGAAGTCTCAATCGCGGAGAGAATGTCATGGGCGGCACATCGGCAAAGCACACGTATAGAGGATGTAGCATATGTAAGTGTTTCTATGCAAAGTGCAAGTTAGACACGCACTGATTTTGTGTACGAATATCTAGTGTTTGTTGGGCATCTTCGACATTCATATGCCATTGCTTTATGGAGAGGGTAGTAAGGCTTTCATTCGCTTACAAGAAGAGATACTAAGGACTACTGACGACTACTCTTTATTTGCCTGGTGCGCCACGACATCCGAGCATTCAACCTACCGAGGATTACTTGCGCGTCATCCTGAGGAATTCCAGCACTGCCGTTCTATAGAGCACGAGAATGCCGTCTCTACATTCCCCATTGGGTTCACGCCAATCGGGTTACGTGTGCAGTTCGAATTTTTACCTGATCAAGACAAGAGCCGTGTGCTAGCCATGATTCGCTCAAGCAATCAGCTGAACCAGCGCCTAGCTATCACACTAAAGTGCTTAGATGGAGGGATGCAATACGCACGCGTCGATGCTGGTGCCCTGGTTCCCATCGACGACTGGCCTACTGGAAAACTTCATACTATCTACGTGCGACAGAAACCTTCTATACCACCTGACTTCACGACCACTGAGTTCAAGAGCTTCCATATTCGTCGTCGAGTTTCCAACCAGGCCACACCTAATGTTCGTATAATCAGCGTTACACCTCGAAATGCCTGGGATGAAACCGCCCACGAGCTACGTATACCAGATCATGTCACAGAATTCTGGGGCGCTGTAATGCTGCGCGTCCAGTCAGCAGCATATGCGCACTCCTTGAGCTTTCCAGTAGCATTTGGGTTCAATCGATCGACGTGTCACTACTGGTGTAAAGCGATTCCCAACTTTACCCCACCACAGGATGGTCAGACCAGTGGTACCTGGCCCCAAGCCGTGAAGAGAAGAATACCAGACGAGGTGTACGACCCGCTGAAGGGGACTGACGTAAGGAATGATATGTTCTTAGTCGGAGATAGCATGCTAGGTATCAACGTCAGCATCGTGGCGGGATTGTGTGGGGACAGCATCGCATTGCAGGTACTCATCGATGGACTAGTTAGATGGACATGAAACAGTAGTTTCTTGATGCTGCTCATGTGTCAAAGGGTTTCAATATGTCAGGCTGTGATTGAAAGACAACGACATTCTGCAAATCTGCTGTTCTCACCGACCCGCTAAACCAATCTGAGAAAGGACGAGTCGCCTTACTCTCACACCACCACGCACGATGTCCGAGAACACACCACTTTTTTTAATCTTTGAATATGCAATCTAATAAGTACATTAGAACGATGGAATCGCACTGGATAGCAAGATACTAGTGGCTGTCACAATGCCCAGCGTTACCACCATCACTTTCTTCTCACTCTTAACCCTTGCCATATCCATTCAGTTCTTTATCTCTTCGCCGATGACTAGTTCCGCTAACATATCGTGGGCTGAGGGTCCATGTAAGCTAATCGCAACGCCGCAGTTTGTGACGAACAAGGTATTTCGCGCGTAGCATTCTCACTGGAACATGCTAATTTAATACTCAGGACAACATCTTTACAACCGGAGCTACGCACATGGCACACATACACAACGCCATACTGCGAGGGTACAACACTATATATCTGCAAGCTCCTCATGTTCGAGGAGTAGACAAAACAGCGTTCGTCGGGTACGCACAAACATGGTATCGCTTCGTCAAGAGCCACCACGACGATGAGGAAGCGGAGTTATTCCCCAAGGTAGAAGACACGTTAAGATCCAAGGATATTTGGAAAGAGACACATGAAGAACACGGTAATAATCCCTTCTTCCGCTTTCAGTTGCTATGGAGTCAACATCTAATATAAGACCGACATAGAATCTTTTCTTAGCGGCCTAGCAAGCTACAACACCTACCTGACTTCCCTCTCTTCCCCGCAATTTTTCAACGGAAAAGAGCTTGTAAGCATTATGGACTCGTTTCAAACCGCCTTCATGCACCACTTCCACCACGAGATCAGCACAATAGCTGCTTTCGCAGACCACCCCTCCGCTCCAGCGCCAAACACCCCAGAAGCAGAACTCGCCGCGACTGTTTTCAAAGCATGGGGTAAGAAGACTGTTACTAAAGCAGGAACTTTTGATGTCGTACCATTCTTCCTAATGAACCTGGATGCTACATTTGAGGACGGCAGATGGGCAAACTGGCCTCCGATGCCAGCGCCGGTGAGGTGGGGGCTGGTCAATGTAGCCGGTAGTGTCCACTGGACGTGGTGGAAATTCTCTAGTTGTGATGGTGGAGGAAGGCCAAAGGAGTTGTATGCGTTAGAGCGGGAAGATGAGGAGTGAATTTATTGGCTTTCATGGCTCTGCAAGGATACGAATACGTTCAATGATGCAATCGAAAGATCGATAGTAAGCCCTCAAAGTGTTTGCTAGAGTTTTGAATCCCACGTTGTTCAGCTAGAGTGCCATGAACTCTGGCAAGCTGCGTAGAGAGTTGTGGTATTCGAGTTCAGTATTGCCTAATATTTATTCTTGAGAACAAGGCTGTGTTATGCTCTTCCAACCTTGAAGCTCAAAATCTTCCCATTGTTAGCCAGATATTCATTTTCACTTTCAACGCGTACTCACATCATTCTTTCCTACAGCAACAACATCGTCTTCTGCCACTCTTCTTCCGCCCTCGGTTTCCACGTATGCCATGGGTGCATCACCCATGACCTTCCTGTACACGTCGCCCACCGTGCTTCCCTTCTTAACAAGTACACAATCCCTGAACACAGCCGTTGAGCTCGCACTTCCGCTAGTATACGTATGTATATTCCGAACTGGGAAGACTGGAACTAGACCAAGGAGTTCCGCTGCTCGAGACAGGACTTGCACGACGCCTGTACTACCGAATCGGTAAAGAACCATATCTTTGAGATTCTCAATACGTGTCGTGAGCTTTTCGTCCAGCTCTTTCAGTCCGCCTCCATCAGGGTCGCCCTGCTCGATCAAGTCTTCTCTTGTGTCGACGAACTCACTGCCTTCTGTGTATTTGATAAAGCCTTGTTTTGCCAGCTTCCTTAGGAAAACTTCGGATATGGCACTGCAAAGCACTATACTCTTCGGGTCTGCGGTTTTTGCAATCTTGGCTATGTTCTTGTCGGCATCGGGATGATCAATCTTGTTGAGGGCGATAACGGTAGGAAATTTCTCGTCGGTGAAGGCGTTTACCACTCGTTCGATGGTCTCGTCAGACCAGTCTTGTAGTGGTTCCTTGAGGGCAAGACGATCGAGGCAGCGTGCGACGACGCTGGACGTTGACCCGTATCCCGAGAATTGGTTCTGTAGTGTCTCGACCGCCGTAGCCTTGATCGCGACATGCCTCCTCTTGATGCTGCCCCACTTCTCCATGAGGTTGCCTTGTATCCATCTCACAATCTCACTCCTCAGCCAAACAATATCCTGACTGGGATCGTAGCCTCTTGTCGCCTTGCCCTCTGCGTCGGTTGTCCCGCTTACGTCAACTACGTGTACCAGCGCATCTGCGTGTCGCAAGTCGTCCAAGAACCTGTTCCCGAGACCTTTTCCCATATGTGCGCCTGGAACAAGACCGGCGACGTCAAGAAGTTCTATAGGGACGGATCGCCGTCCTTGGACGCAGCCACCGTAGTTGGGCTTGCAGCGGTCGGCAAGGTTGAGGCGCGCGCAGGGGCATTCGATTTGGAGATAGCCAATGGCGCGCTGGGGATCGATAGTCGTGAATCTGGAGACGTCGGGTCAGGAGCTGACGGTACGATGATTGCGATAGGAGCGGTAGAATAGTAAAGCGGTATGCGCTACGCCGTCGCATGCAGCCGGTTGGAGAGGGACGACTTACGGAAAGTTACCTACTTATCATCAGCCTATACAGCTTCCAACATGTTCATACGTGTACGGACCGACTTTGGAGGTAGCATCTGTCAAACTGCCATGGAACACATCTCAGAAAGATTCACCAAGGAGGAGGGATGGCGGGGCACTGCGCACCTGTTTAGAGTTGTCGACTTGCCGGACGACGGCTTGCCCACGAGGCCGATCAGCGGGTCGCGAGGCATTTTCAATCAAAGCAAGGAAAGAAGGACTGGGTATCAAACAAGTATTGTCGCGTGGTGAGGGCTGTGGTGTACAAGTCGCAGCCAACAGTCAAATTCGCGACAATGCTTATCGATAACGCACTGACATCACCAGGAGCTAGCAACTCAGTGCAAACACCGAGTACATGCGTTCCACCAAGGACACGCGACTCATAAATCTCAAGTCGCGGAACCCCACTCATCGCATTACAAATTCTAGAACAACATGTCTATCTTGTTACAACGCCCTAGAATGCTGTTCATATCAAGATTTCACTGTCCTCCCCACTATCCAACAAACCCACCAATACACCTGATGGAAATAATGCTCCAACTAGAGACTTTTTTCGGGGTATAAACGTCGCTGAATGGGAAAACATAACATCCGCAACCATATCTGCACAAAAGTCCCTAACAACCTAACCCCAAGCTGCCAGCAGGCTAGCACCCCATTATTATATAGTAAGAAACCTCATGAGATGCCCAAGTAATCGTTAATCTATATTGAGAATATCTCCCGGCTTCGTAAATTTATGTGTGCGTTTTCTACAACATTGTTAACTGCTTTTCGGCCTCAAGCTAGGCATCAAGTTTGCGACTTACGAGACTGGCAATGGCCGCAGCCGAAGCGAGGTCTGGCTTGCCTGACACACTTCGCTGCGCTGCGCGTGGCAGGCCACTTCCACTTGTGGCATTGAGTGGGGCTCCATTTGCGGCACGCTTAGTACCCGCTGCTCCAGGTGCAAGTCCTTGCACTGTTGAATGACGCCTCGTGGGAGCAGAAGTCTTTACAGGGGAGGTGCCGCTCGACACCTGGCGTTGACCGCTGGCTGCGGTCCCACGACTGAAACTAGATACTGGAGGCTCTGGAAGAGGTCGGACGCGTGGCTGCGCCGATTGTGGAGGCGGCATTCGCTTTGCAGGTGAAGAAACGCCAGAGGGGCCGTTGAAAGGTCGTCGTTGTTGTTGACTGGTTTTGCGAACGCCAGTGATGAACTCATGCTGCATGGCTTCATCGGGCTTCATTCGGCGTTCAGGATCCCATCGTAGACAGCGCGTGATGAAGTCGAGGAAAGCCTCGTCATCACACTTCAAAGCTTGCTGTAGTGTCTTTGAGCTGGGCCTTCGCCTGCGACCTTTTGACGAGACGGTAACTCTGGGCTTACCAAGCGAATCAAAGAACAATTTCTTCCTGCTACTCTTCTCGATAAGATGCTTCTCCGGGGGTCCAAATATCTCCATGATGCAAGCAAGCTGCTCTTGTTCATTCTCTCCAGGAAAGATAGGGTAGCCAGTTAGTAGTTCGGCAAGAATACAACCCAGACTCCACATGTCAATCGGCAATCCGTAGCTCATACCAAGGATGACCTCAGGCGAACGGTAGAATCGCGACTGGATATACGTGTAAACCTTCTCGGTCTCGAAGCAACTTGATCCAAAATCGATGACCTTGATTTCCGAGTGCAACGGGTGCGCAAGCAGAATATTCTCCGGCTTCAGATCGCAGTGAATGACCTTCTGGGTCTTCAGAAGAGTCAATGAAGCCAACATCTGTTTGCAGAACCGGCGGATCAGACGGAGAGAGAAGCCCTTGAATTCGTGTGCCTTGATGAACTCGTACAGGTTCATACCGAGAAGCTCAGTGGAGATGCAAAGATGGCCGCGGAAGTAGAAGCTCTGGGTGAAATTGATCATACTGTGCTTGTTGTCGGGATCCTGATGTTTGTCAGCAAGTTGTCCCTGCTAAATGGTTCAAGTTTACTTACCCATTCACGCAACTTCTGGAGAATGTTGACTTCGACCAGAGCTTGCTGATGGAACCTCTTCTTGTTACGAATGATCTTGATCGCTTCGAGTCCTCCCGTCTTATGGTCTACGCAGCGCACGACCTGCCCGAAACTACCCTTTCCGAGCACATCAACGACTTCGTATCTGTAGGCAAGGTGGTCACCCAGGACAATGTTGTAATCACCACGTTCGTCGTCGTAGCCAAAGTTCGCTGTCTGCGCATTGAGGTCGCCGACGTGCTTCTTGGCATTCTTCGTTCCACAGAAGTACACCTCTTTGTAGTCGATGATCTCTCCCCTCTCGAATATGTTCAAGTTGGCCATACGTACAGCATCACTTGGAGTGACACGCTCCTTGGCCGTGGCGCGCTTGCGAAGCTCATCAACATCCCTCGCCGCATGCTCAAAATCTTTCCGCTTCGAAGCAAGCTTCTTCATTTCCTCATCGGCTAATAGATCATCCCGATCTAAATTGGGGTCGAGATTGCGAGCTTTGAGCATGTTTGACGAGCTCTTCGTACCCAGCATCCGCTGCATCGGTGTCAAAATGGACGTGGACTTTTGTGTCACTTGGCTGGTAGCCTGGTCTGTGTGCCCCGACACAGCACGTATTCCACCGCCTCCCACGGGTTTACGAGCACCTGACTTTTCAGCCTCAGTGTCACTTGCGACAGCTGCTGTAGAAGTCTTGCGACGTCCAAAGTCGAGGGATGGTCGGGTTCCACTTTTAGCGGGAGGAGGAGTTGTACCAGTAGCGCCGCTCCAAGTAGCAGACGCAGGTAACCGAGGTGGCGGCATCTCGCTGTGCTTAGGTGGTTGAGGCTGCTGTCTTTGTTCGTCCGTCTGAGTGCCCGGTTTTCGGACCTGTGGATTCTGCGACTGATGTGTCGCAGCTTTTGACGAAGCTCTTCTCCAACCGCTAAGGCTAAGCTTTCGGCGCAAGGATGAACCAGAAGAAGGCGTTTCTGGCTCTGTCGACTCAGAAGTCTGGATCGAATCCGATGTGTTTTTCTTCTGTAATGGCCGCGGTCCAGCAACCATGCTCTGCATCTCTACATCCTTGGCGGATGACTTGTATTCGCCGCTGGGTCGTGGCTGCAAGCGAGCGAACTCTCCACTTCCCTTTGGTAATGAATTCGACGAGAAAGGTGTGGTGGCTTGGCGTGTCGGATTCAGGGTCGGAATGGGTATCGTACCGATATTCGGGTGTGTATCAAGCGATGAGTCTGCTGCACGCAAGTTGAATGCTGAACTGCTGCTACGTAAGTGCTTGTGGTATTCATCATGGTGGTTGTTCCTTGAGAAGAAGTTCGCCTTGGACGCTGTCATGGGCGTACTAGGCGTTTTGTTGGCAGTACGTTTAGGTGGCGGTGTGACATTACGCTCATCTACTTCGTCGGAAGGCGCAGGGAAAGATGATATCCGGTTGTTGAATGGTGTACCAAGTGGTAGCAGGTTCAGCGGTGGTAGTCTGATTGGCTGCAGGTTCTTTTTACTGGACTGCTGTACCGTGGTGGGCGTCCTCTCAGTTTCCGAACCAGCTCCGACGGTTAACCCTCTTCGATGTCTGATGGACCCTGTACTCCTGTTCAAAACGCCGCCGTCCTGGGTCTCAATGGGCCGAGGTTCAACTCGTGTATCAGGTGTCGAGACAGCCTCTTGAGATGCTGGAGGCGCGTTCATCTTCGAGTTTGGTGTATTGAATGCAAAACTGCTGCGCTCAGGGTCCTTGGGAGACTCAAATGCTTTTGGTATAGCCGGTACTGGAGGAACTTCTTCGTGTTCTCCACCAGCTGAGCTTTGCACGTTTCGTGGCTTTGGCGCAGGCAAACGCGAGCTTGTCGGAGCAGGATTTGTACGCAACGGTATGGACGAAGGACCGACTTTTAGCGAGTTCAAGCTCGAGTTTGAGGAAAGCGAGATGCCAGAGGCATAAGACTTGCGCTTCTGCTCGGGTGTCGCACGTGCCGAAGAAGGCGTCATGCTCCCTCCCACGGCCAAGGCTGGAGACTGGCTAAAGGCACGCTCGTCGAATGTCTGGTCGCCTTGAGGTGTAGGAGGGCCCACCGGGCCGTTTGGCGGATGGTTAGGGTTCATGGACAGCCTCCTCAGCCTCCGAGCGTCTGTGGGGCTAATAGTTCGCGCTCCGAGCCCAGATATGTGCGGTGCGGTTGACTGTCGCTTGCTCGACGAGGACGAAGGTGTGTATGATCGTTGCGCAGCGGGAGATCTGCCAGGTGAGCGGGAATGGTCCAAGGGCATGGAACTCGGATCGGGGCTGATGGAGACAGTCAAGTGGCCCGGTTGCTGTCTCGAGGGCGGCTGTAGGGACTTTGCTTTCGCATTGCGTGCGGCAGTTGGAAGCTTGGGTACTCCGGTGGTTGTAGTGTTCAGGTTCGTAGAGAGTGGCTCCCGCCTGTTTCCCTTGTTCAGTGAAGGGGCGCGGCCGAGCGTAGGCATCGTGTTGTCATTCGCGAGTCTGTCCATTTCAAAGCTATTCGTTGGCAGCATTCCAGGGCCAACGCTCTTTCTTGGGGCTCGTGCGGCCGGGTTCGAGGGTGCCTGGGCAGGGAAGTGGCTTTGGCGGCGTGATCGGATGGCCATGTTGGTGGGCGGCGGAGGCATGGTAGACGGGTCAGAGCCGGATGCGGTGGAAGCACCACTCGGCTTCCTCGCAGTGGACTGGCTGAAGCGGCGAACGAAAGAGCTGCTACGCGCAGGGCGGGTATCGGTGGGGGCTCCCGTAAACGGCTGCATGTCGTTGCTATTGCTGCTGTTATTGTTATTGTTAGGGGCGATGCCGTCGGCAGGCACGTTGGTCTTGAACGTGCCCGGGGCAGGAAAGTCGCTTAGCGCGGGCTCATAGGAGAGGCTGTTGGCAAAGTCATCGAAGTTGACAGCGGGCAGGAAGTCATATGAGCCAGTATTCTCGTTGGACTCTCCCTTTGCCGGGCTGCTGATCTGCGGTTGCTTGGTGAAGCTGAAGCGTGGGTTCGAAGGGACGGCGCGCGTGGCCGTCGTCTCGTTGGCGGGCGTGGGGAGGAAGGAGCGTGTCTCAAGAGAGGCAACGCTGGCGCCGCTTGCCATTCTGCTGCTTCACACGTCAGCTGATCTGTCGTGCAGTTACCTAGGTAGGCCCGGGGGGCTGCGGCGTCGTACCTCTGCTTGTTGAAGTCCTGGGGCCGCTCGCGGGGGCCCAAGGGCACCTTGGCCCTGCCTCGTCCTGCGGCGTTGTTGTTGATGGTCGGTAGCGGTCGTGCTGCGCTTATAGCATTGGATGCGCTTGTCTTGCGCAGGCGGCTGCCCTGGTCGCCCGTCTTCTGGAACTTGCGTACGCGGTCTTCTGATGAGGCAGGGTTAGCTCCGGTCGATACGACGTCGCATTACGCGACTGCCCCCATATGCTTTTTCGTACCTGAGGAGCCACTAGAATCCTCGGACATGTTGGACCCTGACCGTTCGGGCACGTTGGTCGATTCCATGGTCCGAGTTGTCGTTCGCGGCTGCGTCGACATGGTCCGCAGATGTCAGCTCCACAGCTGGTCGTCACGACACAGGCAATTGGAGCTCTGCTGTCACGAGATGCTTCAAAGAAAAAAAAAGTCTTCCTCTCTCAAAGAACGCCGAGAGGGTCTCCAAGCGTCGAGCTTGGGCACCGAGGGAGACCTATGCCGACATGTCGAATGGACCCGGCTACAGCGGTGAAAGCGATCGGCGGTCGGTAATGAGTCGAGCGAACGGCTATCGGAATTATTCAGGGTTGGGCAATGTTGCAGCGCAAAAAGCACGGCGCGGTGTTGCTGCAAAGGGGCGAGGTGGTCGCTGCTGCGGTAGTCGACGTTCGTCAAAGTTACAATGAGGGTCGGCAGCCCGCAAAAGCCACAACTAGGCACTAAGGTTGTCTAGTTGACAGGCCCCCTGTCCATATCTGCCCGTTGCGGCGAATAGGATATTATCAAAACAACTCTCCTCTCCCAGGAAACGGACGCATCGTCCAACGGCCTTACTGTCTCGCTGTCAAATCAGTCAAGCTGCCACGCTCCGGTGCGGAGTAGCTGTCTCAAGCAGTGCGACCATCACCTGCCAACGACGACTGCACCACCCAAACTACCCCTAGTCCGACTACACATGGCGCGGCTTTCAGCATGTGCATGATTGAACCCTCTGTTGTGCATGCTATAGATCATGTCCATGTATCGTACATACGACCCCGAAACATGACAGCGGGAATTCCGCAGCTGCTCCACAGTCTTAATCTCCATCTCACCACTAATTTGAAGCGGAGGCCGTACAGTACCACAGGGATCACCGCCATCCTCTAAATACATCGAAGCCTAAAGGTTGTCTGTCCCTGATCACCAGGATTGCGCACCACCACCAGCCCAAAGGTGCACGGACGTATGTGGGGAAAACGTCGGAACGAACAACGTGCCACGGCACAAGCTCAGCGCCACGCCCAGTTCGCATGCATGTGCGTCATCCGCTTGCTGCATCAAACACCACGCCTGTTTCTGCATCTTCCACATCGAACCATGAGAGTAAGCTGTTGAGATATCGCCATCGAAAGAGCTAGGATAGAACACTATCTTGGTGTTGCCTGGGCAGCTGCTGGACGTTTATACGGATAGAGAAGTCGCGACTCAGCCACATGTGACACGCCTGCCTCCAACAATACGCAACAGCAGTGTGGCTCTCTTATCAATCACACTTCGATACCTACGGCCTCGTTCTTGACTCAAATTCATTTAGTGGTGTCCTTATCAATAGATCAATAGAAACACACAGTTGGTCCCACCATGGGCTCTGACAACGCAGAATCATTGGCGAACCGCGACACACCCATCCCAGTGGTCCAGGTACATCATGCGTCAAACGATGGCACTCCCACTACGGAGAGACCGCATTCACATTCGCGCCGTCTGTCGGCTAGTAAACTCAAAGACAAGCTGGAATCTTTGGGCGACAACATAAGTCGGGAGTCGAGTAGCAGGGTGGGAGATAAGATGATGAACATGTGAGTACAGTCTGCAAGGCAAAGCTTTTCATATCTCGTTTTATATCGAAGATATTGTCTCCTCGAGCAAACGAACTATGGTGTTGTCGCGAGGAACAATCCTCGATAAGATAGTACGTTGTTGATGGAGCTAATGCTTGTAGGCTACTTGCACAAGTCCTCCCCTCAGAAGACCTCTCCGACAGCTCGCCTCCAGACTCATCAACACCAAGTGGCAATGCACCACATGTCAAGGACCGGCGCTCTCGAAGCTATGTCGCTCGCCCCAATTTCAGTATCCCTACCATGTCTTCAAACTTTCGTCGCTTCAACTCGCGCATCGGTGTTGCCTTCATTCTTCAAAATCGACTCATTCGTTTGTTTACCTGGGCACAACCTACACAAACCCTCTCGTTCCTATTGGTCTGGACATTCGTCTGTGTTGATCCATATCTTCTACCCGTACTCCCACTGGCGTGTGGCATGTTTTTCATAATGGTACCTGCGTATTTGACTCGGCATCCAGAGCCTATGGCAAACGCAGTGGATATCGATGGCGATCTCTGGAGGGGGAGCTTAGGAGGACCACCACTAGCAGACGCAAAGACGATTAAGCCTGCGCCCGAGTTCAGCAAGGACTTCTTCCGCAACATGCGCGACCTGCAGAATTGCATGGAGGACTTCAGCCGCGGCCACGACGCTGTACTGAGCTTCATCACTCCACTTACTAACTTCAGTAACGAGAATCTCTCATCGATGCTCTATCTCATCTTACTTGTCGTATCGGTTTTATTGTTCATATCAGCGCATCTACTACCATGGCGTGCGATATTCCTCGTTATCGGATACACTTTGACGGCGTTGGGCCACCCTAACGTTCAGGATCTTCTTACAACGCCCGAAAGCGAAAAGTTCATCTCCGATGCAGAACACGAAAGCCGTTCTTTTCTCCTCACCATCTCGCGCGCAGACATAGAACTGGAGACATCGCCAGAGACCCGCGAAGTCGAGATTTTTGAACTACAGCACCGCGCACTGCACGATGAGCATGGCGAGTACGAGGGTTTCATGTTTTCACCGTCGCCTTACTCCCCTTTATCGCCTTCTAGGATCAGCGGTGACAGACCCCGTGGCACACCGTTTTTCGAAGACGTGCTCCCACCTCGCGGCTGGCGCTGGAGCGACAAGAAATGGACACTAGATCTCTTGTCTCGTGAATGGGTCGAAGATCGCTGTGTCACAGGTGTAGAAGTTGAGGTCGAGGGTGAGCGATGGGTCACGGATTTGCACTACGAGGTCCTAGAGAGTGATGGAGAGAAAGCCAACGCAGCGAAGGCAAAGTTAAAGAAGCGGACCGGATCAAAGGGAGGTAGCAAGGATATTGGGGATCAAGAGAAAGCAGTTCTGCGCCGGGCATGGGAGAGCCATGCGCCAAGTCGCAAGGGCGAATGGAGGAGGCGGAGATGGGTGCGGGGTGTGGAGAGGATGCCTTGGAGGGAGGGTCAGTAGTGTTGGGTTGTCGCGAGAAATGGACATAGACGTTGTAGTTCTCGCTCACAACACTAGAGTTTTCCATCCTATTTTGCCGCTTTCACCGATGTGGTGCCGTTCGCGTCTCGGATTCCATCACCCCTTTCGCACTCCAACTCGGAACTATAACAAACACAGTTGCTCCTATCGTTGCGATCTGAGCCGCACTGTTCAGGCTGATGGGAACTTTACTGTATGTACAGACTGCCCAGTAGCTAAAATGTGGTTCCTGATCTGCGACCTTAGCTTGCTGCCGCTGCAGTAGCGTCGGAGTACAGGAACGGGAGTTTGCGGGGAGGTATACTGTGCGTAGCCTTGTGCGAAGATTCAGTCCTGGCGTCGTGATCTCATCACAAGAGGCGAAAACCATCATCGAGCATTCGCGTTGCTGGTCTCAGCCATCATTTGCGGATTTAACAGCTCAACCCACGTTTCCTCCCAACGGCCGATTCACCGACTTCGGCAGCCAGCCGTTTGCATGCAGGGTACCTACGCTAGTGTGGAGAGAGGGTTAGCAGCCCGTCGGCCAGCCGTGCTACCTCCGCCTATAGTGGAATCATCGAATCTGAGAGTAAATTGATTGCTAATGTGACCCAAGGTGACGCCCACGAAACCGATTGCGCGGACATCTCGGAACGAAGATTTCTCTTAGGCAATTACTGAGCATTGCGCGTTTCGGCCTGCCTCTTTGACATAATCCACCAAGGTTCGCAGCCGCGGCCGGAAGGCAAATATAATGCTGCTGCTCCTCTCACATTGTTTCTCTGACTACTTTACTACTGTTCACGTTCCAGTTGCAGCTCAGTCGAGTCAGCTGTTTTCTACTATTCTTTGGGCCTAACCCCTCCTTCAAACTCGGACCCAACTCATCTGGTGCCTAGGTCCCGCCTCCGAGACAGCCTACCCGACAAGCCTAGATTCCTTTCGCCCACACGCAAGCACCACATAATTAGGTTATACCTGCTTCAACCTCCACCGATTGTGCCTTTAAAGATCCGGCAACCCCTCCATCAATTCTGGGGAAATTTTTGGGTGGCAACAACCTCGACGGCCGTTGGTCAAGGTACATTCACCCTCTGGCTCCGATTGCATCACGCGACATTTCTTGCGCACCAAATTTCGAAAGCTAAAGGCTACTGGTCAACAACCACCTTGGATATCACTTTAACGTCAACTTCCTAACAAAAACACCATCAAATTTCTTCGCTGTCAACCATCACAATGCTTCCCGCTCTACCTCGGTTGGGCGATTATGACATATCAGCTCGGAACGGCTTCTTGCCTGATGAGATACCCATCGACGTTCTACCAGATCGCTACTACCAGCCATGGGAGACAATTGTGCGCAACTTCCAGAGTCTGATCCTGGCCAAGCGGCTACGTCGGATAGTAGATGCACTTCCAGTACTCGAGACCGACCTCCTTCTCACGAAAGCTGAGTGGCAGCGAGCCTATTCCATCTTGGGATTCATTGCCCATGGGTATGTTTGGGGCGGTGACAAGCCCGCCGATGTAAGTCTTGATAGTCTGCATATATAGGTGTATCGCGTTGCTAACGATTCTTTGCAGATTGTCCCGCCCTCTATCTCGATACCTTTCATGGAAACGTGCAGACACCTGGAACTGCCACCGGTGGCAACCTTTGCAGGGGTATGCCTGTGGAATTGGCGACCTATGTTCGATGGCGAGCCTGCGGATACACTGGACAACCTTGCAACGCACATGACCTTCACTGGCTCAATGGACGAATCATGGTTTTACCTGGTGTCTGTAGCGATAGAAGCGAGAGCTGGACCAGTTATTCCGATGATGATCGAAGCTATCGCGGCAGCTAGACGTGGCGACAGCAACACAGTCGTGCACTGTTTACGATCCTTTGCGGAGCGACTTGACGAGATAGGTGCTCTTTTGGAGCGCATGTACGAGAGTTGCGACCCACACGTCTTCTACCACCGCATCCGACCATTCCTAGCTGGAAGTAAAAACATGGCGGACGCGGGCCTTCCAAATGGAGTCATGTTTAATGATGGCACTGGTCAACAGCCATATGTGCAATTCAGTGGTGGCAGCAACGCTCAGAGCTCGACCATTCAGTTCTTCGACATCGTCCTAGGGGTTGAGCATAGACCTACTGGTGAGAAGCAGACTAACATAGAAAACCCTGCTTCATCTGGACCTTCGCATGGTTTCATCCAGGATATGCGGAACTATATGCCTGGACCTCACCGTAGGTTCCTGGAGCATATGGAGAGCATTGCAAACATCCGGGAATACGTTACAGCAAATCGCAAGGATCGGGCCCTTACCACTGCCTACGACGCATGCCTGGCCATGCTGCGAAGTCTGCGGGATAAGCACATCCAACTCGTCTCGCGGTACATCATCATCAAGTCGCGTGAGACACAGTCGCACGCCCGATCGGTTTCGCCTAAGCAAGCAAACAACCAGCGCGTCAACCTCGCCAACACTATGGCCCGTACAGGAAGCAAAAAGCTCCGTGGTACGGGAGGTACAGCTTTAATTCCATTCCTGAAGCAAGCGCGGGATGAGACGGGCGAGCCGGCAATCGATGCGTGGGCAAAGCGATTACTCAACAACGGGCCAGCAGAGATTGGTGCGTCCTTTGGTGTTGACGATGGCGTTGCGCGGCTAGGAAAGATTGCAGAGGGTTTCAATGGGCAAGTTGAGATTGTTGGTCTGGCTGGTACTTGGAGTGTTGATGATAGCGAGGGAGGTATCTGTCATTGGTGATGGATGAGAAAACCCTCAAAACTCAAAAACGTTTGTTTTCTGGCGTTTGGATCTGGAGCAACATACCCATCTCGACACATTAGTGTAGGTCAATAGATTTTCATAAAGTAGCAGTTGGCTCTCTACCCACCCTGCGCTGGTTAACATCCATGGAATACCGGCGTCTGCTCGGTGAATCTCTACATTGCATCATAGTACATGTCGAAAGATCAGTTGATCCCTAAAGCGATGTCATCTAGACCCACGAGCATTATGAAACAGACCACGAGTGTTGCACATGTCGAGTTTCCAAACGCCACTTTCGTCAGATCTCCCGCGCAGGGCAAAGTTGCGCGTTGCGGGAGCCCAATGTGTGGGGCGTGACGTCATACTTCACATGCTCCACCACCTTGCCAAACAAACAGAAGGATATATATAATCCCACTGCGACGATGACTCAAGGATCAATACAATTACAGCTCTCTCAAATACACTCGAGATCCTCAATCCACGACAGAACACAACTACACAACTATGTCTTCAAACAAGGACCATACCTCGACTTCTCAGTCCTACTTGGACCAAGCCACAGGCGCTGTCCAGAGCGCCATCGGCTCTCTGACGGGTAACACCGCCGACAAGGTTAGTCTCTTTGTTTCCTCCCCTTTGAGCTTCTGTACTGACTTCCACCAGGCTCAAGGCGAGAACCGCAAAGACACCGCGGCCGCCGAGCATGATCTCTCTCACTCAGCCGCCAAAGCCGGTCCCTTCTCCGTAACCCCCTCAGGCGGCGTCGCAAAGGATAACTCGGACCGCACCGAAGGCTCATGGAACCAAAACATGGGCGCCGCAAAAGAAGCGCTCGGCGGTCTTGTTGGTGCCGAGGGCCTCAAGCAGCAGGGCATTCAGCAGAACAAGGAGGGCAAGGAGCAAGAAGCTGCTGGACAGGTCAACGACCTGGGCAAGGGCATCGGAGATAGGCTTGGTGGTACGATTGGTGGTGCTGTTGCAGGTTTGACCGGCAATGCAGCGCAAAAGGAAGAGGCGCAACGGCAGCATGATGAGGGAAAGGCGCGGCAGAGGGGTGTCGAAGCAGACTTGCAAAAGCAGGCTGAGGCCGAGAGGCGCTAAGCTGTGGTGGTAGTACAAAGGTCCCCCTTTGTGTGGACGGCCACGTTTGATGGCATTTTGGATTGATACCCGATGAATAATATTCCATGTTCTTTTGACATATGTTCTTCGCTTTGTGCATGCGTAAATTTGCATTGATATCCTGGTCGATCTTGATGTTATCGTAAACATGTGAGAGTGAAGGCATATGTCTAAGCTCTGTGAAGATTAAAGCATTAGGTCACGCAGTCGCAAATGTAGTGCGCATATACCGCAGCGATGCACACAGGATAGAGCTCACGCCCTAAGAAAGATATGGCAGAGGCTTTGACTCACCACACGGCCCGAAGAGATAGTTTTGTTATATATGACACTGATGGTAACAGTCGTGTTCTGTGTCAAGTTTCAACAGATGAAGACAACGTTCTCTGCCTAGGAAAGATTGACTGCGGTATCTAGCAATCGCAGTGTGACGTTGATGCAGATCTCTTGTGTTTTGTGCACAGTATCGCGATTCCTCGATGGGCAAAGCAATTCCGATCGATTCCGGCCGCACACCGGCATATTCCTCGACGTGCACAGCTGGCACAATGCCAAGCTAACCGGCGATCTATCCGTGCAGGACTTTGAGCGACTCATCGCTAGGGGCTTTGCGAAAGAAAACTGCGGAGATGCGTCGCTTGACGCCAACCCACCAGGGGTGCAAGCAGGCGCGGCCAAGGTGGAACGAAAGCTCCAGTCGGTCGACCTAATCCCCAGATTTTAGCCACTTCTAGCTATGAATAGAAGTCGACGCCACACGTTGAGGCTTTGCATCATGGTTAGCGGCGGTTGATGTGACGTGAGGTGATGAGCAGTGGATCGACGGCACATGGTCGTCGAGCTTGCGCAGCTCTTGTGGCTGGTGAACAGTCCAGGCCTTTAGCCAAGCGCTTCTTTGGCCGTCCAAAGACATGGACGTTAAGCAGACAAGGCATCGGAAACACGTCCGCAAGTGAATGTAGGCTAGACCAAGTATCTTGATGCGCTTCTCCATAGCCTCAGAACGTGGCATGCGTCACAAAGATGGCTTGACATGCAATTTCCACCTGGAAGCGCTGCTTGGAAGTTTGACTGCGCAACTTGCTTTGTGAATCGGAACACTCGGCGCATTCAAACTACGTATGACGCCACACGGGGTGTGGCAGTTAAACCGGCGGCGGCTACGCGGCTTATCCTTGCCAAATTTCACCGGCTACGTCACTCTTATGGTCATCCGCTGCCTGCGTCACAACCATAAATACTAACCTGGCTCCCACAGTTTGGCACATCTCATCACACCATCAATCCACACTCTACACACTCTCTCCTACACAAAAACAGCCCACCCAACATGCCTTTCACTGCCAGGTATGTCAGCTCTAGCAACTCGCGGCACAGTGCAAGACGTCGATGCTGACCATCTATAGCGACATCTGCAAGATCCTCCTTGCCATCATCCTGCCTCCTCTAGGTGTCTTCCTCGAGCGCGGATGCAACGCTGATTTCCTCATCAACATCCTGTTGACCGTCCTCGGTTACATTCCGGTGAGTTCCGGGCTGCGTACCCACCATCCATCAATAACATACTAACGATCATGCCAGGGTATCATCCACGCCCTGTACATTATATTCAAGTTTTAGCGGGGGCGCGCAAACACCTTTCACGATGCCCGCAATAGCGGCTTGACGAACAAAGTCATATCACGATACCCATCTTCATCTTTTTCAGCCAACGCCAACACTCCACCGACATTTGACTCTCGCCAACATCTATCGATATCTGCGATGCTAGGTACCACTTAGCATGGGGTTGTCCGGGTATGCCGGAACTCCCGGTTGATTGAAGGCGGTTTGGCTTGGCTCGTCTGTAATGTCACATAGTTTTAGGTTATGGCGTCTTGGTCCCCTAGGACTCTCTTGAGTTTTCTTGCGAGTATCCTGGTGCGTTCCTATGAGCGTGCTGTAATGAGAATAATCTACCATTCTACGAACACATTAGGACCTTTTTGCTCGAAGTTTAGTGACCTTGAATTGTATCTTGTCATAGTCGATCTACTTTTTGCTCCATTTTTACTCAATGCCCTTATTAATGGTAGAAATATCATTCACTCTGGGGACCACTGATGCTTTCGTCGTTTCCCCAGTCCGATGTGTGGCTGAACCAAAGGCACCATGCGATGCTTGGCACGTGCCTCGCCGTTCTTTCCAAGGTTCACTCGTTCCGCACCAGCACTCACAACCGTGACACCTCACCCATTTCGACCCTTATGTATTCCCTCCAGTCCGAAACGTATCACTCACCACATTCCTATCGTTCGAAGCGCAAGGCGCGATATAAATATCGCCCAATATGAGCTTAATGTCAGCCACACTTACAGCCGCCGAAATCAACGCCCTTAGCGACCCGACCAAACCAAACGACGACGCGATCCGCGATCTCGACGCAGCTTCCCACTCGTTAAACATTGATGACGCGCCCTTCTTCCAGTCGATACGGGTAAAAAATACGCTCGATGCATACGTCGAACGGGCGAAGCTAGAGCCAAGTGTAGAAGTGCTTGTAGTAATCTTAAACTGCGAGTACAAGCTCTGGAAGGCGCATGAGGAGATCCCCATGAGACAAAAGCCTTATTTGACACACTGGGTGGAGGCTCTTATGAAGACCAATGAGGAGTCAGGCATGGAGCAGGTAGATACGGTCAATAGTAAAGGCATGAATGCTGGGCCCACTACAACGGACATTCGAAAAACTCGGGCGAGATATATCACAACTTTACTGTCGAAGGAACCATCGCCTTCGCAAGCGGCGCCACAAATGGTCCTTGCGAGACTACACGAGGATACGCTCGAAGCATTCGATCTGCTACCGTACATGCAGATGCTTGTTGAAGAACAAGTCTGGGACAAGCTGCCCGAGCCGCAAATACAAGCTTCTGAACAGCCCGCTCAAGAGCCTGTATCAACAGCGAAAGAGAAAAAGTCACTGCATAAGAATCAGGTGCAAGCACTCGATAGTTCACAGTCCTGGGACGATGTTATACTTCGAAAACTCAAAGAAGAACCCGAACAGGCCGTTCAAGAACTCGCACACCTTCCACTTGAGATCCCTTCTCTCGACTTTCTCACCAAACTTCACGTCAGCCGCATCTTCGAGGACCTCGGCGTAGATGGTCAGGACGTTACTCTCCACTATATACAGCATGCACTGCGGCTCATAGAGAAGATGGAGGCGCCACCTCCGACCTTACAGCAGGATACAGCGACCCACGGGACCGCCAACGGCGTTGGCAATGGAACTCCGATCGTAGAATACGGAAAGGAAGCGCAGAGCCGAGCTGTCATTATACTGTTGCTGTTCATCAAGAGCTCAATCAGCAAGGGTTTCTTGGAAGCAACATCACTCTTCTTTGAGCTTCAGGAGATATGCGTGAGATATGTGTGGATTAAAGAGGTTAGGGACTTCCGAGCTTGGGCACAGGGACAGTTGGGTAACTAGAAGTTGACCAAGACGAAGATGAAGAAGAAGGCAGAGTGGAGCCGTGTTGCACGAAAAGATTGTGGATGCTAGAGATCGACATGTAGTTGATCAATAGGGAGAAGAAAGATGCAATCATGCACTGATTCAGGGCTTGTATGCACACATGACGACTGTTGTTGACTGTGGTAGTGGGCTCCCAGGCGGTCAGTTTCTCCGGTTTGCAGTGCTTGCCTCACAATACAGCTACTGCGGCTACTGCTCCATATCGCGGGGCTCTTACAAGCCTTGTTAGAGCCGGATAGCCCGTAGCGAAACATCGTGGAGATTGATGGCATGAAATTCCGCATCCAGAACCTGCATCTTGCTGGACCATCTCACCGCCTCATGTTCTCGAAGCTGTCACGACAAACTTTCTTTGCTATTACAGTGCTGCGGTGGAGTAGATGACCGTGTCGAGTCGTGCTTGAGGCTGCTTCAAGGTTTCGGGAATATCCGGGACTGAGGTTGAGGCAAGAAGCAACGCGCTAACCCTCGAACGATGCTAAACTTTAGAGTTTCAAAACCTGCTACTGAAACAACCATCGCCTTTCTACCTCGGCCGGATTGCTAGCCAACCGTTCGCGAACGACAAAGCGGTGAATAGTTGCCGGTAACGGCGAGCAACTTTTTCTGTTACTTTCTTCTGGTATGCAACCGCGAAATGCGAACAACTGCGTGAACTTGACTAGGGCAGCAACTACTCGAAGACAAGTGCCAGCGAAACGGCCTTCCCACGATACTGTTTCGATCGCCGAGTTTAGAACGAAACTTGGCTGCTGATACACATCTGCGGGTGATGTACCTTCTCAGATACCAAACGTCAATGCGCACTGCCACAACGCGACATTGTTGTTCCGAACAAGCCTTAGCAAAATCCTGAGTCAAGCTTCTGGAGATGATCCTCCCGCTGTGGATATCCTAGCGGAATGGATCATAGTGGAGTAACCCTGACCATCGTTCGACCAGCATCGTCTCAGCTCCCCGTTTAGAGTCTATGCTCACAGTATCACGACCTCGTCCCACGGCCATCATCTTGTTTGGCCATGGCAGCAAGGGGCTGCGGGCGCTATCATTCCTTGGTGGATCGGAAACGCAGACCGGCGAATGCTTGTGTCTATGCTAAGCTTTCGGCAATGTCAGATGCACCATGAGAGAGCTGTATATAAACCTCTCTGCTCGTCCTCCTAGAGTCGATATCACCATCACTCAACAATTCAATCAACCAGACTCGCTTCTTTCTTCTTTTCCATCCTTCTAATTACATTCTTGCGCCGGTCGCTTGCTTAATTCACTACTCATTTACATCTTTCTCATCAATCCTTTCGACATCACAGTCCTTATTTTCCAATCTTCAACAACCTTTCTATAATCCAACTCCATATCCATCAAGATGCGTTACTCTCTCGCCATCGTTGCTGCTATTGCCGCCTCCGTCCAGGCCCACGGTGTCGTCTCTGAGATCCAGGGTGCCAACGGTGTAAACATGCCTGGTCTTTCCGTCCAGGATGGTACTCCCCGTGACTGCGCCTCTCCCCTCTGCGGCTCTGAGGCTGATACTTCCATCATCCGTACCCGCGAGATGGGTGGCAAGGCTTCGGCTCTTGGACGCACTCAGGGTGGCGGTGCTGTTGACGCTGGTGCTGCTATCGCCATGTTCATGGGAGGAGGTGCCGGTGGCGCTGCTACCGGCGCTGCTACTGGTGCTGGCGCTGCTACTGGTGCTGGTGCGGCTGCCAACAACAAGCGTGGTCTTCTCGACGCTCTTACCGGTGGCGCTGGAGGCGCTGGTGGTGCCGCTGGTGGTGCTGCTGCTGCAGGCACCAAGACTCCCAAGGGAACTACTGAGAAGGGTGTTGCCGCTGCCGCAGGCACTGGAGCTACCTCTGGTCTTCCCACCACTGCCGATGACGGCACCATCACCATGACTTTCCACCAAGTCAACCAGGACGGTGCCGGTCCTCTGACCGCTCAGATCGATGCTACCTCCGGTGGAACTGACCCTGCCGCCTTCCAGGACGCCACTGTCACCCAGAACGTCCCCGGTATCGGTATTGGAGGTCTCTCTGCCGCTTCCGTCATGGACTTCCCCGTCAAGGTCCAGATGCCCGCTGGTATGACCTGCCAGGGTACCGCCGGTGGTGCCAGCAATGTCTGCATCGTCCGCATGCAGAACTCTGCCCTCGCTGGTCCTTTCGGCGGCTCCGCAGCCTTCACCCAGAGCACTGCCGCTAAGAAGCGCGCTGTTGAGTACAACCTCCGCAAGCGCCACATGGCCCGCGGTATCCTCGGAAAGCCTGAGTAAGCATCTCACTATGCTGCTTTTCTCTACATGGTCCATGGCAACAGCAATCTCGATACACGCATGACAAGCAAGAGTTGGAATAATATAATATTTGAAAGAGATTACGATGACAAGAACAACTTGTGGTTTGCTGGGCAATTCACGGGGATGAAAGAGAAACAAAAGAGTATGAATAGAGTGAGCTCGGCTTGGGATCCCTTGCGATGGGTTTGATGCCGCTCCTTTAGTTCTGTACATAACTGACCTACCATACACTCATTTACTTGAGCTGTTGTTTTAAATACTGTAATTAGATGGATGGAAGATGGGGGGTGTTCCTTGACGATTTGGGAGGGGAGCATCTCAGTTTGTATATAGATGAATTTAAGCGAGTCTGGTTAATACTGCTTCTCCTTGGACCTAGAATTTGCGTTGAGTGAGGTTCACGGGTAAAGTCGTTGAGACAAGTACTGTAGGAGTGGATCGTCATGTGGAGCCGCGCTAGGGTGGTTGATCGCCGGCGCGTCACCTCTACAGACATTTTGCGCCTCACGCAATACCCACTGAACGACACCTTCCAGCGCTACGTATATCCAACATGGGGAAAGGAACCGACAAGTTGTACATCACACACTCGGAGTGGTCATCGTCGGACGCCTTCGGTAACGCGCGCGGCGCAAACAGCGCCAATCGAGCTTCCGCCGCCGGCCTGTCGTCGACCTTCAAGCGCCTCCCCTTCAACTACTGCGCCGTCTCGCTCCAGCCTTTCACCGATCCCGTATGCACATGGTCGGGCACCATCTTCGATCTCACCCACATCCTCACATGGTTGTCTAAACACCCCGATACGAATCCCGTCGACGGAACGCCATTGAAGCGCGCCGACCTCATCACGCTCAACTTCACCAAGAACGAGGACGGCGAATACGTAGACCCCGTCACATACAAGGTCTTTACAGACAACACCCATATCGTTGCGCTGAGGAAAAGCGGCAATGTCTTTGCGTGGGATACGGTCGAGAGATTGAACATCAAGGCGAAGAACTGGCAAGATCTGGTCAGCGACGACCCGTTCACGCGAAAGGACATCATAACTCTCCAGGACCCCCAAAGCATCGAGTCAAGAGACTTTAGCTCATACAAGCATGTCAAGGATGGAGAAACAGTAGTGGCAGATGCCGAGGGCGGCGTCAACAAAGAAGCTCTGGGAAACGCGGCCAAGATCCTCAAGGCGAAAGAGGCTGTCGCCAAGGCGCGTGAAAACAGGAAGACCAAGGAGCAAGGCGGAACCACATCCAAGGCGCTTGCCAACTTACCCAGGAATGGCACAGCAGCATCGACATCCACAGAGCCTAAGAAACCCGCATACAACGCCGCCGTGTACACTTCCGGCAAAGCTGCTGCCTCCTTTACCTCGACGGGCGTCACGCCGCATACATCCGGCGAGCGTGCCCTCCTCTCCGACGAAGACTACATGCTCAAGCCAAAGCGCATAAAGAACAAGGGCTATGCGCGGATATCCACCTCACTCGGCGACCTTAACGTCGAACTCCTCCCTGAATACGCACCACGCGCGGTATGGAACTTTGTCAAGTTGGCACAGAAGGGATACTACAGCCACACCATCTTTCACAGGAATATCAAGGGCTTCATGATACAAGGCGGTGACCCGACAGGCACTGGAAGAGGCGGACAGAGTATATGGGGTAAGCCTTTTGAAGACGAGTTCGAAGGACCGGAGAGGCACAACGCCAGAGGTATACTCAGCATGGCGAACAAGGGCAAGAATACCAACACAAGCCAGTTCTTTATCACGTATCGCGCTGTTCCACATCTCGACCGCAAACATACTATTTTCGCGCGAGTAGTGGGTGGCTTGGACACAACGTTGCGGTCCATGGAGATTGCCCAAGTAGGCGAGAAGGACAAGCCTGTCGATGACATTGAAATTCTCAATGTGGTAGTCTTTGTAGATCCCTTCGAAGAATGGCAGAAGGAGCGCAAGGACAAGGAAAACAAAGAACTAGAGGCTGAAGAGATCAAACGACAAGGCGGCACAGCCGACGACAAGACTACGTGGACAGGCAAACGTATACGCGCAGATGGTACAGTGGACAATGGTACTGGAGAAGGTCTCGGTGTTGGCAAATATCTGCAAGCCGCGAAACAGGAATTGCAAGAACAAGATGCTGACGAGATAGTCGGCTATGTGGACGACGACGAGGACGTAGCACCTGTCAAGAAGAAGGCCAAGACAGGTGGCTTCGGTAACTTTGATGCCTGGTGAAGCGTTCACGAGTCCATGTTTGAGTTCTAGACTGGATGCTAGATAGCTTAGGAAATGATACCCCCAACCCGTCTGACTTGTGATCCAGACTGTTCCAGATTCGATTGCATGTGTCTCGCTGTTAAGCAACTGCAGAAGGTGTCTAAATCCCGCTAAACCCCGCGCTACGTCAGCATACACAGAAAACACCCGCCGCGACTTGCTGACTACACACATATAGTATGAGTATACTTGTGTGATAGTCTTGAATCCGTCGGCGTTAGCCTAAGTCCTATTAGGCGCACCGCTTTCTTCCAATCGGCACGCAAGAGAACAACTTACTTAGACTATTAATCGTGGGGATACTCGGCCTGATGGTGAGCAGAGAGCTGTACACGGCTGAGACATGGGTAGCCATATTTGGATTGTGCCCCTAGTTGTATACACAGAGCGTTGAACCAAGCGTTGCGAGATGGTTTCCAATTCCGGTTGTTGGTCGCTGCGGGGAAGCAGATCGGTGATAAGGATGATGTATGCATAGGTGCATGACGGAGGTATTGATAAAGAGGGCTAGGTCGCGCCTACCTCAGCTCATTGACATCACGAACGAGCGCCAACTTGACTATTCTGCATTCCAAGCAACTTCGCACTAGAATTGAAGGAAACCCCACGTTCTCCTTCTCACCTACATCTACCCGCACGCACACGGAGCAACATCATGTCTTCATCTGATATCCCGTCTTCCTGTCGTGCTGTCGTCATCGAGAAAGCCGGTGCGCCATGGACTATTAAAGAAGTCCCCATCTCTGCACCCAAGGCGGGCGAGGTTCTGGTCAAAGTGCTTGCCTGTGGCATCTGCCACTCTGATAGCTTCCTCCAACAGGGCCATCTGGGTGAAAACGTCTTCCCTCGCATCCCAGGACATGAAGTCATTGGAAAGGTAGTGGCAGTTGGTGATGGTGAAAAGAAGTGGAAGGTTGGAGACCGAGTGGGCGGAGGATGGCATGGTGCACACGACGGTGCGTGTAAGGCATGCAACAAGGGACTGTTCCAGATGTGCGAGAACGAGCTTGTCAATGGGGTTAGTAGGGATGGTGGATGTAAGCTTGAACCTTCTGTTGGCGAATACTGTGTGGTTCAAGACGACGAACTGACATGATGCAAAACTAGATGCCGAATACTGTACCCTTCGCAGCGAGGCTGCAGTGCGTATTCCTGCCGATGCAAACCCCGCCGAATACGCTCCGCTACTCTGTGCTGGCGTTACAGTTTTCAATGGCATACGCAAGATGAACATCCAACAAGGTGACACTGTTGCCGTACAAGGGCTTGGTGGCCTAGGTCATCTTGCACTACAATACTCTCGCAAAATGGGCTACCGTACCGTTGCTGTATCCTCCTCGGACAACAAGAAGGACTTTGCTTTCCAGCTCGGAGCAACAGACTATATTGACACTTCGAAAGAGAGCGCAGCCGAGGCACTTCAAAAGATGGGTGGCGCAAGTCTTATCGTTGTTACGGCACCGAATCCGCAGATCATAGGGCCATTGGTCGAAGGACTAGGGTCTTTGGGAAAATTGCTTGTTCTCGCGCCTGTAGGCGACATACCTGTCAACACCGTGAGCTTGATCATGAAGGGCAAATCGGTCCATGGATGGCCATCAGGACACGCACTGGATAGCGAAGAAGCAATTGACTTCGCTGAGAAACAGGGTGTGAAGTGTATGATTGAGAAATTCCCGTTCGACAAGGTGGAAGATGCAGTTCAACACATGGAAAGTGGAAAGGTGCGGTTTAGAAGCGTAATCGTTATGGAGTAGGATCAGCAAGAAGCAATGCGCGCGTCCAGCTTGGACGCCAAAGCGCCAACGGCGCAGACAAAGAAAGGTTGAAAATGGGAAGAACTATAGCTGAAGAAATTAACAAAACAATGAAACAATTGCAGTTCATGCGCGATACTGTACTACACTATGCCCCGCATACATAAACTCTTGGTGTTCTGGGATCATGGAGGTTTGTGTGCAAGGAAGCGGCAGGATGGCAGTTAAAAGCCAGAACAGCGGCCATCAAGGTAGCCCAGTGAAAGCTATTTCCATCACACACACGTCAAACCGTCATACGTACATCCCAAGGAAGCCAAGTCCGCATCTCTGTAGCTTTTCTGTTCTAGGCACTTGTGCTCCACGTGCGAACGCACCTGGGCAGTCTCGCGCCACAGACATGCAGCCGCCATAACCGTCCGGCCTCATGCCACAGTGGTTCGCGCCTCGCCCGCCCGCCACTCGACACGCAGCCGCTCAAGCAGCTCAATTGAGTACACGCGCGACACACACCTCTCACCAACGTCTCCTGTTCTGCTCCGGGTACCTGCATCTGAAGCGCGGTCGTGACATGTAACGCCTGCGCTGTCTCGCTCAGCGAATGGGCGGCTACAACGCAGAGACGGCACTAACCCCGTTGTTTCAGAAAACTCAATATCGGCCACTTGCGACACTCACATAGCTGTACAAGGGACTGCTGGTCTCGTGGCTACCCGCTTAGGCTATGATGAGGCAAGGCAAGGTAGGGATTCTTTGGAAGCGGATAGGACGGGTGTCCTTGTAGATCTACCTTAAGATGTGGCGGGTCCCGCAGCAGGTGCCAACTCTGCCTGAATTTGGTTGTTGAGTGACTGAATATCACGAAGATCACGGCTCTCCTCTTTTCTCCTCCCTTTCCTTTTGCACAACGTTTCCTTTCTTAACGCTGTGCGCTTTGTTATCCCATCAGTTTTCGTTTCGGAGTAGTTCTCCAAGTCGTTCTTTTGCAGGCCTGGCGCCAGGAAGAAACAACAGTCGTTCCCTCGTTTGTGCATTGCATCACTCACGTTCCTTATAGCAGCTGTTCCGGGTAGTGCTGGTATAGACAAAGAGGTTATTGGCCCATCTACGCGGCGTGGTTACACCATTGTGTCGAAACATTTCCCTCGACATTGAATTGCATGCCAAGTGGGCGCGCACCACCAACGCTCTGGGAAGGTTGACAGCAAGAGCTTTGGAATTTGGTTGTCTACGGCAACGCACAGTCAGCGGGACATCACAGTGAAAGAATTTCCAGCGCAGTCGGCAGGCAGCATAACTCGATATTTCACACGACGCAAACAGATCCCGCTGTCTGACCAACGTCATACCGCCAACCCAAACACCAGTCGTCTCAGCACATCCGGAAGACATTTTTCCACGAGGGCATCCAAGCTTCGTGGACAAGCATTGAAGACTGGCACTTGGGGCTTTCCTGGGCCACGTTCCTGTCTCCATTCGAGACCTACGGGTCCACCCAACCCAACTTCCAAATACTTACACACCACTCGCGATGGGTTCATCATCATTACGTGCAGCCTTGCTGGCGCTCGTTCTCGCGTCAACATCGTCGGCTACAACAGTCTCGCTTGCATCCTTTATTCCGCGGATTGACAACCTGCCAAAATCCTGCAACGATGTCTACACCAGTTCCATCTCTGGATGCGTAGCCGACGACTTCAAATCGGGCGCAACCTGTTCCGCTGCCTGTGTGCGGGGCCTGTCGGCGATCGCAGAGAGCGTCAAGGACAAGTGTGCGAACGTCGATGCGGGCGAGCTGAGCATCATCGGGGTCTTCCAGAACGGACTGGGTATTCAGAGCCTTTGTCCGGGAGTTACAATTACAACGATTTCGAGTGAGAGTGCGGGAAAGACAGATACGAAGACATCGGAGCAAGCGACGAGCACCCAGGCGGTCTTGACCACTACAAGCTTCACAAATTCAGCCATCCAAGCAACATCAACCTCATCGAGTTCAAACACGGACGCGGAAGACGGAGACGAGGAACCGACGAGCTCAGCACAAACGACAAGTTCGAGTTCATCAACGGGTGGCTTGGTCCTGGATCCGAACGCTACGGGAACATTCACGGCTTCAGTCATCCCGCCCACAGACACTGCGCAGGCGACACAGGCACCCAATGCGCAACTATCGAACGCTGACTCGGGTGGTGGTTCGCCGTTTGACGTCGTTGCTGTGGGTGCTTCATCACAGCTCAGAACTTTGGAGATATCGATAGCGAGTCTATGCGGGATAGTGGTCGCGTTGCTTGCAAGTTCATAGCCGCGCGGCAATCTTTTTTCCTTTTTCTGATATTGATGCATTGCCGAGACGGCTCACGATATGGCGTTGGAACTTTTGAATTTTTGTACTATACCCGCATTGTCGGAGCGACGGAGAAGAGTGACGACCAGTTGAGCGTGTCACAGAATGCCATTACTCAACCTCTCGACCACCGGTCTTCCTTCAATCTTATCAAATTAGCGTCATGCGTTGTGGTCTGCGGTAATGGAACCTTCCGGCCAGTCTACCCCCCACCACCCCCTGCAAGGTAAGCGAAGGTAGCTGCACCCCAGACGTAATCGCCTTCCCGCCGCGAGTAGACTTATCGTCGGCCTTGGACTAACTTGGCCCCACCATGCAGGAGCACAGTCAAGGACCATGAGGAAGACGTTATTGCTGTGTTTCATCCACGGCTTCAAGGTGTGTTGTGTCTTGCGCGCGACAGGCGCATTACGTCATGGCCAGGGTCGTGTCTGCGTGTCTCAGGTCCAGCTATGGGCAATGCAACACGTCGCTATTTGACCTGGAGGACGAGTGCTATGCTAACATTGAGTACAGGGCGGAGATGAGACATTCCGGACATTTCCAAGCCACGTGAAGGCGCTCCTCCAGCATGCGCTGCCCAAAGTCACCGTCCTCACCATCACGTACCCCCAGTTCGAGACGCGAGGCGACTTACACGAGTGTGTCGGACGCTTCAAAGAATGGCTGCAGAACAAGGTCATAGACCTCGAGGTCGCCAACTCGACCCCTTCGCCCACAGTTGACCCTTCTGTGCGCACGATACTCGTAGGCCATTCCATGGGCGGCATCGTTGCGGCTGAGACGCTCCTCTCCATCCTCGCCGAACAGCCGATACATTCGCAGTCCAACTCGCAAACTGGCTCCACGGCATCGCTTGCCGACCATTCGATGCTCATGTTCCCGTACATACAGGGCATTCTCGCCTTCGACACACCATACCTCGGTATAGCACCCGGCGTAGTGGCTCATGGCGCCGAGAAGCATTGGAACACAGCAAGTTCGGCATATTCGGCATACAACAGTCTTGCAGGCGCTTTTGGATGGGGCGGCAAGGACACTGCATCCAGTGCTGTCGATACGAGCAAGCTGCTCCCAGCACCCTCATCTACTGGAGACGCAGCAGCAGCACCCATGTGGCAGCGTTACGGCAAAGTAGCCATGTTCGCCGGTGCAGCAGGTGCCATAGCAGCAGGCGGCGCGGCGGCATATATGAAGAAAGACCAGATAACTCAGGGCGTCACATGGGCTACATCACATCTGGAATTCGTCGGAGTCCTTGCCCGCCCTGAAGAGATGCGAAAGCGACTCGACAAGATTGCAAAGCTCACTACAAGCCAGGACCTTGGCTTCTGTAACATGTACACCACTCTTGGCCATGCCATCAACAGCGAGAACAAAGAACACGGCTGGACTGGCAAAGTCGCCGGAAAAGACCGCACTTTCTGCAACCTACCCAAAGGGCCTCTGAAGAACTTCTTCATGCCTGCTGTAAACGACAAGGCCACGGCAGAGACTTGGGCGCACACTTCAATGTTCGAGCCTCGCAACAACCCCGGTTACTATACTCTCAGCGAGACGGCCAAGGAGAAGATTATCGAGTGGACAGAATCCACAGATTGGTACGAGGAGAGCGAGGGACCGTTGACTGGGGAGGTTGGTGAAGAAGCAGAGATTGTAGAAAGACAAGAAGTAGATGAGCAGATGCAGAAGGAGGCTGACAAGAGGGAAGCAGAAGAACTAGAGAAGGCCAAGGCTAAGGGCGATGTAGATGCTTTGGAGGAAGAGGGCGAGTTTGTGGATTTGAAGAGAACTGGCGAGGTTGCTGAAGGGGAGGACGAGGCGAGGAAGAGGAGGGAGCTGTAGTGGGAATCTTTGTGAGTCTACATACCCTTGTACATGGAACAATGAATACATGTTTGCGCCACGTTACCACGCATGCAAGACTGCTAAGTGAGAGTCCTGAGGTACGATTCTCTCTCACAGATGGAGATTCATCAAGAAATTATACTCTTTCATATTATCGGGCCGAAACCATCGCCTCAGCCGTTCGTGACCGCAAGAAGGCGAGGGCTTGCCAAATTCGTGATATCATTCGTGTGTAAAGTACCCAAGTATAGTGGCCGGCGGCCATTGGCCGCCCGAAATCAATAAAATCAATAATATACTCTTTCATATTCGGCGTTCGATCTTAGGCTCACGTTCCCGTTTATAAACACTTCCACGTACTACTTTTTATTGAAAAGAGCTTCTAGCCCGGAGCAATATATGCTGGGTCGAACAATTCTGCAGGAAACATACACTACGGTGGACTACGAGCGCCTGAATTTCAGCCTTAGTCAAGCATATCCCGATGGCTGCTCTGCGTATATCGTACCAATAACTTTATTATCTTCCATGCCTCAAACCTCGGATCCACCTCAAATTCCACCACCGAACAATTCTAAAAGCCCCTCTTTAGCTGCATATGCTGGAATAGGTGTGGGTGCAGGTATCGCAGCCCTTTCAGCATTGTTTTTCATCATCGCCTGGAAAAAGCGCTTGGGGCCTTTTCGACGCAAGGTCTCGATGGGAGGCAATACCTACGATAAAGCAGAATTACACGGTGATCACAAACCTTGGGCTGAAGCCATGGAAAAGGAGAGAATTGAACTTGATGCAGCTACAAGTACGCACGAGGCAATGAACAAGGAAAGGTCAGAACTGGAGACTGTAGAAAATTCCCACGAAGTAGGCACTACGGAGATTCAAGGTATTGGCCGTGTACATGAGTTGCCTGGTCATGACGAGAGCGTGGAGGCAGCAGATGAAAGAGCTCGTGCTTCTTGAGCTACACCATAAGTGCATGTATGCTGTATACAGTCGCATTATGATATGATACCGTAGGTAGATAAGGTCCCGCATACTACAAAGTGCAATGGATGTAGTTGGTCATAGTGCGGAGTGCACGGTATACTTGTGCGTTGGGTTCCATATGCCACACAGTGATCTCGCCACCATGCTTGATCGACAGGTTGTAAGCTCGGATAGGCTAGCGCTGGACAAGCTTTTCCAGCCGCATTGGCATACTCAACGCTTTGTGCGCCATCCGTTCATCTCTTGTCTTGGTGTCACCCACGCATTGAGGCGTAGTCCAGGCTCGCTCGAGTGAGCCAACTAAAGCCTTGACCACGATTGCCCCATGGGCCATGTCGGGTCGCCCGATTGCCATTCGCACGGCATCCTACCGCGTACTAAGGAGACTGTACCAACACCGATATTTCAAGACTAAGGCGCTTTGCGTCTTGTACAACTACACGGTCACTGTTAAATAATTGACTAACTGAAGTGTATTAAGATGAGTTGTAATACTCTATCTATGGGTAAAGTAGTCCTTATATCCCTTAAACCTTTCTTTGTCTTGAAGTTTGACTGTATAGTGGTTTGACTTAGACAACAGTCACCAATCTAAGCGGTACATAAAGGATACAATGTATCATCCTCCTAGGCACCATCAACATCCATCTCATCCACGTCCATCTCATCGTCCCAGTCCCCCTGAACGTCTTCACCGCGTACTATTTGTGAATGGGGAGGTTCGTTTCTCTCCACGAGATACGGATTACTTTTGTCAAACTCCTCTCGCCACATCGCCAAGCGATCGACACCAAAACCACCACCAATAAAGTAAAGGTACCCAATTTCTCCTGCAGCCTTCTTGACCAAACGCTCCCATTCTTCTCTGTCTTCTTTCTGTTTCAGTGTTTGCTCAAAGCCTGGTTCGACATTCAAGTCTTCCGTTGTCTCCGAGTAGGACAGTGAGCTGCGTGGTAGTCTGGGTCGCGCGGTGCCACCGCGTGCGCGTCGCTCTGCCATACGGATCTGGTCCTTTTGGTTCTGATGGGCACGTCGACTAAAACAGCCGGATATTGGCTCTTTCCAGAAATTGGCGGCTATGTAGCAATCGCCCAAACCGTGCTTACGACGTATTGCTGCCTCGTTCTTTTGCCGGATTTCCCAGGCTAGCTGGAGCTCTTTGTTTTCTTGTACGGACCTGCGCACGGTCTGGATTATCTGGCGCAGTTTCGAGTTTTCTCTTTTGACTTGCATATGGATAGAATTCTGCTTGCGCGAGCGTAATGGTGTCCGATGCCTATGCACATGCACAGGTGCGTGCGAGTTGGCAAGAGCGCCTGATTTCTCCCACCAAGCTACATATTGGGCGATTTGAGCCTCAGGCATTGTTGTCGGGTAGGACGCCACCAAAGAGTCACAAGCTGGGCACAAAGAAGGGTTTGGGGACAGGACTGCTGCCTGGACATTGTGGGTGTCGAACCGTTGATGAGCCTCATCCCACGCCCGCTCACGTTCCCAGCGTAACTGATCGGTCAGGCGGGTCCTCTCAAGCCGCTGTTTCGCTATCAGATACCCTATTCTTGCTAAGTTCCACCGCCGGTTGCGCATGTGCTCTAGAGGCCTCAATCCACCCTCGGCTACCAGCTCCTTCAGTGCGACGTCGGACTTTCCTCTGGCTAGGGAAATAGTGCACTTGGGACACCTAGGGGTATGTGGTGGGTTGGAGGGGTGAATTTCATGATGACATTGAGTGGCGATCCTAGTCTGGTGACCATATGGTGAGGGAGTAAACGGCCGTTTCCTGCTAGTTGAGAACAGCAACGTGTCGGGACTGAGCATCATCGGCATACTGAAGGCTGTGGTCTGGCTGATGTATTTGTCGATTTATACTGGTGGAACTAGTGTGCATTATGGTTGCGGAAAAAGATAGGGTCGCTTGCTGTGGTGAACCACGGATTAGCGAGGAACTGGGGAATGTGAGCAGAGAGCTGTCGAACTGTGAAGAAAGGCTCGTAGTATGAATGCAACAGGCGCGAAGGGGTGTGTGGTGCGAGGTTTTAAATGTAAGTTACACTCCAGCCCATTGAATGAGGCGCGTCAGGGCGTCATCGCCCTCTCCTCTGATTGGCCCGCTGTCCCAAAAGTCACACGCGAGCAGTTATGGAGCTTGTCCGTGCACTACTTAGCTCCTTTAACACCCGCACTGCTGACTGACTTCGTGGGGGTCTTAGACATCATAAAAGCGCGGAAGCCGACGTGGAAATGTTGCAGCTGACATGGGAAGCTAGAAACATGCTTCGCCACCCAGACTATAGCCTTCACCATGTACCGTTGTCATTGTACGGTATGGAGGCTACTTTTGCTTTCGCAGCGAGCGCTAGCCACGCTAGTATGTCGCTTTGCATTCACCTTCACTTGTACAGCATCATACTGGAACTGTGAGATCAATGAATGATAGTCTTGGCTGCTTGCTGCGATGATATCGCCAACACCGACTTCTCTGGATATGCGCAACAGCGTACGCACATCTTGACTCGGTCGCTCATTGCAAGAATCCTACTACCATATCATTGTTAACAGTGAGACTTCAAACTCAGTTTGACGACAGGCTGCGCTCATAAACGAAGGTGACGGGCGATTGAAATCGCAGGTCACTGCCGCATTCACTGTCGTAGATAGGTATAAGGATTATGCTCATGCGCAGCTATCTTACGTCCCTACAGCAACGCTCCATTGACAGCAACTCTGTCAAAAAGCGCGACATGGAGCAGAACCAGCCACAAATATCTCGGAGGTCTGGCTCTTTCAATCCAGAGGCACCAACTTTCAGTCCGACGACCGCCGAGACTAGCATGTTCACTGGGCCTTCAGGACCAACTCCTCCCACCAGTCCGCGACAGAAAGCAAAGATGTCAGATACGTTCGACGGCAAGTCTTCGACCGCGTCTTACTCACCACATAAGACTGACTTGTGTGCAGAAGACTCGCCTTTTCGCCCTGCTAGAGACATGCGACCGAATTATCAAGGCTACGAAGAGGTCAACGCTGTACGGATGCCGAGGAAGTTACCGAATCAGAAGGATATGCCACTGAACTCTTTGCAAGAAATGCTACGATGTGAGACCAGCACCATCACAATACCAAGATCTGATCCTAACCTAATAGATCACCATCTCGCTTTGAATCAGGATCAACCTAGTGCAGACTTTCGCAGCAATTTTTCCGAGGAATCCTCGAACTTTGCCATGGCATACGCTGCAAATAGCCCCTTCTTTACGCGGCGACACCGTTCAGACTCGAACGCCCCAGGCGTCGACGAGCTGAGTGCGGGACTTGGTCTACCCAGCATCCAGAAGAGAGTTACCAACGTGGACTCACCAACCCGCTCTCACAAGTCACGCGGCTCTGAAGTTTTGCCTCAAGATCTCTTTGGTAAGCTCATAGGGCGGGCGCTGGACAAGCCGTTGACCGCTAACGCCTTAGCCCAATATATGGACGGCAAGAGTGTACTCTTAGACGACGTCGTTAACACGCCTCGGGGCCTCAAGGGCGATGGTCGTGATATGTATTCGGTAGAACGTGCAGGTGTTGAGCGTCAACCTACGAGACTAGTGTCTCCACCTCCTGGCTTTACTGGAGAACGCCCTCGGAGGGTCTTCGCAGAGGAGCATAGCTCAGTCAACCCAGTGGCTACGGAGTCCCCAGTTCGGCAAACACCCACCGGTCCTGCAGGACTCAGACAACTGCGAAGAATTAGCGACCTCAATTCCGTCAACCATGCGCAATACCATGGCCACATACGTGGACCGTCTAGGCATTACCGTCCAAGAGCACTTCCCCGTGTCAAGCGCACCGATCAAGGTCCCGAGCCTTCAGATGCCGATATATACCCCGATGATGCGAACTTCATACCCCGGCGTCCACCGTATCAGCCCGAGTCTGCAGGTTCCCTACCCAGCTACATAATGGATATGCCATCAACAAGGCAGGTCCATGCAGAAGACATTATGGTTTGGCCCACCCCAGCAGAAGTTTACAGGCAGAAACTCGGCAGTTCACCCAGACGTAGTGTTTTCGCTCGCAACGCTCCGCTCACGCAGAATGGCGCGCCGGAGCATTGGTCTCCTCCCGCTGCATCGTCTATGTCACAGTACATGCTGCAGTTCGGAGAGCCTTCCCATCCCCTTGCTTTGAGATTTTCTCCTCCTGCCCCATCTCCTTCACCTCCCTTCGACATCTTCGCAGGCCACTATCCTCCCACATACGCTGACATTCACGAAATTGACGCAGAGATGGAGTGCCTCCTCGCTATTCTTCCCGACATCTTCGACCTCGATCTACCTGAGCTGCCCTGCGACGAGCGCCCTCTTACACCCGGTCAGACAGACGGGAGTCGGTACGGTATGCAGTTTCATGGCATTGGACTAGGCGATCGCTGGAATTGTCCTAGTGTGCGAGAGGGTGAGCCGTTCCGAGTACGTCCCCGCGATCATGATGGTTGGGGTGGATGGCAGTGGGCTATCGACAAGGGATGGGGAAATGAGTAAGCTATCACTGAAACCGTCCCTGATCCCGTCTGAACTGACACTATATCGGGGAGCGCTACCTAGGCGATAAGTAAGCGATGTGGCTCACCTGGGCTGGCAGAGAAGTCCGAGCTCCTTGGAATATCGTTGGAGGCTTCTTGAATATGGCCTTGATGGGGGAACGGTGGACGACTGAACGATGTTGCTGCTGAGTCTGTATCGTCGCTATCCGTAGAACTCGAAGCTTATATATGACCATGGAGACGAACAAGAGATCGTAGGTCGTCATGAGCTGGGTATTAAGACAGCATTCATTACTGAGTCATCCAATAGCAATTTCAGGATTTACTCGCATTTGCATAATGACAAGAAGCATAGTGGTTTAAAGCAGGTTTGCAGGTTCGTTTTCATATGGATATCGAATGACAGGTCAAGAAGCTATAGTGTAGGATAAAGATGGTTTTCAACACGCCGCACCCCAACGCCCAGACAAGTGCCCTATTGATGTATCCATGCCAAAAACCTGACCTCTTGTCCACAAGCCCATTTGCTGCCTTTAACATCCCACAATGTTGAGATACTGGTTCCTCAAACCTCAAATCGGGTCAAAGTTCGTCTGTTGGCTTGCTCGCTCATTGTCGAATGTAGCACCGTACCGGCATCGATACCACACCTGCTCAGGAAGAAGGATTAATATGCGACTTCAGATTCAGAGGTTGGATGCCATGTTGGGGTGTCGCAGTGCCGGAACCGGCTTGAGGAGTACCCATTCCAGATAGTGGACTTACAGCGCCACTGGGGGGGACGGGGATCTTGATATCTTCGGGGCTTCCGGGAACCATCGATTCAGGTAGATCAGGAATCTTGATGCGTTTTGCCACGTTGTTGTAGGATGAGGGTATGATCTAGATGATGTTAGTGTATGGAAAAAAAGAATTTTGGATAAAGATCACCTCAATGATCTCATCGCGAGGAAACTCGAGCTTGGGTATGTCGGCCGCATTACATGCCATCAGGTACCCGTAAAGTACACGAAGGACAGACTCATGAGCGATGATGAGAAGGTCATTCTCTTCACGCTCAAGTTCTAGAATGATGGGTTCCATGCGTACGGCAAGGTCGTGATACGACTCTGCGCGCGGATACCGATGGTGGTAAGGGTCTGCTTCGTGCTTGGTAACTTCATCAGGGAATTCTTCGCGGATCTTGGCCTCTGACATTTTCTCGCATACACCAGGATTCATCTGGCTCATTTGCGATCGCTGCCTAACCCGGTAGCCCATGGAAGCCAGAACCTCTGACGTTTGGACAGTCCTTCGACGTGTGGAAGTCCAGATTGTCAGTGGCTTCAAGGAGGCATCGGTTGCTCCCGACTCAATCAGTTTCTGCTTCTCCTCTTCGCGGTACTTCAGGAGCACCTCACTCATCTTCTTAGCGTATTCATGACCTTCTGGTGAGAGGCTTGCATCTGCTTTGTAAGAATCTTCCTCTCGCGTGGTCCCGGCTCGAGCAAAGTATGTTTGCCGTGACTTAATGTGGAGATTGAGTAGATAGAAGACTATTCTTTGCGAGAGATATCCGAATGCGCAGTTGTTCACTACCACTCTCTCGCCAGCGTTGATCATCTTGATCCAATGTAAATCAGGCTCCTCCATGGTCTCGAAGTGTGGTATCCGTGCATTGATACGTGCCAGATAGTCGTGGACAGCATCCTCGTCCTTCCATCCTTGATAATCCGGTGAAGAAATCTTGACACGACGGACGTTCTCTTGGATGATGCGCTCATCGGTACAATGTGATTCGATGAAGACTGTCTGGATTCCATTCTTGGCAAATTCTTTGGCCAATGATCTGCGACCTTGGCTAATGGCATTTACAGCGTCGTAGATGGCCACTTGGCCCTTGTCGTTTTCCAGGAAGTGATAGATGTCTTCACGGCACTTTTTCAAGATCTTATTGCGTAGCAAAACAGATTGTGGCGATGCATTGAGGAAGAAGTAATCGTCGGGCACATCGTTTTCCGGGCCTAGTGTAGCACGACGGTAATCGCCAAGATGAAACACGTGCGTCTTGACACCCAGCCATCGCAGGTAGCGGGCTAAGGCAACAGATGTGTGTGTCTTTCCCCGAGCTGGCAGTCCGCAGGTGGCGATGACTATTCGACCGGAATGGAAAAGGCGGCCTGATTCTGTACTATAGAGTTGGGCGGGGGCCATTTCCTCTTTGGTAGGTAGATCGTGGATTGCGTCGACGAAAGTACTCGACCGCCGCCGGAAGCGGGGTGAGTTTGCGTATATCTCTGCAGTACTAGTCATCTTGAGTGAATGTTCTATTCAGAAGGTGTGCAGCGTTGGTACTTTCACATTGCTGCTGGAAGTGGGGTCATGGTACTCACAGTAGGGTATCCATGATTGTAAAATCGTCAGGTCGAGATGATCAATTGACGGAAAGAGAAGAAGTGCAAAGCGCACAGGAAGAGAAATGGTCGGATGTCAATGAAGTAGAGTTGCGTTCGGTTCAAGGTCACAGTTCCAAGGTTCCGGCGTTGATAGCGTTTGCCGAGAGATGTCAGCAAACAAGGTGCGACAACCCGTAACAGTCAAGTGCAGCAACTTCCACGAAACAGCGTCGCAGATAGGTCTGGGGATAGTCAGGCAGCACTTTGCGGGATTTCGTAGTCAAGGGTCACAAAAGCAACCATGATATCAACGGGCGGCATGTCTTGGATGCTAGAGATCTGATAAGCTCTAGCGTCATTGGGTTACATCACGTGACGGCTTTAGAATTTCTGTTCGATATCGTCATGCTAGCGAATGCGACCCAACATCGCCCTCCAACCGTTCGCTGCCATTTCCATCCCATCCTGTGCAAGCTCTCCCACATCTTTTGGGAGCTCCTAGTTTGACTCGGCGTACATATTCACCATGGCCACCCCGCTGCAGTTCAACCCAGCGCAGGAACAAGCTGTCGCCGATATCCTATCACGACCTCGCGCCGCCAACACCGGTCCATTCGCACAATTTCTAAACGTATACGATGCATTCCAAGAGCGGAGAGAAGCATTGGGTCTCAGCAACCCGGGCACAGTCGAGAACATTGCGAGGGAAGTCCAGCGTGATGTCTTCCTGAACAACTCCAGCTTCTCAGGTCTTCGCGCCGAGCTCACCAAGGCCTTCAGCGCCGCCCCGCTATTCCAGGTTGCACACTCGTTGTCCATGGGATCGCAGGTTATGCCGCCATACTCATACATGGTTCTCTATGGATCACCAAGGGTTCGTTGCTCAGATCGTCGGCAGCCTTCCGTTTGCTGACTTTTCTAGGTATTCATGCAAGGAAACCTAGATAACGAGCTTGCCTTCTCCGGTCGCTTCAACTGGCGCTGGACGTCGGCGTTTGTCACCAAGACCGCTGTTCAGCTCACATCGCAAGGCAACATGGTTTCGCTCGAGAACGACTACACTGGCGCCGACTTCTCTGCTTCGCTGAAGGCTGTCAACCCGTCCTTACTCGACGGTGGCATTACTGGTATGCTCATGGCCAGCTATCTACAGGCTGTTACACCAAAGCTTTCGCTCGGCATCGACGCTTTCTGGACCCGCCCGGCTATGGCATACCCCCCAGAGCTGAATGTCTCGTACGCGGCACGCTACCGGGCTGTCGACTGGATGGCATGTGGTCAGATCATCCCCGACCGTGGTGTATTGGAGGCTTCATACTGGCGCAGACTTACAGACAAGGTTGAGACTGGCATCAACTGCAACCTCGCATTTGCTGGAATTGGCCCTGGAGGGCCTATGGCTGGACCGCAGAAGGAGGGTAACGTAACTATCGGTGCCAAGTACGACTTCCGTCAGTCATCATACAGAGCACAAATAGACAACCAGGGCAAGGTGTCGTGCTTGTTGGAGAAGATGATTGCGCCGCCAATCCGTGTGACCTTCTCAGGTGAAATCGACCACAAAGCGGTAAGTTTTGTAGAATTCAAATCTGACTATCAATACTGACGGTAGCACAGAATGCCGCTAAGCTTGGTCTGGCCGTTGCGATAGAAGCCGCCGACGAGGCAGTCATGGAACAGCAAGAACAACAGGGCGTCGCAATGTCAGCCGGCTCGATCCCCTTCTAAACGCCTCTCCACACATCCATGTATCGACTATAATACCATGACTCTTCTCTTTGCTGTATTACCACCTTTCTTGGGGCGAGCGTCGTCTGCAATCCCAGCGTCCCCGCTTTCCTGGTCTCCACTATCTGCGGATTGACGGTACTGCGTGTGCGCAGCTGGAGTGATTTATGAACGTAAAAGGTGTAACGTTGACATCTGATGGAATACGAGCTTTGGTAGACCGGAATTTGGCGAAGCATCTCCGCCGCCAGATGTTTGCAAGTCGACACGAGACGAGACGATGCATTTGTACATATAGTAGCATAGCCCATGGGCGTTAAAAATGATATGTAAAAAGATGAAGCGGGTTGCTTTTAGCGAGTTGAACATGTGACGCAATACATTATCGTGGAGTCGAGAAATATAGTACAGATCGTTACGGCGTAAGAATCTCGCCGTTTATGTACAGGTACAGCCCCGTTCCATGCACCGCCATCCTAGTAAAACAGGTGTGAAGAGCTCAATGGTCAGGGTCGAGCAACTATCAGTCGAAACGCCAAATCGAAGTTTTTGTCGTCTACAAAGCAGGCTTCGCGCCTGTCGGCTGACCAGGTGTCGGCGCACCGGGAGCCATGAACTGTCAAAGAGTTAGCATAAGGTTGAACAGCGCAAGTCTAGCAAGTCAGGTTTCTACGTACCTCGTTCTGCGCCCTCTGTGCCTGCAGCTCAGCTCTCTCCTGCTCGACGATCATCTGCTCCTCGCTGTATGCCAATGCCCACGGCACACCCAGAAGCAGCGCACTTGTGCTCACTACCCAGAGAGTCTTGCCACCCATGTTCAGGCCGCTCTTGAACCACGAAGAGATTGTGTTTGCTTTTGAAGAGACGGAACGGCGTGTGCTGGCAGGGATCATGTCTTGTAAGGCGAGAATGCGCTCGTAGAGGGATTCGTCTGGCTGTACGGAGTGGATCGAGGATGTGTCTGACTCTATAGCATTACAATTAGTATTAAAGTGTCTTCGAAACGGTCTCTTCTATGCGCCAGAAGCCCCGTGATAGCGGTTTGTGGTGTCGTACCAGAGTCGGTGTCCCACTCATCGTCGTCATGCGGGCCCTCCTGCTCGCGCACAAACTCCTCATCCATGACCTCTTCGAGCTTGACCATTTTGGCGGTTATCCGAGCGTGCGATTGATTTGGTGTGTATATGGAATTCAGCGACGATCGAGCGTTGGTGTAGGTTGGTGGTGTTGGGCCTCGAGCTGCTTGTGACGATGATAACCCTACTATCAAAAAGTTAGCACAATATGTGATGACATAAGGGCCACTAGCGCCGCCGCACGTGCTTCCCACCGATCTTGGACCATGACACCTGCACCCTTCACTACCTTTGCACCAACTCCTCGTAGTCAAATCTCTGAACATTTTCGTGCTCGCCTATACTCAATTCCGATCCGTCTTGCTTCTGTGAGACAAGCGATAGGTCGAATCTAACACACATGAACGGAGTCTGTTTAGGGAAAGAGTTGGAGGGATATTGAATTGGCTGTTTCTATGAGAGCGCTGTCTGTGCATGCCTTGCCTGTAAAACTGATTAAATGGTTGTTCTATCCGATTCACAGTGGTTCGCCTGACTGAATTACTGCAAGAGCTTCCACACCAAGACTAGAGTCTTCGCTCAGAAACGACGACAACATGGACAGAATAACCCCCATACATATTATACTAGAGATCGAAACGAGATTCCGTATTCGAAACTTGGACCTAGCCTTCACTACCTGAATATAAAGAATAGGTCAAGCGACCTGCACACCTTGAACTAATAATATCGCGACCTAAACTATTGTATGTACCATGTTCGCTTGGCAGCACAATTTACGATGCACAAGTGTAGTAAACAGCATGTCGTTAAGAGACTAAGTAACAAGGAGGTGCATTTACAGTGGCTCAGTACGCCCTAGAAACGGCGCCGATGACTGCAGCCAGGAACTAGTGCGAACCAAACGACCGTCTGACATTTCCCCGCTTTAACCTCATATATTATTATGGATGCACGCTTACGCATATAAATCTACAAGGTCAGCTCACCTTCGCGACCGTATTAACGTAGTTCCTGTAAAGAAGACCTCAGTCCATCATCAACAATGGGCAACCAACCCTCCACCCCCAAGCCAGGGACCGATTTCAAAGTCATCGGCGCTGGCCTCTCCCGCACGGGCACTGCCTCATTCAGCGAAGCGTTGCGCATCCTACTAAACGGGCCTGTCTATCATGGTGGTACGCAGGCCACTCTGGGACCCGAAATCGAAATCAAATCCCTGATCAAGCTCCTCTCGCACTTTCCACCAAAGTCGCCCTCGGACAAAACGATCATTCACGATTTGCTGAAGCAGCGCTTAAATGGCTATGCCGCAGTCACCGATGCACCATTCAGCGGGCTGGTCGAAGAGTTGCTCGAGGCGTACCCGGATGCGATGGTAATCTGCACAATTCGAGATCCAAACGCGTGGATAAAGAGCATGGAAGTGGTGCAGAACGCATCTACGATGTGGTTTCTACGCTTTGTACTCTTCCCTGTCCCAGGCATGCGTTACTTCGTCGACTTCATTGATGGCCTAAGAGATCAATGGATCTACCTGTATGGTCGTGGGGAACCAGTCACAGCCGAAACTTACGAAAAGCACATTGCTTACTTGAAGAGAGTCGTGCCGGAGGATAGGCTAGTCTTCTTCAATGTTAAGGACGGTTGGGAGCCTCTCTGTAAGGTACTTGGCAAAGAGGTTCCGCAGAATATCCCGTTCCCAAGAATCAACGACGGGGAAGCCATCGATAGGCTGGCGAAGAGAATGGTGACCAAGGGCTTGCTGCGATGGCTAGCCATCTTTGGTGTGGTGGGAGCGGCTGCTGTTCCTCTGTTTTTGAAGCGTTAGAGGGTGTCTCTTTCTACACCGATCGAGAATCTCTCGCGTTCTCTCTATCGTGTGGATCATGTTCTTCTGCTCCAGATGACTCGTATCAGCTGTTTGCGATATACATACATCCTTTTCCGGCGTTGTTTCCACATACGACCATAGGACACTGAAAATTAGGCTTCCCGTCCGCTCAGCCATATACAAGCAGTGTACCGGCGGATTAGTAGTTAGGTGGGTGACCACTAGCGAATCCCCGCTGTTGTATGTTTTTGGACTTTTTCCTCCAAGTTTTTTTTTTGGCTTACGGATGAATGACATCGCGAGTGGAGGTCGTGTGGAGATTGGATGACTCGCCAGCGCACCGAGCACCTGACAGCGAACATCTCTGGTTGCAGTAGTTAATACATACTCATCACGTATCTTACTTGAAATGGTTGTGTGACTCTTGTGGCGGATAAGACCCTAGCTCATGGCAATGTCATACTGATCATTGAAAAATATCGAGACGTACATACACACTTCCAACCATCTCTACTAGCATCCAAATCGCACTCAGTCCTCAGCCGAAAACTCAACACTGTCTTCCTCTTCTTCTGAATCTAATCAAGCCTTTGCGACGTGTATACTCTCATAGCGTCTCCGGCTCTTCGGAGGTTATCGTCTCCACCACCTTCGCGATCTTTCTGCAGTCCTGTAAACCATACTGCGCAATCTTTGACTCTTGAACCATATCAGCGAGTTCGATACAGCCGTTCTTCCAAGCTCGATAGATGGTTCTTCTGTAGTTGGTGTTGCCTCTTCCTTTGACATCTGCACCCGTGGTGAGGAGATAGACGGCAATGTCATACTTGCCTACTTCTGCGTCTCAGTCAAGTGCTGTTCTTTTATTATAACCACCAAGAGAAGCTTTGACATTGGCTCCCGCTTTAATCAGCAAGTCGAGCATCTCGCTACTGCCATTGATGGCTGCTGACTGTAGCGCAGTCATGCCATCAATGGAAGGAGCTAGTGCATTGACATTTGCCCCAGCAGCTATTAGCTTCTTGACAATCGAGATGTTGTCGTGTGTTGCTGCATATGGCAAAGGCGTCCAGATTATTCCTACATCGGCCGTAAATGTATTGGGAGAGTTCGGCATTGCACCCGCATCGAGAAGCCGCTCCGCCTTAGCGTGACGTCTCGACATCGCAGCATTGGAGAGCGAAATGGAGTCGCTGTCGAACATAGTCCACTACCACAATCCGGTCAATTTTATCCAGATCCAAGTCGGTTTCCAGGATTGCCTTTTCAAGAGTCGAATTTTTGGAGCACAAGACTTCAAGGAGGACACTATACTGCTGTTTTTCTCACACACAATCACATCATCTTGAGAAAAGAAAAAAGACAGAAGTTGACGGACCTTTTGCTGGTGTACCTCGTTACACCGTCTATCTATATGCTTCGAACTTTTCAAAATCACATTTCGGGGAAACAAGTCTCAAGACTTTTCATCCCCTTCTATATGTATCACTGAGGTTTTGTTTAGATTCAACGTCGCTTTCCCAGCATCTCCTTGCCTAACCCATCCCGGCCCTCTTCACGAGTAATCTGCTCTGCAGCCTTGACAAGATCGTACGTGATATCGTCTCCAACAACACTATCTTTTTTGTACGCCGGATGTGTTTGGACAAAATGCCTGATCCACTTTGCCGCAGTCCAGTATGTACCGTTAGCGCGCTTACGGATCAAATCCAAGTAGGTGGCGAGATCGCAGCGCGTTTCAACGTCGACGTTCATGCTGTTGAGATAAGACTCGACAAGCGGAATAAGGCCGGGGAAGCCATTGCCGTCAGTTGAATGTGTCTGCCCATTGATAATCTCGTTGACTGACATTTGCTCATACTCTTCCTCAACAGGGCCGGTAGGCGTCGCTGGACGACTACCGTTCCTCACAGGTGTCGATGTACCTGTTCCACTGGGCTTGTGTGTCGAGAAGGGATTCTTTCGGAACCAGAATTTCTGTGTCGATACGGCGTCGCGGATGTGTGCTGTTTCCATGTTTTCGCTCACCAATGTGATGGGTATGTAGAAGTTGAGATTGAACGAGAGGATGGCACGGGTCAAAAGCACGATAAAGATCGAGAAGGCAGCGTTCTCGAAGTCAGTAATTTGAATCTCCATCGGACGGAACTCAACACGCCAACCCATGTCAGAACCAGCTGGCGGTGGCTTGAAGCGCATGTGCTGCCAATTGGTTGACTGCAAGTTTTCAAAGTGGTCGGCTTTGGTAAGGTCCAAATCCTGGAGGTCTTCTGCGAAAACGACAATAGGATCACGAATGAAGAGGTGGGCAAAATGTGTCGCAAGAAGATCATCCATGCCACCCTCAACCAGGCGCTGCTTGATGTCGGCGTCGACAATGAGATCCGGGTCGAGATACTCAGGCCGCAAGCGAGGATCGTGGGAAATGTAGGTTGAGTTTGACGCATAGCGCGACTTGGGTAGTCTCCATCGGTCGTTCTTGAGCGGCTATCGCGTGTTAATAAATAACCAATGCTAGCGAATCAGACAACTTGCCTTCTCTCCTAGTTCTTCCGGTGTGCGGTCATCGACGGCTCTGCTAATTTGGTTCCATCGCACATCGGTGTCGGCCAGGAAACCCTTATAGATTGGTGTCGCCGCCGTCAATGCTAACAAGATGGGTGCTATCGGGCTGAGCTGATCGTACATCTTCCTTCCTTCCTCAATGTTCTTTGCTTGGAAGGTAATCTGCAAGCAGCAGCTTCCCATACCAAACGCCATGGCGTCCATGTGGATGTAGTTGTCCTTGGCAGCACCATTGCGAACGTCGTCATCTTCAGGCCAGTTGTGCATGTCATAATTGACTGTAGGATCCTTCCACGGCCACGGTGTGCTCTCGTCCTTGAAAACTGGGACATTTACTTCAACCTTCCGGCCCCTGCGCCAACGAATGTTTGCCGCTAGGGTAGGAAAGCGAATATGCGGGTTGGCAATCTCATCTGGTACAAATTGGGATCGTAGCTTGGGTCCAGAAACAGGATATGATGGTACTATACAATCGGCCGATCCGAGACGAGGGAATGTCGTCAATGTGATTGGAAACTCGCTCTGTGCCATGTGATCCTTGGCTATGGCTCGTCTGCAATAATTGTGAGCTATCGACTGATCGACGATCGAGTAGGCCTGTCTACCTCCATTTCATGTTTGGTTCAACATCAAGCAGGTCCTTGAAGCCAATACCCCATGGCTTTCCGGGAGTTGCTTCCAGCATAAACCTCCCAAATTCGGGGTGGAAGACCGGTGCAGGGTTATCCTTTGCGCTGGCATGGTCAGTACGCAACTTCGGATCTGGGTAGTCAGGCTCACTCGGCGTTTCCGGTTTGTAGGTCAGGTACCCCGCCGCCTTGCTGCAGAAGTTTCTCGTCGTTGGCCAGCGCAGCTAGGATATCTGCCTGGCGGAGCGACAATCGGACCTTGTGGTTGTCTTGATCATAGCAAACAACCAAGTACTCGATCTGGATGCCGGTTAGCCCAATGTTGTGACGGACATGCCGGATCCTTCACCTCGTCCCCCCAAAGGAGCGCATCCCTCTCCTTGCCTTTGGCATTGCGCCAGATGGCGAGCAGTTGCTGTCGATCACATTACTATGCATTCCTTTCGGGTATCTTCACCGAGCATACTTCAATTCCCCATGACCTGACCTGACCAGCAACTTTCTTGGCCTCTGGCCAGTCAAGAGGCGTTCCTAGGGCACTTGATATGATATTAGCGAAGGCGGCGAGAGACGTAGCACGGATCTCACAGCAGACCCATCCCAAGTTCGTTCTGTAAGGCGTTGCGGTAGGGAGTCCAATGCGGGTTGGTGCACGGGCGGGCCGAGCAGACGCGTGAATGGGTGGCTTCTGGTTTTGAACGGCGATTGCGGGGAGGTGTTCGGGGAGCACTGCAGAATATGGGACGTTTAGCGGGGTTTGACGCAACGCAGGGCTTTTGCAGTTTTGAACGCGCTGCAGACGCCTCGGTTTCCTGCGTTATCGAAAGACCGTCGAATGGCAGACGATTGAAGGAAGAATCGTTTCTACTTGCTCCCCGTGGGTACGCGGACGAATTGCAAGGCTAGAGTCGGGAGCATTGATTATTAATGCGCAGTGCAGTAAGCATATGCCTGTGACACTCCTCCGAGGGGGAAGACCCTGCCGACGACGCTTGCCTCTTTGGTAAGCTAGACACAACATCACCTCACTGTGGTACTGCTGCCGTGCGCGCAATCCATCTTTCCTTGCGTGACATTGTTTGGGCATACTGACAGCGAGCCCCGATGCACGACTGCGCATGGCGTCTTCTTTTGCTGTCCATCAAATGCGCCTCGCCTACCGTTGTCCTCGCCCACGTGCACGCATGTCGTTACGCTGTGCAAAGCCTTCCCACTGGTGCAAAAGCATGGTCGCGTAGAGAATCCCGATTATGCATGTTGAGAGAGGATCCCTTCGATACCGTTGCCGCGGGCCGCAGGAGTGGCATGACACCTGCTGCCGCGCCACACGCTGGCTGAAAGGAGCAGGCGACTCATCTCTTCTTCGCTGGCGCAAGCAATCTTTTTTTCCTTGGTCGTGAGCACTTTTGGGCCAAGCAACCGCCATTGCGGTACTGCACGATCAGGATCGGCTGCTGCTACGCATGCCGCATAATCAGCATCACACACCGTCAGGGTGCACATCGCCTTGCATAATTGGGGCACCAAGCCTTCCGTAGCTGCTTAGGTCGCGAGGTGCAACCCCGCCGACTTGTTATCTGACAGATGATACAATATGCGGGGAGTCTCGATTGGCGGTGCTGCACAGAGAGTGTAAATTGGGACGAGCCCGCATCAGCCCACGACTGATGCGAGTGACGCAGCACTCGTTCTCACGAATACAGCGCGTCAGCCATGATACGATTGCAATGAGTGGGGTAAGCAGGATATAAGGTATTAACTTCTAAATTCAATAGCTCCTACGTCGCTAGGCCTGAAAGCCGGTGGTATCTCTTTACGAACGCCTGTCAAAAACCCCAAAGGCTCATACACTTCTAGCAAAGTGTGTCGTACAGGAATGACTAGAAGAATAGCTTCACCGTCAGATGGTAAGCGCTTGCTTCGGTGCACCGAAACACACAACCCATGATCGAACCATCCTAGCAGATGGTGATATACAGAAAAACGCCTTCTCCCAGTCCCCGGGCCTAGAAGCCCTGGTGTGTGTATATATGCCAAAATGCAACTACTGCTACTAGAAGACAAGCAAGAAATAGACCGTAGTATACGTAAAGCCCTAATGCTGGGGGCAGCGGGTGTTTTGGGACAAGTGCGGGCAACATCGGTGTTGACACACAGAGGCACGGTTCCTTTCGGTTCGCCGTCCTCTCCGCAAGTGACCAAGTCGTCTTCATTTGGACGACATGTAAAGAAATTGGTATATGAGACCGCCGAGATATTGGAGGAAGGAAGTAGTGATCTCTAGTAAGACCAATCCGTGAAGACGAACCCTTCCTGTAAATGCAAGCACTATCTGCGCCGGCGCTCCTATGTAGTGAAGATGATCGAGATGTACGATGGTACCGTTAAATCCAAGAAGAATGTCGAAGCAAATATGTACTGTTCTGTGAATAATCACATCGTTGGTGAGCCATGGTCAATGGACTTGGGTCGTAAATTTGAGCTTGTCATCGCTTGCTTGCCACCCATTTTGCGAGTTAACTTGGCGTAGTCTAGATAAGATATTAGTAGGCAAGCCTAACATAGGTTGCTGGCAGAAGGACTTACGTAGACCACAAGCATTGCACAAGGTTCGAGCACCGTCTGGCCCTCTTCGCCATTCAGGGGTCTCGGCTCTGTTACAGCTATGGCAACGTCCTGGCGGAGCGGCCCGCTGTTAAGAAGTTAGTATCAATAAGTCATCGTTTGTATCAGTGGCACTTACACCTCGCTTCCGGGTCTTATTGTCACCACCAGCAAAGCCACCCATGCCCTTGGTGTCATCGCCGTAGTTGCTTGCGGTGTCATCATAGCCATTCATCGGACGGTAGCGTGGGTCTTGGGGAGGCTCTACGATGCTTGCCTGGTGGTGGTTGAAGACGACTTCTCGCATGCGTTGAATTGACATCTGGATTCTCTCGCTCTGCTTGATCATATCATCGACCTCGTCTAACCTTGGCATTGACTGTGGTGTCAAGCCAATGCGTTGATTCTCATGCGCACGTTGTCGGTAGACTTTTGAAAATTCGGCAATGCGTCCGGATCCATCGGCCATCTCGTTGAGAGAAGCCTCAAGGTCAAAACTCTCTAGATGTCGCTTGACCGACTCGCCATAGGGTGCTAAGCTTGAGCGACCAATCTTCTTCTCTTCCAGTCGAGCCATCTCTGAATTATCCTGCCACGATTGCGGGGCATACCGAGGTGGAGCCGAGTAAGTTGAGCTGGCTGGGGGGTAAGCCGAGTTGGAAGCACTTGCTGAAGGCGTGGATGAAGGATAGTTAGGATACTGCGTATACGGGTAATGATGGTTCATCGGTCCCGCCGAGGAAGGAGCAGGGCTCTCGTAAGTGGCTGATGGTGGTGGGGGATACGATGAGTAAGGAGCGTTGGGACGAGCAACGCCTGGTGGCGGAGATTGCGTGGTCTTAAGTGGGTGTAGGGTGGGCAGTTTCGGATTGTGTTGAGGAGTAGAATAGGGTGGCCGTGGTTCTGAAAAGGGTGGGCGGGGCAGAGAATCTGACTGGACTTGCGGCGGCTGCCGGGAGACTGTAGGTGATGCTGGTGCACCGACGAATGGACTTCGCGGATAGGTGAAGGGATTAGAAGGTCCTTGGCTGGCGTGCTGAGGATCGGATGGAAATGGTCGTGGCCGTGGTTCAGCGGGTGAAGCAGCAGCGGAATGTGGATGATAGTGCTGGGGCGCTGAAGTTATGGCTGAAGGTGGAGGCACTGTAGACGGATATGACAGCGGCTGTTCCGAACCTAGGGCCTCGTGTATTGAAGGCAGCGATTGACGGGCCGTCGGTCGTTGCGTCTCTTTCTCGTCGCCAGACGTCCTTCGTGATTCGGGAGGAGACAGTAGGCCTCCAAGCGAGCCGGGTACTGCGCTGGCGACTGACGATTGGTGATTGCTATGCAGATGCGGCGGTCCCGCGTAGGGATGCATCGGACTAGGCATGGCGGCGGCGACAGAGTGTTTTCTCTGATACTCGACCTCTTCGCGCTTTACTCTGTCGGCATCCATGTGGTTGATTGACGGCAAGCCGATGCTAGGGTGAGAAGTCAGAACCCGTAGGTCGGGAAGGGAGTGGTGGACCAAACAACATACCTCTGCCTACTGCCGGCATCCATAGTGTCCATGGTGGGTCGTATATCGGGCGGGAGGTGGTGGGATACGACAGCGAACTGCTGCGGCAACGCGATGGTGGGGGATCGTGGGTACCGCGACGTCAATGTACCTTCCCGCACACCGTCAACGCTGGATGTTGTTCCTTCCCGCACAACGTCAATCAACACGATGGTCTCAAATTGCTCCTTCCTCCGCAAGCGTGGCCAAGCAATTCGATCGGATTCTTTCTTCCAAGAAAACCCCTCGGTGATGTTGCAGTTACCACCTCAACTCAAATCTGAACAAATGCGACGTCCGGGAGTCCTTTTTTTAACGAGTGAATCAACAGCCAGGTGGTGTTGTCGAAAGTGTTGTTGTTGCTGCTGCTCTTTTCTCTTCTCGATGCTGTGGCTGACGTAGTGTCGCAGGCACAACACGATGGCCGTAGAGGATCGTTTGTATGGATGCACACTCAATAACCACAATCTGCGTCCTTCTCTTACTGTGCGTCACTCTTGGTGCTCGGAGGTGGCGCTGATGTTGGGTGATGTATCGAAGAGATGGGCAGGTGTGACATGGGCGGAAGAGCGGCGATCAGGCAAAACTCGTGATCTCACTGCAAGCTACGCGGAATTCAGCGCCTCCTCTATGCCTGCAGGCATGGTGTGAGAGGAAACGAGGGCTAAGACAACCGCAGCGGGCTAAAGCAGATGCGATCGGAGATGAACCGCTCCGGCAGCGAGTAGTCGCTCAGTGTGACGAGGATGTGCGGTGGACGGGCAAGGATTCTCTGGATACGGCACGCCTGTTTGTCCCAGCAAGGATGTGGGTGGAGAGGGCGGTCGCTGGGTGTTCTTGATGCAACACTCGAGCGCTCCAGTGGGCTCCTAAAGCGTACATGCAAAGGGCAAGGATATGCGACACGCCATGGCCGCCCTTGCAACGCTTGCCCGATCAGATCGCATAGCCCCTAAAAGCAGCAAGTCTGAGTTTTCAAGGCGCAATTGCGATGCTGCATGACGGGCCCACGTCCGTTGGGCGGTGGCGGCTTGGGGGTGGGCTGCCTTGGACGCGTTTCTTCTGCTCGATCCGCAGCCGTTACGACCAGGGGCAAGCATCGCGACCGCCATCCGCGCAAATGGGCACCCCGCGCACACGAGGTGAGATGCGCCCATGCCCAGAAGGGAACAGCCCGCCGCCATGGCGCGAATTATGGTTGTGGCATGCAATCGAGATGCAACCGAGCTTCCATCATGCATCCACACCCCGGCATGCACCCACGCCTGTCCTGTCACTCCGTGCCTTGGCGCCGACAGCCAGCGAACTGTCACCCACAAGGACAGACACATCGCACATATGTTTTATCGGTACCGGACCCTTCTCGTCTGCTGTGACCAATGTGCAGCGGCATTGTTGGGCAGCAACACCCCGTCCGCCCGTAGTAACCTCCTGTCAGGCACTTAACTCGATACCACTCTCGGGAATCTCCATCGCCACAGGGGTGTCCGCACATCTGAATCGGTGGCAATGCGATTAGTGCAGCGGGGCTGCGGACGCCAGAAGCGTCTTCACAGAAAAGGCACATAGTGCCGAAGAACCATCTGAGCTCGTCAGATCCCATCGGCCCGACAGGCTTCGATTCATGAGCTTCCATCAACGTCTGAGCCTGTCTTATCGTGTGCACTGGGTAGCAAAGGGAGTTTATCAGACCATGTCTCGTTACCGCTTTGTCCTACCTGTGCCTCCCAAGGTAGTTTTGTAGGGGTACCTATCGATTACGTCAGTCATCGCTAAACCCCCTCAACCATCTGCACTGGCTCCATCTCGCTCCGAACTACGAAGCACTAAGCATTTGACCGTTGACGCCTGCACGTGTTGGGTGCAACCCGGAGAGCTCATCTTCTGCACGACGGCATATGGGTGCGTTCGCTTCTGTAAAATGTCCGTGCTATGACCGATGCGCACCGGCGCTGTCAAGTAGGCATTATGAGACCATAACCGATTGAAAGATCTTTGGCACGCTATCAACAAGTCTCCGTTGCCATTTAGCTGCATCGGTGGGACCGTCAGCCATCTGATTTCGTCATCCTTCACGGCTTCTCACTTTTCTTGCTCTGTACCCTGTGCCTTACTCAAACCACAAAGACCTCCCGGAACGTTCCTCACGCCTGCTGACGACTGTCCACGCACCTGCGCAAGCCGGATGGAGTGACTATCGGCGTCATCTCTCCGGTCCGGTCACCGTTGGAGATGGCTAGGATATTGAGTGCAACATAATCGTACGGGGCACAACATGCATCACACTATTTTTTATACCAATGTCTCACAGACTTTGCTTTGCGGCCAGGTGCGTCCGCTTGTTTTCACTGCCATTACAGCGACAACGAGTGATATATCGTAGTGATCGTGTCATGGACAAGGCGCAAGCATGAACATGGCATCGGTGGCTTGTAACGTCAAACCGGCGCAGACGCTCGGTTACACTATCGTTGAATCTCGCTAGCATGACTTTCTACGCCTATCCACAGTGCAACGGCTAATTATGGCTGTCTAATCGACACCACCTTGCAGCACGCATCCGATTGACGAGCGTCCGATCCGCAGTCATGTCTGATTTCCAAGCAGCTGGCATCTGACAAGCGCCGGTTTACGCAGTGTTACATGGTGTCAAATCCAATCATGCGCAGACAATTAATCCCTGCTACTAAGTGACAGTTACGGAAGCTCTGTTTCGTTTCGAAACGCACATTGTCAAGGAATAACAGCAAAATGAGGAACTGTCTCTCAAAGATCTCTCTGTCTGCTTGGCGTTAAGATGGTCGCGGAGAAGTCCGACCAGGGCAGATCCGCAGGCTCTGCCCTTGCTGAACCTATCTACGAAGCTATACCCCCAAGCTTGGGTATGTGGACTCAACTGTACCCTAGGGTTTGCCGCTGAGTTTGCATTGCAGTCTCAAGCAAGGCTGCCGTCACGCCAACTATGTTGGAATTACTAACCCAACAATCTGGATTCCGGCAATAACTTTCCCATAGGAAGTAGGAACCCGCAGCCAAACATTCAATGTACCGGCACTTGGTCTAGCTTCGAAATTGTTCGTGGAAGCATGTCTACGAAAGAACTTCATTGGTCTGTCATTCGACTTAATGACCCACAGTGTCATATCTGACAGGCCATGCCCCACATTTACTCCAGCTGCGACAGGACTGAGCGCTCCCGGGTTTCATATTCTAGAGAACCACCGTGGTGACATTTATCAAGCTTTCATTTCCTGAGACAAGAAAGGGTCATATGCGACTACTATCAGGGCGGATGCGAGTTGAGCAGCGTGTGGTGTGCCTGGATGTAAATGACCGTTTTCACCCCGCGGCAAAAGTCGACTCGAAACTGGTCAGAACGCAGTCATCGGTGAGCATTGGTATGGCCCATGCGTAATTCACATGCTAGATCAGTCACCAACTAGTGAGGCGAATCCCTACCAGAAGGACGAACTCCGAAAGATGCATCGCATCGAAGCTCCTCGAAGTCTAACGCTTGACAACGAATAGAGCCGGCAGAGAATGCAATATCAGAACATATCCTTGCAATAGCATTCTGTGCTGACTCGAGATCTCAGTTACCCACAATGGCTTGGCGGGATCGTGATCTCGTTTCGGGCACACCCTTTTCGTCTCCTGCACCTGCATGCGTCTAATTCTGATACCCAGGCTTAGCGGACGTCGGACCAAATCAGTCTAATGCGCTCTCGTCGATTCGGTTTCTTGCTTAAGCGACATAGTACACCATCCAGCGTGCTGGGTCAGATGCATTAAGAGTATCGCATCGTACGACACTCGACGCAAGGTGCCAGTTGTGTTTCGAGATCCTCGCCTCTTCGAGCCAGCGCCTTGTCTATTGTCGGGCAGTTACTCCAATTAGTACATGATCATCCCACCCATCATACTGGTTAAGGAGTCCGCGAGGCGTGCGATTTTCGCCGGCACGACGCGGAAAAAAGTAACGTTTGCTGTTCCGCGGATCCAGGGTCCGCGTGGCACAAATCAGCCTCTTTTGGCGACCTGCATCAAGCAATGGTCGATCGAAATATAGAGCATTCCTTCTCTCGGTTTGACTGGGAATGTTATCGCCGAGCGAACCTATAAGCGGTCAAAGAGATTTCCTATTGCCTGCTTGAGGAAGTCATTGGCGAATGAGATGTCGGTTTTAGGACTGCCCTACCTTACTGACAGTTGTCGGCAGATAGACTCCGATCCTGCAGTCGGACGGGAGGAGATTCGTAGGCCATGGCTCTCCCGGGCGAGTACAAACGCAACATTGCGTCGAGAGTCTACAGATGCGCACGAGTACCTTGACGGTGTTGCTGGGCGCTTGCGCCTCAGTGGCAGAAGTTGAAGCGCTCCTGCATGTACTGACTGAAAACGCAAGGGTCGCTTCGGAATTCCTCATGACCAATTCCGCCACACGACTGCAGGCCACTTACACTCTTGTAAAGATGTCCCTGCCCTTGCTGCTCTTTGAGGGGGTGAACACAAGGATCGCAAAAGACTCAACAGCACCAGATCTTTGCTCGCTCAATTGATTCAAGCAGCTCAATGTCTTCTGCTGGTCTGATGGGATCAAATGTAAGTGCTCTTGGCAAGAAATTCTGCTTATTATATAGAGTGTAGTCGTACGAAAAGTGCAACGGAATGCACAAACAAAAGGACCGATTCTTATGAGCATTATGCTGAGCTCGATAGCAGACTAAGGGACATCGTTGCATGCTGCAGATTGTGGCACTTGTCTGCATGCTAACAGTCCAACGGCGTGGCTCTGGTGTACCGGTCATCGTGAGAATCGCGGCTTGGCTTCAGATCTCTAGACTGAAACAGGGTCAAGCATGCTAGATGTAAGGCATGGAAGCCATGGTCGCGCATCTCAGAGGATCTTGTGTTCGCATGCAAGCGCTTAACTTGCGAGATCTATGACGACACTGATCTTCCTCTCCCAAGGGGACAGATCGGATTCGTCGCAATACTAAGACTTTGCCCCCCTCCCCCCAAGATTTCAGTACTTCTGGTATTAGCTCGAAGGACACCCGTGGTTCCTTGAGCTTCGCATGGCAAGCTCCCGACGACTCATCTTATGCGCGATGGCCCTGTCGCTTCACCTTGATTTTCCAGAATGCGAACCCGAAATGTAGATCTCTGGATCCTCCCGCGTCGGCAAGCGGCGGCTTCTCCACCACAGATCATTCGCTATTTTTTGGCGATATTGAATGACACTATTCCCGTGGGAAAGGTTCGTTAAATAAGCACAGACAGACGCCTCACTGATATAGGGCGTCCTCTGGTCCAAATGGGTGATTAACGTTTGGAAGCAGCGCTACACTTGTCACGAAACGCTCTTTTCGGCACGTTACGCTACCAGAGAAGATAGCCAGATTCTGCGCAGCCAATTTAGCGCCTGTTAAAGCGGCAGATGTTCTCGAGATCGACGAGTAAGATAGAGTTCGACTACACCTGCCAAGCTCAGACGAGTTCGCGCCACGAAATCGCCTCGGCACACAACGGGATGATAACGTTGCCATCACAGTTGTAGCCTCAAAGGAGACCTTTTCACAGGTGTAGAGGACTGGTACCTGTTGTTCAGCAACCCTGGCCACTGACACGAGGCCTTGTGACAGCAGTATCAACTTTTGAAAAATCGTATCGCCAGCGCACACAACACATTCATCCGAGACCTGGGGCGCTCGCGACCAGTCGATATTGATCTTCGCGCCGGACTTGCTTTTTTCGTAAAATCGCCTATCGAGTGGATTCTCGTACGACGTGGCGTGTGGGATATCAAACGCTATTAGGGCGTTTCGGGCTGCCCTGCAGTAAGAGGCTTACTAGCTTCCACGACTCGCACGTGATAAATTGGTGGATTGCGAAGTTATCTGATGGCTGGCGGAGACAGAGTGTCGATTCTGCACTAGTAGGGGCGGGTCGCATGGTTCCGCGATCAGCTAGGTCGAGGCTACATAGCAGTCCCAAACCGCTAACTTCCTGGCTTCGGATCATGCGCCTACTGACGTACCAGGTCAAAAAAGGACGGCCAAAAGCGGCTACACGCTGTGTCTGTGATGGCGAAACGTCTCTGCCAGAGGATGCCCTAGGGAGATGCTGATCAGCAAGGCTGTATTGGCATGGACGCAGCGATCAGCCGCACGAGGAAAGTGGAAAAGATGCCCAAAGACTCCACAAGATAGACCGAGGTATAGCGGAGTAGCCAGCTCAGCAAAAACCGGTACGCCATTTCTCCTGACGTCTATCTCCGTCACTCAAGGTACTATGGCGCTTGCGAAATTAGCCTCCGTGAGCCTGGATCAACTAATGCTGAACTACTTTCGGGGCCTTGACCGAAACTCAGATTTCTTTTGTTCTATGCACACACGTTGATTTGGGGTCTGCGTTCTAGAACGGTTCAAGGGTACCATAGGAGACTATCCACGTCTCTATCACAACTACACTGCTCACCATCCAGGTAGCGGTGAGCTCGGTGCTTTTTTGCCTCGATCAGCACGGCTAGATTGACCGCCGTTGTGCTTGGGTTGGGTAGCACGGCTAGAAGGACAATCTTCCGTTATTGTGTGTTGTCAAGACCCTCATCCTAATTCGGGAGACGACTGTTCCGGAGCTTCAGAGAGTTTACTGTGATTAATGCATTCACTAGTAATCCTTGAGGTTTTACCATCATCCGTTGGTTAAAGGTCGATCGCATTTGTATCACTCACAGCTAGGTGTAGGTTTCTATCGAATTTTGATCTACATAGACAGAGAGTGAATCGTTGCGGATCGAGGCTTCTCGGGAAGAACCAGTGGCAACCAGAGTGATGAAAATGCGCATCCGCTATGCTGCCTCTGGAGACGCCTTTGCCGACATTGAGACCTAGAAGGACAAAGTACTATGCTAGCATCCCCAAAGTTCTCTGTCGAAGGTCTTGAAATCCGTAACAAGAGTATAACGACTGTCTAAAAAAAAAGCTTGATTGCTCCAGACTGCACTCCCTACGAACATGTGACAAGTCAGTGTCTGATTGGATCAACTGAGGTAGTTAAGCGGGCTGAGTCGAGTACAGAGACAAGTACATTGATGCCAGTGGTTAGTACTGTATTAATCAGTTCCATTATCTCTACGCGATCCCACCATCTTTAGTTATTTGGTCCTTTGATGCCGATTGCATATTCAGAGTTAACAGATGCTGGCTAACCTTTTTCAGTTCCCAGGCCAAAAATATAACAGAGTAAGTTACTTTGACAGAAGTAACGCCCAGTGTTTTCACAAATATTCTCTGTCAACATGGTATTTTCATGGCTTACATGATCTGCGGTCGCTGTTAATAACTTGCAGCGTTGCTCTGTTCTCTTTAGTCATTGTGCCCAATTTATCCTGTCTTTGATCTGCAAGACTGCGACAACAACAGCTTTCGGTATTCACGCAACTCCAGCCCGTCTTCCACATTGCTCAGAAAGGCATATCCGAGCTCTGGTGCTGTAACACTAATGAAGCCTGCTGATGCTAAGGTCTTTTGAGCCCAATTCAAAAGTGCAATGTACAAAAGCGCGTGTTCAGGATTCTTGAGGCCAATGGCTTTGGATGTGAATGCTTGGGTTATGATGGTGTACTAGCAAGCAGGGTATACACTGTTTCTTATTCGAGGAATTAAACTAGCTAACATTTTCCCCATAGCTGCAATAGGTATGGGATACTACCTACTTGGTACTGTAGTTTCGAGTACTTGTTCCGTGTTTCAAGATACCAAGGCGGTTCAGTATGGGGATGCACTGTATTGTGAGAGCTCGGATGAAGGTACGACTGGTAATAAACAAGCAAACGCCATCCCACTCGACCAACTTGAGACCATTTTGTCTACCAACTGGTCTCAATCCAAAGTTCAGTGTGCGATGGACTATATTTCGGGCGTGGTAGCGAGGATTGACAGACGCTGCAGCTGTGGGTGGGCGCTACTACCACGGTACGGTATAGTGCATGGCGCAGGCGCCGAAGCGGCGGGAGATCGTCCAGGGCCCATCTGTCATCTCAGATCTGCCACATGTCACAGCGAAAATGTAGATGCAAATGTTTGACGGCTTGACAATGTTCCGATTGCAGCGACGCGACGGCTGAGATGCAGCATCTCATTTAGCGACGGCGCTGGCTTTGATGAGGTGCAGCAGGAGTCATGCGGCTACGACAGGGGTTCCAGGTCTGCTGTTTGGCAACCCGCCTCGATTCCCTTGACGATGCATGGCAAAGGTCGCGCAAAAGGGCGTCTCGCTCACAGGGCTAAGTGCAAATGCGGTGGGCAAGACTGTGGGCAAGGCACGACGCTCGAGGGTGTGGTCGCACGGAAAGGCCAGCCTTACAGTGCTTGACCTAGCCGATTCAGTGAGGCTTACGGCTAGCGCCCGTTTCCAGGAGCGAGATCATACGACTTGTCGAACCACCCCATCACACTGCCAGAGACGCACACAATCACAACCCCGGCCCTGTAGGACGATTTCTGCATGCGATTCCAGTAGCTGCTGTTTGGCCGTACACGCATTTCCCGTAGCGCAGCAAATCCCGGTGCTCACGAGTCCGATCTGCCGCCCGCATTCGCGTCGTGAGCCTGCGAAGGAGTGGCATGATTTCCATGTTGTGCATGTCCAAGTAGCTGGTAAGAGAAACTCCTTCCTTCTCTGCCAAAGCCCGTTCTCTGCATAAGTCCGTTCTCTGCATACACAGCCCATCTTGTTGTTGTTGTTGTTGCTGTTGTCGCAGCCAGCAGCCCGCCGCCCCAATGGCTTCTGACCCGTACGGCAGCCCCGACGATGGGCTGGAGCTGGAGCGAATCGCCGTGCGTGACGCAGTGCTTTTGCTAGCCTCTGCTCTCTGTGCTAACATGTTCGCGCACCTCAGGTCGGACCCTACTGCGTGTTTGACGACTTCAGACTCCCTCCCAGTCCCGCGCCCATCGATCCGCCTGTCCCCGACGAGGACCGGCACACGGCCAAGATGGAAGATCCCCTGCTTTCAAGCGACTTCCCCTTTGCCAGCATGCGCGCACCGTGGCTCACCACCGCCGGCGACGACATGACGCTCACGGCTCCCGCTGACGACATGACCAACTGGAACGAGTGGATGCAGTACGATCCCGCCCAAGCGTCTCAGAACACCCAGAATGTCGACCCCAAGCCCGCGAATCCGCAGGGGCCTGCCGCATATCTCAGCCCCGATCAGCAAACCTCGCCCCATTCCCTATCCCACCAACAGTCCCAACCGCTGCAGTCCAGCACCGTACCCACGACCGCTCCCATGTTTTCCCACGCACATGCTGTCCCCTTCACCTTTGGCCAGGCCGCCGACGTACCTCCGGCCTTTGACTTCAATGGCAATGCCATGAGCTCCCCACCTACTGCTGACATGCAGCAACAAAACGCCTTTTACGCCTCTCACCAATGGCAGCAGCAACAGCAACACCAGCAGCAACAACTAGCTGACAACGCTCTCTTCTCGCCCACGCAGTACGACCAGAACGGCTTCGTCGCACCACAACCACCAGCCTCGACGCCCAGTCTCCACCATAGCCCAAACTCTCTGAGCAATGGACGAGCCAGCTCAACCTCGTCGCATTCGTCGCCAGAGCCCGTCACAACCAATGTACGAAAGAGGAAGTCACTGGCTGACTCCGAGGAGCTCGACGACGATGCGCCCTCAAGCAAGAAGGGAGGACCACCCAAGAAGACTGCACACAACATGATTGAGAAGCGCTATCGGACCAATCTCAACGACAAGATTGCTGCTCTTCGCGATAGTAAGTCACTCTTCAACACGTCTCTCGATACTTGCGCTAATCCATGAGAAAGGTGTACCCAGTCTTCGCGTCATGTCACGGCCGAATGGTACCGAAGAAGACGATGACCCTGAGGATCTTGAAGGTCTTACACCCGCACACAAGCTCAACAAAGCCACTGTACTCTCCAAGGCCACAGAATACATCCGACATCTGGAAAAGCGCAACAAACGTCTACAAGATGAGGTCAACACCTTGAAAGGACGGGTAGAGAGCTACGAAAAGATGGCCATATCGGGTCCCATAACCTTACATGGCACTGTGGGCACACCTGATGGCTCAAGATTCCATAAAGATCCCTTCACGCCCACACACGGCATGCCAATGTCAGGACCGCCACAAGGAATGATTCCAGTTCCTGACAACATAAGTGCTCTCCAGCGCGGTCTCCCACCACAACAGCACTATGCACCTGCATACCCGCCAGGATACGGTGGTCGCCCGGCAGTTGCCGCGCCCATGGTCAACGGCCGGCGCAATGGTGCCATGATGGGCAAGCTCATGGTCGGATCTCTCGCGGGCCTGATGATACTTGAAGGACTCGTAGAGCGGGAGCAGTCGCAAGAAGAGCCAGCTGGTCGTGGTCTCTTCGCCCTTCCCGTCAACCTCGCTGGCATTCTTGCTCCTCGCGTTTCTCTAGGCGTATCCACAGCTCAGATCCCTATGGCCAAGCTTCTTTTAGTCTTCTTTGCTTTCTTCTACCTTGCTGCACCATTGCTCGACTTCAGATCGAAACCGAAGAAGAAGTCTCCTCCAGCTATCCTCTTGACACCCGCACCGTCATTGGCCTCACCTGTAGAAGTGCGTCGCAAGGCATGGCTCACTGCAATTCAAACTGTCTGGGTTCCACAACACAATTTCATCTTAGAGCTTGCTGCCTTGGGCTTGAAAACACTTAAGCTCAGCATGCGTAGGCTTGTTGGCTGGGAGGGATATGCATATCTTACTGGCATTACCAAGGAACAAGAGGCAGCTCGTGTCAAAGCCTGGGAAATTGCCTTGGATGCTCAGCTTACAGGCGGCGACGCTGAGATCAGCAAGAGCCGTTTGGTACTAACCTTGATCGCCTCTGGTACCCTACCAGATACACCAGCAAGGCTCATGCTCAAGGCTTTGCATCTCCGAATCGTGCTTTGGGAACTTGGAAACGCAGGCCATGGCTCGTGGTGGTTACTCAACGACCTGAGCGCAAAACTGGCACGAAGCTACTGGAACATGGCGCGAAGCGAGCACCGTATTGCCACCAACATGTCGAAACAGAACAGCGAAGCTCAGCCGTTACCAGAACATCTCGCAGCACTCATTGAGAGGGAGTGCGACGATGTGCTTGTTCCTGCAGTTGTGCAGCGGGCATACAACCTGGCTTGGAATAAACCAAGCGCAGAACAGACAGTCGTAGATACCTCCATGGATGCTGTTGTCGAGGACTTCGCCATCTGCTCGCCTTTGGATGCTCTTGCCGCCTGGTACTCTAGCCTTGTATTGAACAAAGGACTTGCAGCCACGCTTGGTGCGAAAAACAGCTCGTCCAAGGACAACGTCGTTACCGACCTAGCACTTGCTCTCCAAGCTGCCCCTCCCAATTCACAAGCTCAGCTACGTGCACTAATTGCTCAAGCTGTTGTACTAGACGACGACCGCAACACTCGCATTTCTGCAGCAATGGAAGCTCTTCCTTCATCTCCCAAACCTGCGGATGCTGGCTTCATCAATATCGTCGGCAATGGGTTCGTCGCAATCGATGTGCGGAAAGCACTTACCTTGGCCAAGTGCCTCTCTCTGGCCGCCTCCTCAAATCCCGAAGCCCGCCGCCGCGCCATCTTCGTCGTCAATAACACGTATCTTCCCGAATGCACAACTACACTCCTCAGTTTTGTTGCTGGTCACAAAGTTCTCACGCAATTTATGGCCGACGAAAAACTGAAGAAGGAGACTAGCTGCGGTCTAGAGCGCACTGCTAGTTCCCTTCGCATGTGGATCGGTCACGACACTGGTAAGAGGAGCGGACTGAGTAACAAGGTTCGATGTAAGATTGTGAATAGCTGCCTTGATGCGAGCAAGACTTTAGTTGGATTGGGAGAGAAGAAGAAGAAGAAGAAAAAGGAGGAGTCGGAGGTGGACGACGGCTACGTCAGTGCCAGTGTCAAGGACGATTGAAGGTTTCGCGTTTTATGATCTGTTATACGATCGGGTTGGTCTTTGAATTGGGAATCGGGAATGGGACGACACGGGATCCTCATATCTCACAGGCGTTTATATGGAGACACACACGGCATGGATATGCCTGACATACTGTTCATCATGTTCAAGAGGAATAGCGCATTCCGTCCTTTTACCGTTTTGTTGTTTCTTCATAAAGCTCGTATAGTGTAGAACACATGCTCTTAATGGCTTTATGCGATCGAACCTTGTTCGATGTTTTCTAGTCCTCGTCCTCTCCATGTGACTTGATGGCAATGACTATGTAAATTGTAGGTACTAGTGTAGTATATATATTCTTGAATACGATAGGACGCTGGCTTCGAGTGGCACTGTGAGCATGAATGTTTTCGTGCCGAACATGACAATGTCACAGGGCAAGGGATGTGGATGCAGATACTCGTGCATCTAGGCTGTTACATTTTTTTTTACAAGTTGCACATGTGTTCATATTCATGTCTCTACATCATTGATTCCTGACGCAGCCAGAGGCCCTAAAAAACGTCACAATGAGTAGCACCGATGATCCATGGCTATAATGACATGTTCGATCTGTTGGAGAAAAGCCATGGAAAGAGATACAAGAACGGATCCTATTCCCAGCTCACCGCAAACGTGCAACACAACCGCCTCTTAACACGCTGCTGATACCAGAAAATCCACCAGTCAGTGATGAAGCCTGTCATGGTGTTTAGTGATAGTACAGAGGAAATGAAAAAGTAGTGGTACATACCACAGCCGAATAATGTGCAGGCGAACCAGCGCTCGTACGCTTCGGCATCTCTTTAGTGCTCCGTCACATGGCCGCGCACTGAACACCAGGGTTCTGCGGTATCTTGTCAAACTTGGGAGAGATGCTGCATCTAGACTTCCTGGTCTTTGTACGTGGCTTGTTGATAGTGTTTGCTTTGGTCGGGGCGCGAATACGAATGGACAAAGACCAAGCTCTGATGGCTTCAAGAGAGGTGGCTGAGGCAAGGTCTTCTTCTGCATGTTTGAGTGATGGTAGATCGGAGAACAAGTATGTGGTTTTCATGGCGTTCTTCACTAGGATGTTGAGAGTGCGCATGGCGAAACTGAAGATGATCATCTTGATGAGAAGGCAGAGATCAGAGGGCTGAGCCACCAGCATTGTGAGGATTCTGACCATTATGTTGCTGTCCTTGAGAGGTTGCGACTATGTCTTCGGAGCTCGTCGTTTTGGAATCGCCAGGAATGTTCGGATGAAGGGTTGTGAATAGTCGAGTGTGCTGCGACGATAACTGGCAAAGTGCGAGTAGACAGTAACAGTGCTTTTGTTGAGAAACGAGGGGAGATAGATATCTGGATACATAGACACAAGCGATTGGAGACGGGTTGTCTGTCTACCTGCTTACCATTGTCATGGCTTGCCATTGTTCTCTAGGAACGACACAACATAAGAAGTGAGATTTTGTTGGATTAAAAGCTGCTGCCTACTTGCCTCTGGTGCTGTTATGCTAACATGACTGTGAATTTACTATCACTCTGCTTTCGCGATCGCAATGGTGACGCTATACACTTTAGAGGCGAGGAATCATTGCGACACTAAATGTTTAATGCCATTGTCGAAATTGGACACGAGGAACAGAAACGAGGCCGATAATGCATGTGATTGTTTTTACAGGTGAATGGGAAGCGTCGGGGACAATAGCTACCTTGAGCAGTAAAGTCATGTCACTGCTACCAGTCTCGTGCTACTCTCAACTAAACACTCACCAAAGCTGGGTATATATATATCAATAAGTTCGTAAGACATATATTACTATACTATTTACACACCAATGACCAGCATTTCATCTACTACCATCGATACCATCGTCAAATATTTACACCCAGCCCTCGTCCCTCTTTTTAGGATATTTCATCTCGTCTATTACACCTCGTCAAAGTGTCATCGACGTGCTTAGTTGCCCTTGCCAAGACCCCCGAGAAGACCAGCCAGACCAGCAGCGGCACCGTTGGCCTTGCCCTTGCCCTTGCCCTTTGTGTTCGCCGTTGCCGCATCACCCGCCTGAGCACCCAAAACGTTCTTGGGGTTAGTTCCAGCGTTGTTGTTCAGCACCTGTCCGCCGCTGATACCACCCCTGGGTGAGACGTTGTTGTTAGCCTGAGCAGCCTTGTTCTGGTACTGGGTCACGGCTTGAGCGTTGGGTGGGTTGATGACCATGACCATGCCTTGCTGGCAATGCTGGGCTTGAGAGCAGTAGATGTACATAGGCTGGTTGTCGGTGATGGGAACCATGAACATGGGGGTGTTTCCAGCTTGGCGGTTGTTGTTACGATTGCGACCGTTGCCAGCGTTGCCACCACCGTTACCGTTTGGAGAACCGTTGGGGTTACCAGGGATGGGCTGGAAGTCGGAGAAGATTGCGTTCTGCTGAGGTTGGCAAGGGGTGTTTGCGTCAGAGGAAGCTACACTGTGGTTCTGCGAGGATTGTGTTAGTATGTGATGTGACGTGGATGGATAGAGAAAGACTGGCGTACCTGGCTGACGAAGTTGAAAGCGACCATGTCACCAGGCTGGGCCGTGATGGAGTTGGGTGTAAACTGGAACTTGTTGTTGGCAGCCACAGTGACCGTCATGGTGGCAGCGGATACTGTCAAGCTCTGGGCCAAAGCCGCGAGTACGATGTTGGAGAAGAGCATGTTGAAGTCGGGGTGGTATAGGATTAAGAAAGATGGGAATTATGAGTAAGAATGGGGATTAGTGAATATACTGATTAGGATATCGATGGTAGTAGAAGATGGGAAATGCACTGCAGATCTGATCCTTAGGAGATACGCCGCACTGAGGCTCACTATATACTCTGCATCTTTGTGCCTTGTAGCCTTCCTCGCTCCGTCAATTGCGCCACAAACACCGAAAAAACGGATGATGAAGCTGACCGAAACTGTTTGCCTGATGTTCGCGACGGTTAGGAGGAGACTGGATAGCAAGATCTACAAGAGTAGGTGCTGTCAGATGTTTCGTGCCGAGTATCATGCCAAGTCCCAAACATGCGGAAACACTACTAGTGGGTCTCGTGAAGGTCCGCTCAACACGACTGGATGTTTGCTTGGGCGAGTGCAAGCAATAGAGTCTGTCTCTTGTTTTGCACGTTCCAGATGGCGTGGGACCCTAAAGCAGTCAAACGATCTCGGGTTGCACATCATCCGTCTGCAAACTTGTAGTACTTATTGAACAGCGACCACCCCCTCTTGTGCTCACGACATGTTACCTCTTTTTCACTGGTACGCACTTTCCCCTTTACCTAGACTACATTCAGACTTCTACAAGCCCTTCCGAGTCTGGCTCCTCTCTTTGTTGCATGATGTGGATCATGCTTTCTGAATATATTGCGCCGAGCGTGCACAGGGCGATAGATGATGAGTCACCTTCTCAATTTTCCACTTTGTCATGGTAGTATCTATATGAGAGGGACCAAATAGACGCAGTACCAACTCACGAGATGCGATAGCAATCATTCCATGGTTTATGACGATTCACCGCAGTAAGTGCTAGAGACGAGGATCGGTGGTCCGCAGAATATGTATCCGAGAAGCTTGGAACGCGTTCGAAACATGTAGCCTTGCAGCACCAGAGTCTCCTACTTTGGACGGTGTCGACGATCGTGTCCGTGAAACAGAGCTGCACAAGCGCGTCCTAGTTTAGCGCTGATGATGCGTAAGCTGACAGTTTGGTGAGGATGCTCGTCTGCGCGACTCGAGTAAGGATATTAAGTTTGAAGCATTACTGTACCACTGAAAATACGATACCTCACACACACACTGCGCAAACATGCTTCGCAATGTCCATAGGAGTTGGTTGTGCGCCTCATTCTTGCCTTTGTTCTGCGCTTCTGAACGGAACCATGGGCCCCACAAAATTGTTGCCGCTGTGTTCCGGTCCAGAGTGGATGCGCAGTTCTGATGTGCTTCTTTTCGAAGAAAAGAATCGGCCGGTTCGGTCGTATGCAGTAAGTTACTGCCCGCTAAAGATGGCGGCCCTGACCCGAACGGCTGCCAGTACAGCACCGGTATCGTGCCGAATAGCTCTGATGCTAGATTCAATAGTCGCATTACCCAAACGGTAGCGGCATCGGACGTGGCACAGGAGGCGGAAGAGGCGTAGCTGGCAAGTGTGATGCTCGGGACGACATGCAGGTGTTGGGTAAGAGGATGTCGATGCAAGAACGCGGTCAACCCCCCGCACGCGAATGAAGATCAGCGTTCGAGCATGGCCCTGACAGCGGACTTTGGAGTCCCAGAGTGTCGGCGGGCCAAACGCTAGTCGATAATAACAAGAGCATGTTTCACGCTTTCGAGTATGGCTTGGCAGGCGTTCCTGCAGGGAGTGTGTAGCGAAATGAGGGAGCGACAGTTTCAGACCGAGACAGCAGGGCAGACCCGGGACGACACGGCAGGCGACAGCGACGACGGGGTCGCACGAGCAGTTGCACGAGTCGATGGAAAGACCGCGGAAGCCGACGCGTGTAAAAAGGTGGAAAAAAGGGACTGGATTGCGAGGCTAGCGGCAAGGCACCGAGAATTTGTCTGGATCTGCACTGGAAAGCGTGACCTGACAGCCAGGTCCGGGGTCGGCACACCAGCAAGCATGCTCCTCCCGCACGACATGCATTGCAGATTGCGCGTAGGGAGATGCGGACATTTGCAAGATGACTGCTGACAGGTGATTTGCGCTGCGTGGTGCAGGGCTCCAAAGCCATTCATGCGCACGCCGCGCTGGCCGTGGTTGAGCACGAGGGAGGACGGCACACCAATGCATTTGCAGAGACAGAGATGGAGCGGATGAACAGGTGGTGGTGGGTATATTTAGGCGCAGTGTGCGTGGCTGAAGGGCTGCGGTGGCCTCGATGGCGCTGGCCAGTAGCAGTGGGCAGGCGCGTAGCCGCCGTTGGTGACTACTGAGACGCTACGAACGACTGGCCGACATGGCGTAGATAGACGCTATCGATGCAGTGGATCACGTCTTGCGGTGTGCTCGTGGGCAGCGCGCCCGAGCAATGAGAAGACGTCTAACTCTGTTTCGGTGATTCTGTTTGCCAGTCGCTCTTGCCATGCTGGGCCCGCTGCGAAAGGAAGGCATTGTGGGCTGCGAGGAAGGAAGGGGACGGTCGTGGCGTCGGGCAGGAGCGACCATCCCGTTCATCCTCAGCACCTGAAACCCAAGAGGACAGCGAACGCTTTGTATACAGTGGCAGCACTCAACTCTACGCATGGCATCGTCTACGCATCAAAGCGAGCCCTCTCACACAAGGGCATTCGCACGCAGGAACGGCCCAAGCTCAGTTATTACGCATCAGGCCCAGCGTTTCAAGCGTGCGTCCAGGTCTGCAGCGTGTCCAGGGGGGCTGCATTGGGCTAGGCTCGATGCAGGGTCGCTGCCACAGGTCCCCGTCACTTATAGCGCTCGCATTCGTCCATGGCTCTCTGCTCCTCCGCTGCTCGTCACTTTTCTCTCCTGGCCCCTCCAACTCGCCCTTTCCTCTCTACCTCTCTCCCTTCGCTCTCTTCGACAACACAGTGCCGCTCCTGCATCTTGTACCTGCTCCCCCAGTTGGACCAGCTTATCCCCCGCCTAATCTGAGATTGTGCGAGCGCGCCAGTCCCGTCGCTCCTCCGAGAGAAGAAGAGCTCGCCAGCCGACGCATCAACCACCAGCTTGTCTGCCCTTGATCTCGTCACTGCCTGTTCGTTTATTCAACTTCATAAAATTATCTTCGCCCGTCTGCTTCGCGTCTCTGTCTGTTGGACCGCGCCTTCCTGCTGCAACCACTCGATCCTTCCGATAGCAGAACCCTCAACGACCCAGCGACCCAACAACTTGTTAATAGCTCCAACTACATTGCCCATCGGCCGGTTTTCGATAACAACTCTACCTTACAACCCCGATCTGTACGATCCTTAATCCCGTAATCGCCAGCCAATCCGCACTTTTGCCTTGCAACAAACGTCTTCGGCTTTCTGTCTGCGCCAGCACTCCCTCTTCAGGCCTTCTTCGATTCTGTATCTTTCCCGTGTGCGCTCAGCATACTCCTTGTTGCACTCTTACCCTTTCTTCGCAACTCTTCTTAGACCACCACAATGAGCATGGACGCTGGCGGTCTTGCTCAAATGACCTACAACAACTTCCAATCCCAGGGCGGCTTCGGCGGCCCCACCTCGAGCTTTGCGTCTCGTGGCAAGGGTGCTCAGCTTAAGCGTCTCAGCGTCGCTTCGCCGCCCAAGGTTGCTTCCATCGCCGAGGACTCGGTTGCGACTCCTCGCACCAGCCGCTCCCATCTTCTGGCCGGCCTCCGCACCGCCCCCAAGACGCCCACGTCTGCCCAACCCCCTGCCTCGGCTCCTTATTCGCAGCGCCAGCACAATGTTGGCAACAACAATGTCAACCGCTCCTCGAGGCAGTTCAACGGTGCAAACCAGGGCCCTCAGACTGCCATCGGCTCTGGATTCAGCGGTGTGAATCAGTACCAGCAGCAACAGCAGCAGCAACAGCAGCATCCCGACTTCTACAACCAGGTCCTTGCCCCTCCCCAATTCGAGTTCGATGACGGCGAGATGGATCCCAATGTCGCGGCTCAGCTGTTGGCTACTGAGCTGTACCTCGCCCAGAGACAGCAGCAGCTCCAGCAGCAACTCCTTGCCCTGACAACCCAGCAGTTCGGCAACATGAACGTGAGCGGTGGACAGCAGTACCCCAACACGCCATACACCCCCCAGATGAACGCATATGGTCAGCAGTTTGGAAACACTGCTGCCATCCAGGAGACCAACCAGCCCGGCGTCTACCTAGTCTTCAACCAGATGACTGGCCAGTACCAGTATGTTGTGGACCCGAGCTACCAGCAAGACAACGGCGACATGCAGGCTCAGAACGGTATGCCGGGCTTGTCGCACTCGCCTCCTCCGCCAACTCCTCGCTTCGCTCCATCGCCGCCCAAGGTTGACACTCCGGTACTCCATGTGTCTCCTCCTAACGAGAGCAACCCCAGCCCGTGGGGTTCGCGCAGCACGTCTCCGCCAAAGAAGTCCAACACTCCCCCTCAGGATGTTGTACCGCTTCCCCCACCATCTGCTAACGCTTTCCGTCGAGGACACAAGAAGAACTTGTCTTCTCTTGCTGTTGACGGCAAGGCTGAAGAGGGACCTCGTTCTGCCTTTGCTCGCCCTGTTGGCTTCCCTGCTACCCCGATGACAGGTACATTCGGCCCTGGTCAAGCACGTGCGGGAGAGCACCCAGTGCGTCAGCCTCGCAACCCTCCTTCCATCGAGGAACTCAAGGAGCGTCCCACTACCAAGCATGAGGGTAGCAAGAACTTTGCTACTCGTCAACGTCGCCAAGCTGTGGGCAACCTTGTGCGAGCTGGCATTGGCCGTCGTGCTCACCGCACTAGCAGCGGAAGCGCCTCACCTGATAGCGACCACTTCCCTTCATCTGACAATGACTCGGACAGCGTTCGCAGCGGTGGAAGCGGTAGCCTTTCGGGAAGGCCGAGCATTGGTAGCCTTCGTGCTGTTGCCAATGGCGCCATTGGATCGGAGCGCAAGGCTTCCAAGGAGCGATCCCGCGACAACTCCATCAACCGCTCCTACACTGCCAACAGTGTTAGCAGCGATGACGGTGCTTCCATCGGAGGTGGTCTGGTCGACATCCGTCCCGAGGAGAACGGCCAACGCCGAGGCATGCCCAAGCTTGTTCTCACCAGCGCTGAGAAGCGCAAGAGCACTGTGTTCTAGGCTTTCAACTATGGATTGGAAAGAAAAACTGGGAAATTCATTCCCTTGTGCATATTACTGTGGCGCTCTTCGGACGCCTTCTGTTACGGCCCATTACGAACCTTTCCTTGCTTGTTAGTTCATTTGTTTTTTGCACTTGACTGAGGTCACTTTTGCCATCTTTCGAATATCACGATTACCCTTCGTCTCTTACCCATTGGGAAGATCTTCTTTTCCACCCCTTCTTGTTTCCCAGACTCTTATGCGAACTGCTTTTAATGAGCACGGTGGGAAGGCTCTATGGTTTTTTGGTCCGGCGATTTGGACGGGCGAGTTGGGATATGTTTCATGGACGTGAGCTCGATTGCCTGTGGCTAGAGCTCATTGCCTTCTTTGGGCTTCTGTTTTGTGTTACCATTGTTTGTTGGAGATAGTGTGCTTTTGACCAATCCGTTCGCTACCGCTGCGGCCTGGGTGGCAAGGCGATGCAAAGAGAAGAGTGAATCATGTAGGATGAGATACCTAAATGCAATCACACTCGCTTTCGAAATATACTTCAATCTGATTGTGAAGTGAGGCCAACATCATACGGGTTGGGGTCGCTTTTGCCAGCATCGGATACATGACGCTTCGCAACAGACCGTGTGTGCCTGCGAATCAGCTAGCAAAATTACGAGTCGAGTTTGCAAATCCGGAGATTTGATCTCCATCTGTGCTCAGCGAGAACTCTGTCAGGGTAATAGCTAATCTCGGTACTCTAGTGCCTCCAAAGGCGTTCAACGGTGATCGACATGATGCTCGCGTGGTGTTGAGGCTAAATAATCGATAAGCGTCGTAAGGCTGATGGTTGGTGTCGCATCGCGGGGCAAGTGCGAAGCTTCAATTATCAATACCAAAATTCTCCCACACGCACCGCGCGTTCCAGACTCATCCACGTCTTTGATATACCCGTCGCACCGCTCTCTGGGTACATGCACGATTGCAGAGTTGTGACAGCCTACACATAACAACACGACCCGCAATGGCTGAACCTCCGGTCGTTCCTCCAATCGAACCCCCACCACCACCAGAGACGTCGCGTCCTCTCCATACTCTCCCTCCACCTTTCTCGCACGACGCTCTCGAGACCATAACACAAGGTGCCGAGGCCCTTGTATACAAAACCACCTTCCTCACGCCGAGTACGCCCGTCGTAGTCAAATACCGACCACCAAAGCCGTACAGACATCCTACTCTAGACAAGCGTCTTACAAAACAGAGATTATTGGCCGAGGCTAGGAGTCTGATCAGGGTCAAGAGAGATGGCGTCAACGTACCAGGTGTGATTGGCGCCGATTGGGATGCGGGGTGGTTAGTGCTAGAATATGTAGATGGCAGGACTGTGAGGAAAGTACTAGATGGCTGGGCGCATCAAGTAACACAGCGCGAGAAGGATGAAAAGGCCACAGAAGGAGTAGACAAGGGGAACAGAGAAGCGCTGAAAGAAGAAGAAGAAGCTGAAATACTCGACCTAATGCGAAGAGTAGGGCGGGAAGTAGGAAAGCTGCACGAACTTGGGGTATGCCACGGGGATCTCACAACCAGCAATATCATGCTACGGACACCAAAACCACAAAACACGGAGACAGAAGAGCAGCAGCAAAAACCACAGGGACGTCAAACAACAAGTAGTCTCCGCGAAGCAGCGATGCGCGGCGAAGAACCTTCAGACCTTCCGCCCGCCCACCCTCCGCAACAGTCCGATCCTACCACTTCACTGTCCGGCGACATATTTCTCATAGACTTCGGCCTCACAACTGCCAGCATACAAGATGAAGACAAAGCTGTTGATCTTTATGTTCTTGAAAGGGCATTTTCAGCAACCCACCCAGCTGCTGAGCCACTGTTTCAGGAAGTGCTGAAAGCTTACGGTGAGTGTGGAAAGGGTGCTAAGGGGGTTTTGAAGAGGCTGGAAGGGGTAAGATTAAGGGGAAGGAAGAGGAGTATGCTTGGGTGAGGAGGTGCAGTGAAATGGTGTCCCTGTGTATGAGGAAGCGATCATGGAATAAGAACAGAGCGCATGCATTAGAGCAATATATGTGTCTATAACACTTTGGTGAAATAGCGTTTGCATCTTTGCCGCGAGTAAGAAGGATTGAAAAAGAAAATCGCACTGCAAGTACTTGACAGCAGGACGACACCTCAAATCCACTGATTTACTCCAGCTAACAGCTTGGAAAGCTGGTCCCAAGTCTCCTGCACTTATTCTAGAATCATGTTACCTACGATAAAACAACCCCAAAATGTGGAGACACCAACAGCACAAAAACATCCACAACGACAACCCCGAAGACACCGAAACCTTCATCTTCTTCCGTGAAGTCCAGAACCATGGATACAATGACCCCTGAATCTTTCACCTTATCGAAAAAGGGTTCGACATAATTTGAAGTCCTTCTTATACTTCAAGTTCACCGCGAAGACTCAGATCGGCGTGTTTCCTCCACCATAGGCAATGGGCAATACGGCAGTGATTTATGATATTACTGACATGAAACAGCCGAGTCTGACTACCATGTCTAACAATTGTTAATCTATCTCACTTACAACTGGCCCAATGGCGCAGTACCATCAAGCTTGAAGTAGCCCGGTTGAAGATTCTGGAACACACCAGTAGGGTCGTACTTCTTCGATATGGCTGTCAACCTAGCTTGGTTGGCTGCACCGTATCCACCAATAGGATTCTGGTACGGACTGGCGTAATTCATGTACAGGTAGTCGTTCAATTTACCAGCAGCCTTTGCAGCCTCTACACAGCGATCCATGACACGCGCGGCAAACTGGTTGACCGTCTCGTCGTCCGCACTATTGGACCAGCTTGGAGATACCAGGAAAAGCGCGAGGGGGCCGTCCTTAGGATCCAGTCCGAGAGCGTTGCCACCATTTAATTTCGTCTTCTCCAGTATCGGGTCGGTAATGACCTGGAGAGAAACAGCGCCTACAAAATCTGCCACGTCTTTAACACTTGCGATTTCCTCGTAGAAGATGTCTTTAGTCAGAGTAGCCATTTCGAGATCGAGCTTGGTCGTCCAGGTCCAGAAGGCTTGACGCTTCCCATTATATTCCCCATTGCCGTCGATCAGTGTAGTAAGCTCCGCGAGGCTTCTTACAGCTGTCGTGTCGGCAATGGCACCTTCAATAGTATTGTATTCCTCCAGAATGGTTGCATTTGTAACAGGGTCAGCGTACTCCAGCTCGACCAGTGCGATCGGGTCTGAACCTGAGTAGTTGACGAATGACAGGATTTGGTGTGCTTTTCCGTCTTGATTGGCTTGCTTGCCGAGGTTGATGTAGGCTTCAAGTAACGCAGGCCATTCGCTCTCGAGGTACGTCCGCGATCCGCCCCACATAGTATCAGCTCTCGGGAGAGCATTGACGTTGAACTGTGTAACTAGTCCAAAGTTGTTTCCACCGCCTCGGAGGGCCCAGAATAGGTCAGGGTATGAGGTCTTGCTGACAGTGATGACGACTCCAGTTGCCGTGACCAACTCGAAGGAGATAACGTTGTCGCACGACAATCCGTAAACGCTGGAGAAGTACGAGATACCTATTGCGCGCATAAGTAAACATGTCACGCAAGAACTTGCATATAATGCTCTCACCTCCACCAAGAGTCAGACCGCCGACACCGACACCAGAAACCTGGAGTTGTTTTAGCAAGCTCATCAGTCAGTCTTTCGAAGTACTGCTTACTCGACCTCCGATGATGGTGAGCTGGTATTGTTCCAACTTGGTATATACATCGTACCAGGTTTGTCCGGGCTGGAACGATACACTCTTTCGATCATCAGAGGGTGTGGTCTTGTTCATCCTTTCGAAGCTGATGGTGATACCGCCCTCGACATTTGAACCTCCAGGTACGGCAGAATGCCCTCCACTCTTCGCCGCAAATGGACATTGTGTAAGTCGAGATAAGAGTACTGAGGTGGATACGTCTAGAGCCTTTTCTGGTTTGAATACACATTGGGGCGAGATCTCCGCCTGCTGGGCAGACCAAAAATCGTTGAGGAATGCAGTGTACGCAGATTCGGATTGTGTTTCAACTTGATCGTCGCCGAAGATTAACTTCAGAGACGTGCACTAGAAGATGTATCAGTCTCGGTATAAGCAGTACAACAAACTAAGTATAGGGACTTACGGCTGCTGAACAACCACTCGATAAAGATCGTTCTGCAAACGACGCTAGCTCAGGTATGGCTGATACATTCACACCATTCTTCAAGAGAGCTTCAGTGATGTTGAAATCAGCTGGCTCGAACGTGGCTTGCGATAGGGCGCCGGCCGCAAAGGCGGCAAGAGAAACGACGGTCTTCATCTTCCTTCCAGGCCGAGCGATATATTGGCACGGCGGTGCAAGCCAATGTCAAGGACAGAAGCGCGTACAGACAAGTGATGTACGGGAAACAACGGAATTTTCCGTGCAATCTTGAGTAAGTCCTGGAATAATGCTGGATGAGACCCGGCACCGAGGTATCACATCCTTTTATGGACATGTCGACAAGGCATCCACGGAGACGGGTGTGATCCGGACACCGGATCGCAGCTAAGAACAGTTGTGTAAAAAGCCGCCATCGAGTAACGGTGGAGCAGGAACGCTGTGCTATGATTTTCATGCTAGACAAACTACTCTCCGACGGGCTAAATGGCCCTGCATAGTAATTAAGGGGGATGCATGCAATGTACGCACCTTCCGTATCGTGTTAGAACGTCAGAAGCAAGCCTGCAGGCATTTCGCAGGATTCCATATCGCATTCAGAACTTGAACAGTGTTCTCGCCACACAAAGCTCCAACGCTTTGAGAAAAAGAGTCCCGAGCATATGGCCTTGGGTGTTTGATTGAGCTGTAAGCTCAACCCCGATGATGACGATAATTATGACCTACTTCTCGTGAGGAGAGAAATTCAAGACGGTCTTTCAGATAAACCCCGAGTGGCGCTTGCTGTATTTGCCGGATTTCCAAGGAATCAGAGGCCATTGTGCCATGTACATCACTACGCCGCAATCCTACCAGCTGCAGGGACCGCATATGCGGGTCTGGCACCGGTGGCGGTCCAAAGCTTCGAGTGCACCATCGAATCCGAAATTTCAAGAGGAGAAATAGGAATGATATGCTCATTGGAACGCATCAGTAATAGTCATAGGAAATATAGAAACGTTGTCGGTGTTTATTTAGCGTGGAGTGGAAAGACCGCAGCCGCGGCCAAAGCCGCACCCGGGCCGGATGCCCCACATAGGACGTCAAGCTTGGGTATTCCGAGGTTCTGAGATTCAGGCAAATGGAGCTTTCTCCCGTCCTGCAGCCTCGCTCTTATCTGCAAGGGAGCCCAGCCGAAGGATTACTCCGGCGCCTACACAAACATGGGATGCAATTCGAGCGACCTTAGGAGCATATCTTTCTGTAAGAAAATCAAAGAATCTAGCATCAGAGACAGAAAACAGTGGAGCTCTTGGATTTCTTGAAATCAGATGAAGTTAAACATGCCATCGCTGGTAGAATACGGACAGGCAGAAATGGATGTTCAGATCGACAACAACACAATATGCGAACAAATATTGCATTCCATCTCATGGGTAACGAATCAAATCGCTCCGTGGCAGCGGCTGCATCGCCTAAACTATCGAGTAAAACAGGGATCCCGCAAATGTACTCTCCACCGAGCCGTCAGTGCTGCTTGGAGCTGCGACAACAACGTGGAAGAGCTGTGCCACTGAATGTGCAAAGCCTGGTAATGAGCAGGAAGGAACAGAAGGATGTCAAAGGTTGTTGGTATCCATTTCGAATTGCGCATTTTCCCTCGCATTGAACACTTTATATTCGCAGGCGCAGTTTACTAGGACGCCAGTTTTCGCATTTCAATGCTCCAGCAGAGCCCCCTACCTATTTTCATTCGTTTTACAGCAAAAGTTCACAATGTTGTCTGAAGAATACGCAAAGTCGCAGTATCAGGAGATGATATCAGAAAGTCAGCTCTCCGGTGTTGTCTACAGTATGATTATCCTGGCTTCACTCTTTGTTCTTGCGCGCTCCGGAGTGCAGGTATGCATGCGAAGAAAGCCTGAAGCACAAGACTTTCTACTATACGCTGCCTTTATTCTTTTCCTCGCTACCACGATCTGCTATCTCGTCATCTTTTCCAAGGTGTTCATGATTGCAAGGGTCTCTGTAGGCGTGTTAGAGCCTGGGTCGACCTTCCAAGCCGATATGATCACATACGTCCGAATGATGTTCGTTACTACGACATTATTTTGGATATCACTATGGTTGGTCAAACTGTCTTTCCTGTCATTATACAGGAAGTTGCTGGAGGGCCTGCCAATAGTGTACATGAGACTTTGGTCAGCGGTCTTGGTATTTTGCGTCATCGTAAGTCCAATCGATCTGGAACCTCGTACACCTACTCACCGAATTTTATAGACCTTAATTGGTTGCATAGTATCTTATACCACATCTTGCCCCGACTTTGGAGCGGCAATGAGTAGAGGACATTGCCCTCTAGGCCCCCGGACCACTCGCGGTTCTCTTGCCAGTCTCTATACAGCATATGCGGTGGATATGTTGTCAGATCTTATGAGTAAGCCAGCAAACACAACACAATTTAATGAGCAATCTCCTGACATGATTAGTAATGGCTTTACCTATAAAACTAGTCTGGAACCTTCAGATGGTGCGCGTACAAAAAGTAGCGGTGATTGCGTTGTTCGCATCTGGCATTGTATGCATGGCTTTTGCTACCTTACGCGTGGTCCAGATCGGCATCAAATCGGAAAACAGCACTGCGCCAAGTCCGACATGGCTGGCTCTTTGGACCATAGTGGAGAATGCTATCGCCATCTGTATTGGTTGCTGTCCAGCCTTTGCCATCCTGTACCGATCGTCTCACACACCTCACATCTCGTACGATACGAACGGTTACGTTCGACACAACCAGAGCCAATCTAGTACCAACGGTAATCATC